GTCCACCCAGATTCAGGGTGGACTACTTGGGCCTGGGTAGTGAGCAGCAGAGCTGCCAGTTGGCCCCTGTTCCTGCATGGTGCACAAGACTAGGACCCTCTGTGCTGGATCTGGGACTCCTTCTTGCCCAGTTGAGTCTTTCACTACAACAGAATGTTTAATGTGGTCATTTTTAGGTAGGCCCCATCCCCAGTATCGCTCACGTGGACTGGAAGAATTACAGCGTGAGTACATTCAGTTTGTTGTTTCCTAGCTCTCTGCCAAGGAGTTGTGGGGTTGAGGTCAGCTGAACTTCTTTCTACCACTCTGCCATCTTGACTTCACTTTTTGTTTCAGAGATAATATATGAAAAGCACTTTGCAAACTTTAAAAGTATTCTATAATGTTAGTTGGGCAGCTAGGTGATGCAGTGGATAGAGTTTCAGACCTGGAATGAGGAAGACTCATCTTCCTGAGTTCAAATCTGGCCTCAGACACTTACTAGTTGTGTGACTCTTAGGCAGCTCCCTCAGACTATCAATTCCAGAGCAGGTGCCAATCTGCACAGGGAAAGGGAGTTTCCTTACTGAAGTACTGTGCACCAGAAATCACAAGTACAGAACAAAAAACCATCAATATGTTAGCTATGATGGAGTACAAAGGGACTAGCTGGGGATTATGCTACCTAAAATGAAAGAAAAGGGATAGTTTGTTTTCTTAAAGTATTAAAATTAATCATAATCTATATAAGCTTTGATAGGAAAATAAAATGATCATGTGAGGAAAATATATTCTCCCCCAGTATACACTTTAGAGGTTAGCCTGGGAAACAGGTAAGCAGTTCTGAGATACTTTGACAACTTACCTTTGACACAAATCACTCATTACTGCAAGCAACACTGAATTGCTGCCATGTGCGAAGCAGTGTGCTTGGTTTGGGGGACAACCCAAGAGGGGTTTCCAAGTTGAATAGAAGTGATCCCTGCCCTCACAGACCTTACACCCATGAAGTCACAGAGCTCGGACAAAGGCTCCTTTTTTTTTTCCTTTTCTTTTTTTTTTTTTAAAGCAGTGCAGAAGAATTAAAGCAAGGTTGTCTCCAAACATTCAGGGCTCTATTTGCATAGGCTGAGTCACATATTGACTTAGCAAGCACTTAGTGAATCATTTAGCAAATCTGGGCAAAGTTGAAACCCTCATAAATAAGAAACTTATCAATGACTGCTAGCTTCCCAAGCTTGAGAACCTGGGGTGGCTCTTGGTGCATCACCCTGCTGGACCCTTTGGAAGGTAACTAAGATAAAAGATGGCTGAGCTCAGGCAAAGCTAACCCATATATATATTAGTGTATTTCAAATCAGCCATTTAATTCAGTCAAACATTCATGAAGTGCCCACTGTGTTTAAGGAATTATGGTAGGTGCTGGGGACGCAGAGACAAAAACACAACAGTCCTTTGCACTTCAGGAGTTTACATTCTGTTGGATTCATTTTAAACCAAAGGCCATTTACTTGGCTTCTGTTACTGCCACACTGGATTTTCTGCTGCACTGGTAGTATTTAAAACCATTGTTCTCCTGGCGCTTCATTTTCTAAAGAGGTCATGTATCCAGCGCACCCCCCCAGGACATTAATAGAAGTGGACCTATCAAAATGCAATTTTGCCACTATATTAAAACCCATTTACTACATACAAGAAAAATAAAATAAAGTGCCACCTGGAAGGTGGATAATACTGGCTAAGTTTCTAACTTGAAAGGGGCACACTCATTAGGAAGGAGAAAGGGAGTAATATTGCAATTTCCACTTGAAGCTACTTTTTCTTGTGTTTGACAAACTGACAGCCACCACAGCATAATTCTGGGAAGAGCCATCATGTTGTACAGCCAAAAAAAAAAACCCCACATGTGTCACAAGTTTAAGTGGATATCTTTAAGTAGATATCCTAATGAAGCATCCTTCTTCCAGATTTTAAATATTTGCATTGTCCACATTGAACCTTTAGCCTTTCCCCCCTTAACATTAGAGAGCTATTCGGCAAGCCAGATGGTCAATCATATCTTTTGCAGCCGCTGATGAAATCCTATGCTGTTAATTCACACGAATTAGCCAGAATTAACCTCAGAGTCACAGTGAGAGGCAGTCCCATTACGGCAGGTGTGTGCTGAGCTGTTAAATTTCAGTGTGAGCCTTTACGCCATGGAAATTGACAAATGCTACAAATCAGGGCATTACTGTTTTGTTGAGTATCTAGTCTCGACTTAAAAAAAATGATGGAGAAAATGTTAAATGTTAATTAAACTTAAAAACGTGTCTCATTTCACCCCCAGGGAACTGGTTGTTAAACATTTATCAGCATACTAGTTAGTGCATGTAGGGCAGTGTGATAGCCACACAGATGAATGGGCCAAACATCGCCCATCTACAAAGCAGATGAAATCTAAAGAGCTCTGGACTATGGAAAACCATGTGTAATTGTGGGGCCAATTGGAGCCCCATCCTCGGAGAACATGTAGAGTGCTCTGCTTGCTGCCAAATCAGATGGGATGGCCTGGGGAACCTGCCTCTCGATGGGTGTGATGAAATGTAATGGAAGGTTCCGACCTCCGCTTAAGAGCATGCACAGCTATGACTTTTTCTAGTCTACCAACCACATGGTGAAGAAATGCTTTTGATTGCCTACTGGGCTGGAATTGGGAGTAAGTTCACAGGACTCCTTTGGGAGCAACTTATCACTTTGTCCTGCTCTGGTGTCCAGGGAGGAGGTGTTGCTGTGTGCCTCTGAGAAGGGGCCTTGGGCCCCTTAATCACCTGGAGTCGGCATGAAGCTGTGAGAGCACGGCCATGCTGTTGCTGAAAGGTCATACCCATGGCCTCCTCTTTCCACTCTGGGTGGTATGAAGTCCTGTGTTTGCTTCTGTCACCATATGGTGAAGAAGTATTGGAAATGAAACAGACTAAGCTGCCCACTTGTAATCTTTGAAAGATCAGGAGAGCCATCAAACATCTGGGAGCTAGAATCCATGCCAGGGATTGTGGACAGTGAGCATGGTTCAGTGGCACCAGAGCAGTGAGGATCCAGTGAGGTCATTGGACTGACCCTGAAATCATGACACTAGTAGGTCCTACGATAGAAGTGAAGGGGTGGGGGCAAATGATTTCAGATTGAACCCACTTACCACAGGCACTGAGGTGGCAAAGGAGGGAGTGTGAGTCTCAGAGGGGAAATGTTTGTACTTCTGCTTTTGTTAGATCCTCTCAGTAAATAACCCTTTGTAAAAGTTGGTCGAAGTTTACTGGTTTTATGAAACTGAAGTGCTAACTACTGGAAGGTATCAGTGATACAAGGGAGATCCTAACGGTACTTGATGATTGATATGATGGGAAAACGTGCCAGAATGGTAAATCATTAGAAAAAGCCACCCCAACCCTCCAGGGCTATCCCTAGATCCCCAAGTGGGAATCTCTACTTTATACTACTTGCTTTAAAAAAAAATGTAAAAATTCTACAAGTTTCTTCCCAAACTGTTTTGTATGTCTACTTCCTCCCAAACTTCTTTTGGTTCTCTTCTGTCCATTGTTTAATGTATAGAGAGGGATCTGGTGAATGTCCAAAGTGCATGACCCTACTCAGCTCATGGCTTGGAATGGAAGTGTCTTGGACAGCTAGGGAGCTGGGCAGACATTCTGTCACTGGGGCCAGCATTCTCACCACGGAGTTAGGAAAAGCCTTTTTTAGTTGGAATTGCAGTGCAGTGCAGTGAAGTCAGAAAGGTCCAACGGAGTTTTACCATTTTTCCTGCAGTTGTAACTTGTGAGGATCCCTCTGTAAAATGGAGATCCAGTTTCAGAGAGTATCTTGTTTGAGTTCTGTTGTGTTTGTGGAAGTCCTTTTTGGGTGGGGACATTTAATTTCAGAATAAATAACATTTGGAAACTCCCCAAACTTATGGGGTAGCTAGGTGGCACAGTGGATAGAACACTGGCCCTGGAGTCAGGAGGACCTGAGTTCAAATCCGGCCTCTGACACATAATACTTCCTAGCTGTGTGACTCTGGGCAAGTCACTTAATCCCAATTGCCTCACTTAACAAAAAATAAATAAATAAAAGTGCATTTTTAGGGGCAGTTAGGTGGCGCAGTGAATAGAGCATTGGCCCTGGACTCAGGAGGACCCGAGTTCAAATATGGCCTCAGACACATAACACTTACTGTGTGACCCTGGGCAAGTCACTTAACCGCATTGCCTAGCCAAAAAAAGGAAACCAACCTCCTCAAACTTAAAAGTCCATAGATTTAGAGCCTGCAGAGTTCTTATAGGCCATTGATTCCAACACCTTCATTTTACAGATGTGGAAACAGAGACCTATTCAGAGCCACACAGCTATTAACTATCTGAAGCAGGATTTGAATTTGAGTTTTATGACTCTAAGCTCAGTGCTCTATCTAGCTCTATCTAGCTACTACCTAGCTCTTCCTTCTCCTAGATTCCCTTTCTCCATCACTGATACTTACCCAGTACCTATGTTTGAAACAGTTCGTAATTGCTTTTCCTCTCCCCACATCAAATCACCTCACTAAAGCCTAGAGGTTCCACCTTGGAAACATCTCTTAGCATGAATAACTTTCTTATTCTAACCATGATTATCCTGGTGCAAATCCTCATTACCAAATGCATGGGCTATCATAGTAACAGCCTCCCAACCAGTCTTCTCATTTCTGGCCTTGGCTCCCACCAATCGATATTTCATGACTAATATTCCCCATCCACTAGAGAACAAAACATCAGTGTTGTTCCCTATTGCAAACCTCAAAACCTCCTTTCCGACAATCCAAATTCTATATTTCCTTCAAGCTTCAACACAAGATTCTCTTGAACATGTCTTAAGACTAAAAACCTTTCACTGTATGCATTCTTGTACTTTTTCCTTGGCAAAATGGATGGAGTTCCTAGTGTTTATTGCATGGACTTCAGTTAGCTTGTCTTAGAGTTTCTTTATAATTGTTTTCTGCTTACTTTTAGATGATAAGCTCTCGAGGGCAAGAACTGCACCTTCTTCTCCTGCATAGTCTACTATGCCTAGCATAGGAAATGGACACCAGGTAAGTACTTGGTCAGAGCTTGCTGATCAAGGGCTGAGGGCCAACCTTTTGAATGCACAAATAGTCCTTTTTTTTGATGGATTGCTACAAGTGGTATAAAATGGAGATTCAGAGACAGCTGGCTATACTTCCTGACTCCCCCTCCCCAGGGGATACCCCTTCAGGGTTGAAGTGGCTTTTTCTAATGATAGATCATTTGGGTGTGCTCTCCCCTAATATCAATCACTAAGTACAGTTAGTATCCCCTTTGTATCACTGATATCCTCCAGTGATTAGCATTTAAGTTTCATATAAGCAGCAAACCTCAGTTAGTGAGCCTTACTTAGTGAACTTCTGCATGACAAAACATTTCAGGATGCATGGAGCAAGCTGGCCAAACATCATGACACTTCAGGGCACCGCAGGGTAACATTTGTCTTGTTTGCCAAATGATTCTGACATTATACTCAAAACTACATGTAAAATAACCCTCTACCTTAAAGAATATCCCGAGAAAAAGATTCATCGGAGTAGTGTTCCATGTTTACAATTTAATAAGCATTTATTAAATGCCTACCAAATGATGAAGTCATGACATCATAACACTACAAAGCTAATTTCTACATTAAATGAAAACAATGTTACACTTTACCTGCCATAAGCATCTAAATACCTTTCATTCATTTTCTTATCTATCAGACTGTCAGCTCCACGAGGGCATGTTGGAAGCCGCATTCCAAACAGTGCTTTACACACACCAACTGTTCGATGAGCCGGTCCCTAAGGGACAACTGAAAGTGTTTTGCCTTCCTAATGTACTACATAAAATGAGTTACAAGTCAGTACACTGTCATTAAAACAATAGACTGGAAATTTTAGGACAAATGCAGTGCTGTGTATTTTTAGTGCATTTTTATTTGGTTATTTATTGTTTGGTATGACAAAGGCATCCTTCGGACCTAATATATTTTGATCCTAATATATTTTGTTCCCAGAATACTGACCACATTGATGCACTTCATTCAGGGCTGTCCTTTCAGATTCACAGTCCTTTGGGGGGAAAAATGATTTTAATCTATTCAGTTTCCTGGCAAAATCTCTCAGCTTGTCTTTGAGATCTCAATTTTTTTCTACTGGTTCCCACACCTGGAGCCAGAGTTCCTGCAAGCCTAAGGCATTCCCTGTGGTTGTAGGGCATGCCAAACTCTGATGCTCTATCAAGAAACTTGGGAGCGAGATGTAGTAAAACCAGGCTTTAGTCCAGCAGCAAAAAAAGAAAAAAAAAGATGCTTCAGTTTCAGAAGTATAAAAGCTCTTCCTTAAAAACTAAATATCCTTCTTCCCATTATAATTAGTAGGGATCTCTTTAAATTTACTCTAGGTAATCTTTGAGACTGACTACGATCCCTGGAGGCGTACCACAGCAAGCAGCAGCACTGGGACATTTCCAGGAAGGAGATTTTGAAAAGAGCATTAGGAAGGAAAGCAGCCAAAAGAAAAAGAAATTAGGTTGGCATATTGCATCCTGCTCATTTTGTAGATGATGTCCTCTCCCCTCTTGCTGAGGGCCTCCTTTGGGTATGACGCAGCACAGCATTGATATTGCTTCAGGTTTCGTTACTCCTCCAGATGTCTGGCTTGAGCCTCAGTGAAGTTGTGCAGAATGAGTTCCACGAGACTGCTCCTAATCACGTGATCAACACCTGGGACCTAATCTCTTATTAGTCTGGTGGCACCCAACGATGGAGATGTGATCAGCTGTTTTTGTGGGGATAAGCGTTTCTCCCTCTACCCATCTCAATAGGTCGAGAGTGAGCTCTAGCGTAGTTACTGAACCTGAGGCACGACTGGTAGCTTTAGTGACTTGAAAGGTTGGGAGTCAGGACTGTGGGAATAGGTGGCTTGGGAGGTGACAGTATTTGATCTATTTTCACTGTTATTGGATACCTGTTGCTACTACAATTCACTACAACATGAGGTTCTTGTGATAAAATACTGACTTAAAAGGAAACACATCAGTGAGGGCTAAGAGCTGTTGGTTTGGGTGATAGTGACCTTACCATGTCATCAGTCTTGGGGTAGCTCCAGGTATGACATTACTATTTGCAAAATCAAATAATCTTGCTTGCAACAACCACAAGCCTAAGTTTTGCTCTTCAATTATAGGCCAAAGTAGTCAGACACGTCCCTCATAAACATGTGATGAGGGTAATTCACCATCTTGACTGAGTTTTTTGGTTTATTTTTGGGTGAGGCAATCAGGTTTAAGTGACTTGCCCAGGGTCACACAGCTAGTAAATGTCAAGTGTCTGAGGTCAGATTTGAACTCAGGTCCTCCTGACTCCAGAGCTGGTGCTCTATCCACTGCACCACCTAGCTGCCCCCTGACTGAGTTTTACAATTGGTTTTTGAACACAAGGTAAGCTGCAGCTTGGGGATTTTTTTTTTTATTGTACTCATAATTAGTTATGTAGTCATTTCCAAGCAAAAAGCTTTGATTGCAGACACTTCCATACAGTAAACTTGAAGTGACATTTCTTTTATTGATATAAAATGTAAAAAGTAGTTCACAAGTTCAGCAATTTCACACAATGCAGATAAATCAAACTCATTCCACATTATAAGGAAACAAACATTTAAAATCAGGATTGGATATATTCAGTTGCATTTGCATATGTGAGGGAAAAAAAATCAAAATTATAATAGCTAAAGAAAATGGAGTATTTTTTGAACAGTCCAAATCAAAAGTTAGCTAAATTCTGGTCTGATTGTCTCCATGATGCAGCAAAGAGTATCCACTGGATTTTATACATAGTAGATTTTCACATACATGATCTCACTTATTTTTCCTGAAAAGATAAAATATTTTGGCTGAATAAATGTCATTTGTTGAGAACACTCTTCACAAAATATAAATGTTTCAGTGCCATAATGGGATCCATCTGACTATACTAGAATTAACTAGTGACACAATGCATTACTAGAGAAGTTGAATTATTCTGTCGAAACTACTTAAAAAAAAAAGACAACCAACCTGTATTATTCATTTTCCTTTTAACAAGCCCCAACTCTAGACTTTACAACTTCATACCTGCCAGACATGCTGTGTCCAATATTAACTTTATTATACCTATCATCATTTAAGCCCAATTTTATTTCACACTGAGGTCTACGAATGGTTCCAAAAAATTAGTCACCATAAAAAGCATCACTGTCCTGAGGACATGTTAAGGGGAGCTGAGACTTCAGTGCTTACTAAAGAAGTGATTTTTAATTACACAATCTTGTTAATTCTAAATGAGTTCTTCACTGATCTGTAATGCTTGCAGTTTTGTGTTTGAAGTATGGAATTTCTTCAAATGTAGAGTCATTTTTAATATTTCACAAACAAGACGCATTGTACTTTGGTATCATTTGTCAGCATATGTGGGGATTCATTGAAGTTATCTTTGTGCTGAGGATAAGAGAGGAATGTAAATGTATAAGTTTAACTCAAGGCACTTTTTATCTTTTCTCCTTTATGGATCAGACTAGCAGAAATTGGTCATATAGGCCAAATTTTTCTCAAAGATTTTTTCTTTTAAGTAAATCTGCCAAAACTGAGAAGAGGAAAAAAAAAACCCTATAAAATGGATCCAAAATAGGACATTAGTATGGGTCTACTATTGTTTTATTTATAAAGAAAAGTTAAAAGACAGTAATTACAAGCAGCAAATAATGTATGCTTTTGGTCTTTTTTTTTTCCCCCAGATTCTGGCTACGGGTGGGTCATTACCTCCCATTTCTATGACCAGTTTGAATAATACATGAAAATTTCAACCTTATTAGTTGTCAGTTTGCTAAGAAACTTCCCAAGATGATAGTGGATAAAATCACAACGGATGTAGGTGGATAGCTAACTTGAGCATCTAGAACATGCTTAAATGAAAAAGACCTATAGTTTTTAAAAAGCATCTCATCTTTGGTCTTGGTGTGGGCCTATATTTTTTCTCCTGCTATAAACGTTATTCTTACTGTTATAATGGCATTAGTTTTTATCATGACCATGAATCACATTCAATTCCACAAAATGAAGTTCAAACTAGGTTTCTTTTCTTCAGTGCTTCAGGGCCTATTTAATTCTAAGAACTTCAGGTAATTTTTCTTTGATACCTTCCTCTTCTCTACAGATTTACATCCAGGGCTCCCATCCTGTCCAAGTCCTGCCAAGCACATTGGGGTCTGTAGCCTGATCCATAAGACACTTGACTTGAGTCTCTTCTGAAAGCCCGTCTTCTGGTTGTTCAGCACGAATGTTGTAATCTCTATTTCCTCGAGCTACGGACACATAATACTCAAAGGCAGAGACTTTCTCATGGCCCAGGCGTAATTCATCACTGAAAAAAAAAATCACATTATTTTAAACCATGTATTTGTTTCTTTCTATGGCTGTATTCCTTACTGTGCTATGATAATCTCTTCATTTCATCACTTACAATAAATTCAACAACCCCAATTCCATGGAATCATAGGATTTTTAGAAGAGAAAAGGACCTCAGAGATCATCTCCTTAAGCAAAAGCTACAGAGTTCATCAAGTTTTTCTCTGGCCATTTTCCTCTTAATTCCCAAGAATAACTTTCTCCTTCGGGTTATGGAAGTAAAAAGCGGTTTTGGACACTTACATTTGCTTGAAATTTCAGGAAAATCGTTCTTAGTATTGGGGAGGACCTTTCAGATCATCCAGAGGTACCCCTGACGGATGCACTGATCCTCTCTACAGCATCCCTAACAAGGCATTATCATCTAGCCTCTACTCAAATACCCACAATCATGGAAAACTCAAGTAATCCATTCCATTTTTGGAAGGTTTTGATTATTAGAATGAAGAACAACTTCGTACTGAGTCGAAATCAGCATTTCTAAATGACAACCTAGTATCAATAAAGATAAGTATCAGAGGTTAAGATGTAACAGGAGCCAATGCTTTCTAGTTTTCCTGTTTAGTGCTATGCCTATTAGGCTTCCTTAATTTTACCCTTAAAGAGCTAAAGGAAAAAGAAAACTTTGTAGTATACAAATACAATATTCTCTTGGATGGTCAAATGACTCTTTTTTTTCATCCTTCTCCAACCCCCCTCTTCACCCCAGAAAGTCTCAGATAACCTTTTAAGACTGGTTTAAAAAAAAAGTTTATTTTCTTCATCTTAGCAAGGGCAATTTTGGTCATTAACACAAAATCGAACAAGTCTCATATGAGTAACACTTACCAAGTAATGACTGCAGGATTGGCTCCTGCTAACTTTCTCTTAGCATAATTTATTTTCTGCAAAGGATACCAGTTTATTTCAGTAATGTTGATTTCTCTGGTCCATGATCCTCCTTTTTTCAACATCTTTTGTTCAAAGTTCTAAAGACAGAACAACACTGTTTTTTCCTCTATGTAGCAATTATATAATCATGACCACAATCACACAGAACAAATTCCCAAACAAACTTCCAGAAATGGTTTCCAGGCAAACTGATGTCTATGCCTAATTATAACTAGGCGGTGTTAAAAATGTATACCAGTGTTTATGAATTTAATGACACAGTAGATTGAAGTTATTTTTGAATATATGTTCAGTTACACATGAAGAGGTTCACTAACTTTTATTCTTTATGGCTTACAAAGAAACTCTGAGGTATATAAGGTGGGGGGGGGACAAAATACTAAGTAATAAACATAAATATGTGATTCAGGTAAGCTCACTGTTAGATGTTTCCAACTTTCAGACATTATGTCACAGAAAGGACATCCAAAGAATTACCTTTCCACCCACAGCTCAACTATGTCAGCCTCCACTGAGCTTTCCTTTCCTCTGCCTTAACCAAGATGAACAACTATTTGTCCCTCTGGCTTCTGCTCAGTTTTTATATAGCTAGTTTTCAGGCAAGATGAGCCTGACATTTATCATCTACAATTTAAATATTAGTTTCAAATAACACTATACAAAGCAATAAAAATACGTAAAAGCTTTACTAAAGTTATAATCTGATGCCTCTCAGGTTTATAATTCAGTGAGGAGACAGCAGAATAAAAAAACTTAATATAACCAAAACCTACCTTCCAATCTAAAGAAGGTTCCTTTACAAATACATCCATGGTGCTGATGAGAAGATCTGGATCTAAGCGAAAGGCTCTTAGAGCATGCACCATGACACTGTAGATAAGACCAGTTTCTTTCATTGGTAACATCAGATTGATAAATTGGCGAGTTAGACGAAAAGGCATCAACTCAGGGACTGGTAGAAACTAAAGAGGAGAAAAACAAGGTCACATAGAAAATAAAAAATATTTACTAAAAATCTCAAAATACAAGTTTACAACCATCCTTTAACCATTACTGCATTTGTATGGTGTTTGTATATAACATGAAGGAGGATGTGAACCCTGCCTTTCCTGTGAATATATTGCACAGAAAAGAAGAGGTGTAAAAACCCCAATAATCAAATTTATAGGGTCCTGCCATAACTGCTTCATAATATTAGACTGCTATATGACAACTAAATCAACAGAAAAGAGCAGCCCAATACCATACTTCAGAGGCTCTAAAAAACATACCTGTGTAGCTGATCCAAATGCATGCCCAAAATCTATTCCAATCATGCCACCTGTCTCCATGTTGATCATGAAATTGGATAGATGCCGATCTCCAATCCCTAGAATCCAGTGGCTGATACACATCAGTGCATGAGAACTGGCAAAATGGGATCGAAGAGCCAGAAAGGCCTCAGGGGTTGTACTCATTTTAACAAAGGCCCTCCTATGGAATTCAGAAGCAATGTCTCATTAACTAGTACAGACATATGGTTTCAAAATAGTTAAAGGAAGTTTACTCACCTTAACAAATCTGCTGGTACTTTAGTCTCTCGGTTTCTGAAAGATGTGGTAGCTTCTGTACGATTGGCTCGTCTATGATTAAATAATACAACTTTATTGAAATTGAAATTCAGCACTGAAATTCTTGAGATTTAAATTTTAAAATGTTTGCTTCAAATGAAACTCAAGTATCAAATGACTGTATTTGGATGATCTGTTCATAATCTATTTTACTAGAGCTAGTATTTCCATAGGGCCTTAAGATTTGCAAAGCACTTTATGAGTATCTCATTTATCCTCACAACCACTCCAGGAGGTATGTGCTATTATTATCTCCATTTTACAGATAAGGAAACTGAGGCAGATAGAGGTTAAGTGACTTGCCCAGGGTTACATAGCTAGTAAGTGTCTGAGGCCAGACTTGAATTAGCTTCACAGTTGTATCCACAGTGCCACCTAGCTGCCTCCACATATGACTGAAGAATTCTGATCAACTATTAGGATAAAATCACATCATCTCAATAGAAAAACAACTATGGTGAAAGTATAACATTAACTTCAACTTGTTAGTGTACAGATACAGTGATAAATCCCAAAAGCTCATGTCCTGTGGCCTACTTTACAGGAAAGCACTGTTTTCGCCTCTCCTTTACAGTTGCCATATTCTATTCTGTAATACAGTTAATTTGTGTATGTGTCTTATCTTAGAGGGTAAGTCCCCTTGCCCCTCCTTCATTCAGGGCTACCTGGAGCCCATGGGTCAGCATGGCAAGAACAGGTGCCACTGATGTTGCCATTCTCCCCCCTCCCCTGACCTGGTCACCCTGACTGGGCTTCAGGAAGTATTAGCCACCACAGGAGCTCTTCCTCCAACCTTCCCTCAAAGACCCCTTCTTCCCTTTTCTTGATCGTGGCTAGCCATCAGTCTCTATCACATTCCTGTGCCTTTGGGAGGACCCAAAAAAATCCCTACTACATTCTGACTCTTTGGCTGGCCCATTCCACCCTCAACAGCCACAGGTTAGAACCCTCAATCCTTCTCACTCAGGGCCAAGGAGACATCAATCAATCAGTAAACATTTATGAAGCACCCACTATGTGCCATGATTGTTTACTGCTTCCGTAAGCTATGATTCATCAGCTATGATTCATCAACTACGATCCGTCCGGTAAGACAGAAGACACCTGTCCTGCCACTGTCCTAAAGTCCTCTGGGCCTCACCATCTGCCCTGGTGCACCCCTACGCATTGCCAATTGCCCTGCCCGCACATTCACAGGGTTTCCAGGCCTTCCCATTTGCCCTGAATCTGAACCCTTCTAGATGTGTTCTTAGTCATAGAAAGCACTCAATAAATATTTTTCCATTCAATCGTTCATTCCCTTAAGAGAAGAAAGTAGCATTGTGGTTTTCACACAGGTATAAAGGTAGGGACAGGATATCTGTGTTTTCACTGGTATAGGAAACTCTGAGGTACGGACACTCCCTCTCCTCTATCAATTCAGGTTGGTAACTGATTTCTGCAACTAATAGTCTTAGAGAATTGCTTAAAGCATAGACAGGTTAAATGACTTGCCCAGGGACTCTCAGTCATCGTGTAAAACAGGCAGAACTTAAAGCCAGGTCTCCCTGGCTCCAAGGCCAAGTCTCTAATTCAATATGCTGTACTATCTCTGTTTTTCATATAACAGATGCTTAATAAATATTTTTAAACTTGAATTAATAAATATCATTTAATAACATTTAAGAAAAATGCAAAAAGAATAATATTACCACAACATACTATTTTCAAGAAAAAATGTAAAGCATATTAATTTAGAAATATGAGCATCAAAACACACTAACTACTAAGAACCTAACTTCTTTCATTAAAATATATTATACTTAACAGTAACTAAAATTTTCCTAGAAATAGGAAGAAGCAATAATAATAATAATAATAATAATAATAATAATAATATGTAACAGTAATTTACACAGCATTTGAAGACTTACAAAACACAATGCTTTCCTTATCACAACTCTGTGAGCTACATAATATGGAACTTGGCACTCACTCCTCAACTGCCACCTGCAGGCAGGAGAGCTGAATTTTGTAATGCAAATTTACAGAAATCTGTCTATACTGTCTCTGAAGTTACAAAAGATCCCTAAGTTGTCAAATCCAATGGTCTTTTCTCAGCCCTCCTCCTTCCGGACCTCTCTTCAACAAGAGATGCTGCTGACCACCTCCTCTTCCTGTGTCTTCTCTCATCTCTGGGTTTTTGTGTCACTGCTCTCTCTTGGGTCTTTTCCTTCCTGTTGGACTGGTCCTTTCTGATCTCCTTTGAGGGATCTCCATCAATATCATGCCTGACTGTGTGTGTTACTAAGGCTCTATCCTGGACCCTCTTCTCTTTTCTTTCCCTGCTCTCTCACCTGGTGACCTCACCAGGTTCCATGGGTTCACCTAACATCTCTAATGTAGATAGACAGCACTTAAATATATAAATCTATCCTTGGTTTTGTTTTTTTTTTTCTCCTCAGCTCTGGTCTCCAGTTGCTTACTAAACTTTTCAGATTCCAAACTTCAATAGCAGATTCAAACAGTCTCCCAAAGTTTGTAAACCATGTTGACTCCTCTCTCTCCCTCATCCTACATTTCCAGTCAGTTGCCAAATCTTCCCACTCCACTCCCATGGCTACCACCATAGCGTAGGCTCTCCTCACCTCTCACCTGGACTTCTACAAGAGCTCTCACTACCTTAAGACTTTCTCTATTCCAATCCATCCTCCAGTGCTGTCAATGTGATCCTCCTAAAACACAGACCTGACTCTCCTAATTCAATGAACTCTGATGGTTCCCTAATACCTTTAGGATCAAATATAAATTCCTCTATTTGGCATTTAAATCCCTTCACAACCTCGTTCCAATCTATCGTTCAAGCTTTATTACACTCTGCTCCCTTTCAAATACTCTCTGGTCCAGCCAAGCTGGCCTTGCTGTTTTCTCTTCCTATAACACGCTCTCTCTCATTTCTGTGCTTCTACCAGCTGGTATCTAAGTGTGCAGCACACTCTCCTTGTTTCTATCTCTTAGAATCCCTTATTTCCTTCAAGATACAGCTTTCTACATGAAACTTTCCATGCTACCTCCTAGCCACTAGCAACTTCCCTGCAAAATTACCTTGCACATATTTTATAGATATGTGTATTAACACAGACACATACTGGGTATGGAATGTAAACTTCTTGAGATGAGGAAATATCTAATTTTTAATCTCTGTATCTTTAGTACCAGGCTTGGTACATACTAATTGGTATGTACTTGTTAATCAATTAGCCATTCATAGAACAACTTAATTTTTTTTTTTTTTGGCAATTGGGGTTAAGTGACTTGCTCAGGGTCACATACCTAGTTATGTTTGTTCTGAGGCCAGATTTGAACTCAGGCCGTCCTGACTTCAGGGCCAGTGCTCTATCCACTGCGCCACCTAGCTGCCCCGGCCAATTTAATTTTTTAAAAAAGGAAGGAGCACACTTACCTGTACATTAACATATAGGCACCAATATCTTGTTTTCCAGTTATTTTTGCTAGCCAGGTCCCGTATTCCAAATGTGGGGCTTTGGGGCCACTAAAAATAGAAATTAAAAACAGGATTCAAAAATTAGTTTCTCTTTAGGATCATACAATTTCAGAATATCCCCCCCCCCCGACAATTTTATATATAGTTTGGTGTCATTCTCAGTAGAAGAGTGGGGGAAAAAATTAAGCTTTTGCTATATTATGTTACAGAACATTAGCCTCTGTTATTCTGGATAGTGGACATGAAATTTAATGTATATACTGTCCTTCATTTGCAAAAAAAATCTTAAAAAACTATAACTCTATCCTGCTGTCTAAATATACAGACATAAAAAGAAAAACAATCTGACACAATAATTTCCTGCTTAATACAATCGCGCCGTATTGCAATCGCACCTCACTCAGCCCATGCCTCCTCAGACTACTTCTCCACCTCCTTGTCAGACGCCTGTCAATACCTCCACCCTGCAGCCTCCTCCTCTCACTGGTGAGTTCCTTTCCAGGACCTCAACTGGACAATGTCCCCATACTCGCCATGCTCATTTCAAACCTGGCTCAGCTCCTAGAACACCCCCTCTTCTTTAGCTCCATTTGATGGGCTCTCTTTTCCCATTAGAGTATTAGCTCCTTGATGTCAGGGGGATGTCTTAATATTTGCCTCTATCTGTATTCCCAGCACTTAGCAGAGTGTCTGGCATATAAAAAGTGTTTAATAAATATTTTATCTAGCTAGCAACCTAGACCATAATTTAACCCTCTAAACTGTAAAAGAAAATGTCTATAGATCAAGCCATACTGATAAATGCACAGTATTATACCATATTCTCATGTTTTAAGTGGATGAGGAAGGTATCATATTGCTGTTTTAAAAAAAAAGACTGGGTCTCTCTATCAGGCTGGAAGGGTTGAGGCTCCTTGCAGGCCTATAGCTGTTTCCAACCTGGGTTGGTTTGCCCCTCACTACTGGGAGCTTACCACATTCATGTCAAACTTAGTGTAGACACCCAATCAGCAAAGCTCACTGTGGCTCAGAACTCTCAAGCTCAATAGAGCTCATCAGTCTCCCCTTTCCTGGTAGCTGACACTACAGATGGGCAGTATCATGTGCCTCCACACTGCCATTTTAAAAACACATGTAAACATTTAGGGGGTGGGGGGAGAGGTTGGTTCAGCCTATTTTTTACCCTATTTAAAATATTATCCTTTCTCCTCACTTACAGATACATATCAAAGCCTAAATTAAAACAAGACTTAATTATTTTAAAATAAAAATTGCTGCTCGAGAATTGGAATTTAGAATGCTGTCCTCAACATCATCTGTGAGAACATGTGAAACGCTTGGCCCACTGGGAAATATACAGAATTGTATAGGTTCAGCCAACTTTGGTACATACTAATTGGTATGTACTTGTTAATCAATTAGCTATAAAGACTAATCATTTTTTTCCACAAATGTAAAAAGTGTTCACTTATTACAAGGGAAGTTAGTATTTCAAACACTTATGATAGAAAACAGAATAAGCATTTATGAAGCGTTTATCGTGCACCAGACGCCACACTAAGCACTTCACATCTGTCGTCTCATTTGATACATTGATGGTACACTTCCTGTGACTCATTACTGTAAGTCAGTTTCTAAATTGACCTTTTGATTCAAGTCTCCTTTCTGCTTGTTCCTACAAAGAGTAAAAAAAAATCTTTAGCTTGTAAAACTGGTAAGAATGTCACTTAAAACTGACTGAAGGTCTCTTTTTTAAACAGGTAGAAAAAAGACAGCCATGTTATACTGTACCTGGAAATCACTTTCATTTCTATGAATGTATACAGCTGCCTGCTGCAGCTCAATGTTGTGATTCCATTTTATGAACGGAGGTGTGGAGGCAAGAAGATGTTGACTAACTGGTGTCTCACAAGCCAACGTGTCAGACAAACTCAGAATTCTTGGCTTTAGGAGACAGACTTTTCAATACCTCTAGAGAAAAATTTTTCTCTTCTAGGAGAAGACAATTCAATTACTTAAAAGGGAAACATTAAAGAGAAACACCGATTGTCTTTCTCCAGTAAGGCAATCCTGGCTAATAATTATGTTACCCAGAAGGAAAAGCTTCACCATACTCTACCTACTTTTACTTGAATAATTCCTGATGGAAGATAATCAAGCCTTAATCATCCCCAGAAAAAAATGATGTCACTATTTATAGAAATGGGAAATCACCCAGGCTCAAATACTTAGTGTAATTTTTTGGTCCTCTCTTATATGCTGTAGGGTCACTAAGGCCTGCTAATGCTTCTGCCAAAACGACTCTTGCTCTTTGTTTTCAAAGGACACAAAACTCTGCTTCAGACCTTCATTTTTTCATGCCTGAGCTGCTATGGCAGACTCCAAACTGGTCTCCCAGCCTCTACTCTTTCTCCCTCTTGTCCAATATATCACTCCTTCAATACTCGTATTCCCTGCTTATAAATTCTCATAAACTCTTCCTTTTAAGGTTCATCACCTTCATAAACCCTCTGGAAAAATAGGATGCATCGTTATTTCTAGCAAAAACAAAACACCCCCTCCCATACTTCTCTCCCTCCATGCTTTTATTCACACTTCTCCCTCTCTTAGAGAAATTACCCTCCTCACGTCTTATATCTTCACCTATCTAAATCCGATTTTATCCAACCTAAATTCTTTACACTGGACTTCAAATCCGTGAAAGAAGCCAAGATAATTTTCATTACATGCTAATAACAACTGTTGACACTGTTCTTCTACTTTATAGAAAGGTAAGTCAGAAAGGGTCAAATGTATGTAAATCAGAACCTAAGTCTTTGACCTGTGACATGGTTCACTGGCTCAAATGACTGATCTGTAACATCACAGATGAGAAGAATTAGTGACCGTTTTCAAACTCTTTCAATGCTTTTGGACATTCATAGGCCACATTTAGAAATGTCCCATTTTCTCTCATGGCACAAAGAACAAACACCTACTCTATGCTAAGAGCTAAATTCTTCTAAAACAAAGAATTTACTTATTGTTCTTCCCTCTTTTCCCTGCCTTAACTGATCCCAGTCAATGTGAACATCCTGAAACAAACACACAATCTCTACGAGGTCACAGGAAACAGGAATACTCTCACCTGTATTTCTTGTGCTTGAGTGAAAGGTTTACACTTGTTTCAGAAGTACAATAAAATAAGAGTGTCATCTCATAAGGAAGCAAAAAGAACAAAGGACAATGACAGTACCTCATGACAGTATCAGAGAAGACAGGCTTTTCTTTTTTTAAAGGAAACAACACCTCAATTCATAGTGGGTCAGATTAAGAAAGGAATCTGTAAATTTAATTTATGAAAAAAATCTAGCCTTTTTAGACAAATTGAATTTTCAGCTTTCACACATACCTAAGGATTTAAGTCTCAAAGCTTCAGGGCAAGTAAAACCCTGTATTACCTTTCATAAGCAGCTTTCTCCTCTTCAGACATATTATTTAAAAGAAGCTCCTTTAATGTACAGGTGTTTTCTATCCATTCAATCAATCCTAATCTGAAATAAAAATTCAAGGTATGAATAAAACTCCAATTTAAAAAGTAACAAATCAACAGATGTACACGTACATTTAGACACAAATAGTTTTTGTTTTTTCCTCTGGATCAGTGGTTCCCATTTAGTGGTTCGTGAGTCCCCTGGGCATTTGTGACAACTGTTCAAAGGGTTTGTGCTAAAAATTTCATCTAGAGGCTAGATAAATAAATCCAATGGATTTAAGCAAGACAGAAATTCACATGACCTGGCTACCCACCTTTTCTGAGATAAAAGTCAAATCCCCTGCTTTTTTCAAGCAATCCAGTGTCCTTCCATTTTCCTGACATGTTTACACCCTGAGAAGTCAGCTGGCCAACCATCCAAGAGCATGAAGGGAGGACAACTCATCAGGCAGACTTTCCCATGAAAGGATTTCTTTTCTTACTATTTCAAAACTGGCGATTTTTCAGACTTACAAACCTCATGGAATTCCTACCTGGTGGTCATGGGGACGACGTGGTAAGTTTTTAACCGCATGTTCCTTTGGCTACAAGCAGCATCTCGTGAAAGGATGATATTCATGACCTCAAACAGTTGCTCGATGCGCTGATCCTGTCTCAGATCCTCCCCTCCCTTCACAAGGAAAGGATATTCTTTCTCATCATTGCCTCGGATGGTGATACGTTTGGGCTTTCTGATGGATGTCATTACTTTGACCTTAGAAAAATATTTAAGTGTTTTAGATGGAGCTTCAAAGAGTGAGTATGAATCGTGCCACTAACAGAGCCAGGAAACCTGAGGCTTCTTACTGGGTATTATTCTGTGGAATTTTGATCTCATTCAGTCCCACAATTAGGTTACTCACACAGTCATGACACATAGAGGCAGGTTTTAGTCTGATTTAAAGAGAAACTTCCTAACATTCAATGCTATCCAAAGTGCAATGGGATGCCACAGGAACACCCTAGGGGGACCCTCACTGGGGACACTAAAGAGGTCAATCCTGTTTAGGGATGCACCTGACCACAACGGCCTCTGAGATCCCTTCCAAATCCAAGATTCTTTGGTTCCCATTCTGAAACAAAAGCCTTCATTTGACTAGAATATTTCTAGATGGATCATGTATGACTTTACGGAGGAAGTGACCCCTGAGCTGAGTCTTAAAAAAAAGGAGTTTTAACAGATGGAGATGGTTGTAGCATAATGGGAGCAGGAGTTGGGAGTAATCCATTCAAAGCACAGGAGCTAGCACGAGAAAAGGCACAGAGACAAAAAAGGACAGGATGCAAAGGGAAGACTATTTTCACTTCGGCTGGAGAAGCAGAGTACATGAAAGGGCTGTGAAATGAAGCTAGAAAGGCAGGTTGAAGCTAGATTGTTAACAGCCTTAAATATAATGGTGAGGAGTGAATATTTTATTTGGTATCCAATGAAGAGCCATGGAAGATTTCTGAGAAAAGAAATGGCATAAAAGTGATGCATTAGGAGAATTAGGTGTTAATTCTACATGAATATTAGCCTGGAAGCACAAAGAACAGATAAGAGGTCATTACAATCAGCTAGGCAAGAAATTATGAGCTGAGAGGTTTGCAGTAAGACTGCAAATAAGGGGAGAGAGGAGGGGCCATTTCCAACATAGTACTGAATACTGACTGGATGTAAGGAAAGTCACAGATGACTCTCTGGTTTCAAATTTGGTTGACTGGGAGGATGAGAGTATTATTAACAGAAATAGAAAAGGGAAGGGGGGCTGCAGCAGATTTGGAAAGCTAAGTTTAGTTTGGGATGGACTTAATTTAAGGGGCAACTGGATAATGACATGGCACTATCCAGCAAATGGCCAGAAACGTGAGACTGGAGCCCCAGGAAGAGACCAGAAGTACAGACGATAAACTCGGGGGTCAGCTATAAAGAACTAATAATTGAATCCACAGAAAATGAGCTTGCCAAGGGAGAAAAGGAGCAAGGGGAGTGCCTTGCAAGATATTCATAATATTGCCCAAACAGTACTCCATTTCCAAACTCTGTGCCCTGGCTTTGACTGTCCCCTATACATGGAACACACTTTCACCTCATTTCTGCCCTTTCAGACACCCTAATTTCTTTCAAAATTCAGCTCATGTACTCCCCTCTACAGCAAACCTTTCTGGGCCGCCCTGCCCCAGCTGATCACTTTGTGTCTGTGCATAGGAACATGCTATCTCTCTCAACAGAATGTAAGCTCCTTCAGAGTAAGGGCTATTTCACTTTTGTCTCAGTATCTTGGTGCCTAGAACAGTACATGGCACAGATCTGGTGCTTAAATGTTTGCTGACTAATTACTGGCTGTGCACTCTTGGATAAGTAACTTTCAATACAATGCAATAAACATTTATTAGATACCTACTGTGTGAAAAACACTGTGCTACATGCTAAGGATAAAAATATTAAAACCAGTTTTTAAACCTTCCTGAGACTTTATTCATCTGTAAAATGGAGATAATACCACCTACCCTGACCACCTGTCGGAATGGACAGAATGTTGGGCTGTGAATTAGAAAAATATGAGTTCATATCCTGCCTCAGACACTTACTGGCCGTGTGACCCTGAGCAAGTCACTTAACTTTCCCCAGCTTCAGTTTCCTCATCTGTAAAATGGGGATAACAATTACACATCTATCTCATAGAGTGGTTTAGGATCAAATGAGATAAGATATATGCAGCATCTTATAAATATTAAAATGTTATATAAATGCTATTATAAAATTAAATAATATATTTTAAAAAATTTTTTTGAACTGTAAACACATATCACTTTTCCACATAAGAGAGGTTCTGCTATCACACAGCAAAAATCTTAATTAAAGAAAAATAAGATAATGTGTGCCACCTTACCCGTTCATCAAATCCAGTTATTTTTGCATGGTATTCTGGTAATGGCTTCCCTTTGCCATCATATTGACCTAAAAAGAAAAAAAGGTGAAAGAATGGATTGCTGAAAACAAATTCTTATTAATAGTGCTGTATTTTTAAAATGTATTTCTCTAACTAGGAGATCTAATATAGCATCCATGTTATACATGTAAAAAAGTATGAAAAATTCATAAAGAAAATAGGAATCAGTTTTCTCTTAATAGCAAAAAATAAGCAATATTAGCTCCTGGAATTCCGTTTAACTGCTTGTATGGAATATACAGCCCACCAATATAAAACCAATCACAGCAGTTTGAAATGCTGTTGTTCTGAGGAGACAGCATCAGACTGGGAGTTAAACTGCTTCACTTTTACTGACCGCTGAATTACCACTGCCTAAAAACACAAAAGCGAATGCAATTTCAGAGATGTTTTCTTCTGGCCATTTGAAAGCAGAGATTGGTTCCTTCTTGGTATTTGTATCCCTAGCACGGTTTTTGGCACATGGCAGACTTACTAAACGCCTCCTGAATGACTGAAGCACAGCGATAAGCTAGACAGAAATCTTCTTTCATTATACACTCCTGTTACGTAGATTCATTCATAAATCTAACCTAGAAAATCCATGCCATATTCAAAAATGGCCAGGGGGGTAGGTAGGGTCATCATTCAGCTAATCTTCAGACTGTCTACAGCTGTCATCAAAGGATACATAGTTTGGGTTGCAATACCAATGCACATTCCAATGAAATAAGTTAACTTTATTTGTATCCATTTTTAATCTAACCTAAAATAATAACAAATACATTCTCTCCATTAATGTATAAAGTGTTGTCAGTTTCATAGTTCTGAAACAATTTTTATATAAGTGCCAAGTGACTTTAAATAATGCACTTATTATTATTAAAATTAGAAATACTAGCAAAATGTAACTTCCATACTTCACTGGATCTATGATCTCCCTGATGTATAGGTAGTAAATTAAAGCAACTCTGAAAAACTCAAGAACTTTGATCAATGGCAGTGGCCAGTCATGATTCCAAAAGACCAATGATGAAGCATGCTATCCAGCCTCCTGACAGAGGAGTGACAGACTCAAGAAGCAGAAGGCGACATACGTTTTCAGAAAGGACCAGTGAGAGAATTTGTTTTTCCTGACGACACTGCTTTTACAAGAGTTTTGACTTTCTTTCTTTCTTTCTTTCTTTTTGAGGGGAGGTTGGACATGTTAAGGATGGGAGGGGAAAGGGAAAGGACAGGAGAGGCCTGAGGAAGGGCAGTGAAGACTTTTTTTTTTTCCAATGCAAAGATGCGAACAAAAGGAAGGACAGAAGAAACCACAGACAGGTAGGACAGCTTTGAAAGTTATATACTGAATTTATTATATATTTTAAAAGAAAAGTTAAGTTTTATATAATAGGGATTTGCAGTTTCACATACAATCCTCTTATTCTATTCTGCTACGTCTATGAAAATGCTACTGAAGGTCAGAATTTTTTTAAAAAAGGAAACAAACCTTTGAAACAACAAAAACAAAGGGAACTAAAAATTACTTCTATTCAGGTAGCAGAGCAATTCAGTTCACTTTAACAAACATTTAAGATCTTAATATACATAGGGAATTAATATGTGTATCCAGAATCTAGAAAACAGAACATTGTTAACCTACCAGGAACCTCTAGCTCATTCCTCAAGAATTCTACTTTGAAGTTGCTCATCCAGGGTGAGCATTCTTTCAGATTCCCAGGTGGTCTGGAGTCTTCCTTCATTTTATCAAGTAAAGCTGTAGCAATGCTGTTGAAGTCACTGGGTTTCATAACTAATATCTTTGAACCTCTTTTTCCAAAGTATTTGTCAAACTCTTTTCCATAGGTCTGAAAATAAAAATTTACCTTAAACATTAACGTTCAATTCAAGGCTGGAAAAAATGCCACAGATAATTAGTTGTATTATATACATTTTCAATATAATAATAACATTCTTATGATTACCCATAATCACTTTCCACCTCTTAGAATCCCTAGTTTCCTTCAAAATTCAATTCAAGTAGACTCTACTCCATTAGAGTTTTTCTGATGCCCTCCCTCTAGCTGCTAGTATTGCTCCCAATACTATCTGGTATCTGCATGTGTGTGTATTTGCACATCAGACTATACCTGACTTTTCTTTCCTATGTCATACATATACACGCATGCATATAAACATATGTATATATGCACATACACATGTATACACATACATGTGTGCATGTTCTATAAATGTATATAAACATGTATGACATAGGAAAGAAATTCAGGCATAGTTTGACATGCTCTCCAGGTTTTGGGAGATTGTATGTCAAAGGATTCAAAGGAATGATAAGTAGGCTCCCATGCACTAAAATTACACAGATATTTTCCAGTAGGAAAGATCTAATAAAACGGTTTCTGAGCACAGAATGAGAAATAATTACAATGAGGTGAAAAGAGCCTGAAGAGGCTGATGAGGAGGCACAGAGCACTTACTGACCAACTCAGATTTTCCAAAGCCACATAGGAAAGAGGGAAGGGCAGGAAAGGAATTGATAATAAATTCAAAAGGGTGACATCTCAAAATAAACTAGGGCTAAGGAGAAAAGTGAGAGAAAATAAAAAGGGTTTTTTTGGTTTTTTAGCTACTTGAAGGCAAAGAGAAGGATCAAAAAAGAGACTGGGCAATGGCTGGGGAGATGGCATGATGATAATTAATGGGAATTTGTGTGCAAGTATTATTATCTTTACTTTAAAAACAAGGAAACTGAGGCCCAGAGATTTTAAGAGACTTGTCCATGGTCAAACAGCAAGAGGTGGAGCTAAGATTCAACCAGAATTCTGGTGACATCAAATCTAGAGCTCTTCCCACAGTACTACCCTGCCTCCTAAACCACATATAACCTATGGAGTTGAGAAACCAAACTTGGAATATAGAAGGCAAACGATAGCTTTGTTGTACTTCCTAACAATCAACCTATAACATATGCCATCCTATATAATACAAGAAAACAACAGAGATGAATATGGCTGAAGAAAGAATCTAACCTGAAGGAAATCTGGGAAGTTGACAGACTTAATTTTTAGCTTAAATTATCATTGAGAATCTCGTAAAAAGACGTATTACTGAACTGAATGAACTTTACATACGTACCTGAATAAACTTCTTTCTAAAGGCCCCAAGGCCAGGAACCCCTAAGTTTCCTAAGATTGCATACATTTCTTCATACATTTTTTCAATTTTTTTTTTATTTACAGGGGTTTGCATCAATTCACCTCTGACGTTATCAACCCAGTCCTACATGGAAAAAATAGTAGAGGGAGGAGAAATACTAAATTATAAAGCACACATTTTATTTGATTTCTCATTTTGAGTCTATATTTTACAATAGCTATAAACAGGACCACATATGATGATGATGATAATAATAATAATAACTATATGCTCAATGGCATTGTAGAAATGGTTACAGGACACTTTAAAAAGTTACATAATTAGGAGGAAGAAGAAAGGAAAGTGGGCACTTACAACTACCTCAATGGTTCTAGGCATCCTTGAGTAAGGTAATACCTTACTCTCCCTATACCACCCCCACTGTATGCAACCCAGCTGGGCAGCCACAATACATACTGCTATTGTTTCTTTTTACCTTAAAGAGTAATTCAGGATTAGAGAGCTGCTCTAAGGCATTAATAAAATCTTGAACCACTCCTCCTTGATCCAATTTACTTTTTATCCTATGAAAGAAGAAATTGCCAGGTTTAGGAAGGTAAATGTCCTCTCAAGATCAGTCTATTTGCTGTAAACATCAGATTCTTGTTTTCAATCTAACAGTGTTACATTACAGGCAAGAATAAAGCAAATATTTTCTGTAACAGCAGAAAAACGTACAAGGTTCTTTAGCCAAAATTTACCTTAGTGTTTTGGTTTCTGGAAGCTAAAAACTGAGATCTTCTTGAAAACTGATTGTGGCTTCTTTTGATATATGCAATTTGGTATTCATAATTTGTCTCTAAATTTGTACTGTGAAAAAATCACCTTCATTAGCAATCTCCATCCCCCCTCCCCTTTTTAAAAATAACTTGCTTTTAGTTGTTCAGAAGAAAAGACTGTGAGGTGGGCAAGCAGTAGGCAGGAGCAGATGGTGCTCCAGCCCAGCCATGCACAAAATACTTATTCTGCATATACACCCTTCTTTCTTAACACTGCCACTCTCTTGGTTTAGCCCCCAATCACCATACCTGAGGTGTTACAAAAGCCCACTAGGTAGTCCAGCTGCCTCAAGGCTCTTCCTAGGCCAGTCAATCCTCTACCCAGTTACCAAATTCTTCATCCTCTATTTTTCTTTTAAAATTACAAGTAATCAAATAAGTCATCTGGTGATAAAAAGCTTAACTCTTGGGAGCTAAAATATAATGAAGTTTAAAAAAGTAGCTTAGTAATAAAATAACTACTGTTAGCAGCTTAACTTTTTTCCTTCAGAGACAGATAGAAGGAAGAATACTGAAGCTTCGTGCTGATAAACTGTTAAGAGGTCTCTCCACTGAACATGAACAGTTTCAGGTACTAACTTTAAAAACGATACCACCTAATCTCTCTTATCTACAATATGAATACCAAGGACTTGGGATGGAATGCCATAACTTGAGAAGAATTTGGTGAGACTAAATGAGAAATTTTAAGGAAAGGGAGGAAAGGGGGATCTTTTAGATAAAGGGGAGAAACCATACAAGAAAAATCACATCCAGCATGGAAAAATTCAATAGTTCTCTATTAATCTGACATTTTGCACTCTGTGGTAGGCTGTGCTTCTTGGTCACCTAAATTTTCCACATGCTATTATTATATCAATTGCACATCAAACAACATTTTACAAACAGGATAAGATTTGTTTATTTTACCAAGCCCATTATCTTTAACTGTTTATAGGATTTTATCAGAAAATTAAGTTATATCACCTTGACACAAATTCCTTCTTCTTGTGACCAGCAGAAGTATCTTTAAAGGAATAGTTTTCACTGCTTATCATAAAAGGATAGACGATAGCCTGGGGATAGTTATCAGCAATCTCTGCTATGGTGTGCTGCACGGCCACTGCTTCTTCTTTATCGAGCAAGGCCATCATTTGGCTGATCCAACCAATGAACTGCCAGCAGGGAATGCACGACATCTAAAATACACAAAGCTGTCACTAAAATAATTTCTGTAATAATCTTGGGAAACAACAAAATATAAACTCCTGACTATTTTAATACTTATCTTTAAGGAAAGCAAATTTCTATTTCTCCATCGAAACCACATTAATATGCTACTTGTTTAAATGGTGATGACAACAAAACAACCTTCTGTTTTTAATAATAATAATAACTAACATTTATATAGCACTTGTCGGCAAATGCAACATAGAGGACGCCAAAAAATGTCAGAAAATATTCAAACCTTCAACTCAAAAAGAATCATCATACAGAAATATGTAACATCAACATAGTATTGTGTACTTATTTCAATATTCAAAGGATTTGTTATTTCATCAGGGCAGAATGGTATTCTTTCTAATGATACAGATTACAATTCTCCTGTGTATTAGTAGACTTTAAGAACTGCTGTTAACATTGTAAACACTAACAGCAATATTGTCTGAAGAATAATTATGAACAACTAGGCTATAAATATTCAAATCAATTACAAAGGCCCATGAAGGATGATGCTATCCACCCTCAGAGAAAGAACTGATAAACAGAAGCATGCATAATGTAGTTACACACACACACACACACACACACACACACACACACACAACACATACTGTATCAGATGGTAGCATTCTCTAGTGGTGGTGGGGGGAGTTCAGAACTTAAAATGTAACAAAAAAATAAATGAAATTAATTTTTTAAATTGCTGTGGCTAAAAAAAATCATCACCCTACAGCCAACTTGGTGAGCATAGGCTGGCCTCCAAATGGCAGATATGCAATCCATTATCATGGCCATACTCCTAGGCTTTCAAGGACCCATTAGGGCTCCTATTCTGCTGAAAATGCCTCTGAAAACTCAGGGTCACTTCTATGCCATGAAGAGGCAACAGAGCAGGGCTTTAATGCAGGAGACTGTGCTACCAAAATACATCTCTTTAAAGATCACAGTTACAGATCTGTTTCAGAATTCAACATGTAAGCCTCATGTTTTCCAATGAAAGATAAATATAATCATAGAATTTTAGAACTGAAGAGTAACTATCTCATAGATTAAGCCCTAGAATTTGACAGATAATAAAACTAAGGGCCAGAGAGGTGAAAAGACTTGCCAGAACTGAAGAACGTTACTAGCTAGTAACAAAGCGAGGGCTAGGACCAAAGACTCCTAACCTTTGAGCCAATGCTCTCCTTCCACTACATGGTACTGCCCTTCTCCACTATTATAGTACAACCTTTATGGAATTACAACCTAAAACTCAACATATGAGGGCAGATTTTATTCATGCAAACTGTTTTCTTCTCCTTGCTTTGTCAGCTTACTGGTCATTAGCATTTTCATCAGATCCAAAGCAAAGCAAGGAATAAAAGATGTAACTCAGATTCATCAAATTTAGAAGACACTGGTGAATTTCCCAGTTCCTACCAGCGCCCGCCCTGCACTGCTGATAACGTACATGAAACACTTCAACTACGTGCAGCTACAACCCTCAAATTCTCTCCCACTGCAGGACGTGACTTGTACACCTGAACTGACTATCCATGCTGTACTTCAAAGGACAGAGCAAGGAGAAGAAGGTAAGGTGGAAAAGACCTAGGACCAAGTGTGGTCTTTGATGGAGAAATCCTCTCTCTGTTCCCTGCAGCTGAACATAACTGACAGGCAAACAGATATAAAAAGTGGTCATGGTGGTAACAACAGTTGCCTCCGAACCATGCCTCCCTGCCAAAGTACCTGTGCCACTAACTGGCAGTCATCGGTCACTGTGGATGAAAACTCTACTTTTAAACATCCATTTCCTTGGGTTCATAAGACTTTAATAGCAATATCTTATCCTGTTACCAGCTTTCATGGGAATAAAGGGGGAAACATAAAATTTTCACTTCTGTGAGATTCACACTAGATAATCTTTACACTACCTCACAGCATTAAAATGCCACAACCCCATGATTCTTCCATGCCACCCACCCCTTCTGCCCACCAGTCATGTTTAACAGAAAGTGCTGGATTTCTCAAGTGTGTATTGCACAGGTTTTCAAATAATTTGCTTTATACTTATGTATACATATATGTATACATGTACACACACGTATGATTTTATTTAAATGTAAATTAAAGATTTATAAAAAATTATAAATGTTTATAATCTGCTGACCGGGAGAAAGGGAAAGGGAATAAGCATTTATATAGTGCCTACTACATGCCAGGCACTGTCCCAAGCACTTCATAAATATTTTCTCATTTGAGCCTCACAATTCTGCAAGGTAAGTAATATTATGATCCCCATTTTACAGTTTAAAAAACTGAGGAAAACAGACATTAAATTGCCCAGGTTCCCATAGCTGGCGTCTGAGGCTGGATTTGAACTCAGGGCTTCCTGATTCCAGGCCCAGCAGTCTATCCATCATGCTGCCTACATTTAGTAACTGGTTACATTTAATACTGTTGACTATTAATCATATTAGAACTATATGCCAAGCTCTTCATGTCCAAGAAATGGGATGAATTTAATAAAAGTGTAAAAGACTATGATTTTTATTATGAAATCTTCCCTGATCCCACAGCACAAAGGATGCTCTCCTATCTTGAGTTTTCGTAGAACACTTTGTCTGAATCTCCTTTGCCTCACTAACTCCCACCCCTCCATCATACCCTACCTTGTATCACACTTATCTATGTACAGGTCATATCCCTCACAGTAAAATATAGACTCCTAAAGGACAGGGACAGAATCATCTATCTTTATATCTCTAGCACTCAACACAACGCCTTTGACAGAAAAGATGCTTAATAATATTTGTTGCAATGACATTTAATTTATTCAAACTATTTTTTTAACAGTGATTCCCATGTATATAGTATAAATTATAATTTAACTCCAAGGAACAACTGTCTGATCTTTGGGTAGTTCAGTTTTTACAGAAAATCCATGTCCCAGTCCCCAAGACACCTACAACTTTATTCTTTTTAGTTTGTTTTCAGACACATTGTTCCCTTAACACCACAGGGAAAACAATGCAAATATGGTCACTTATTTATTTTACAGTAACATGAATTAAATATTTTTATGAAATCAGGATGAAACTAAGCAAAAATAGACATTTATTAGGAAATGCTACTAAATAATTACTACCGTATGAATAGATTTAAATATAAATGGGACTGTTTTCAAATAAAGTTCACTATGTTAAGAGAAAGACTTGCTGACCTCTTTAGTCATCAGGCCCAAGGTCTCTTCTGGATACCGTTCTAGAATCTGAAGCAGTCGAGGAAACTTTAGCCTGGCTTCCTTAGAGTTTAATTTTAAGGCTTTTAACATCCTGTCCACCACAAGTGCAGGATATGTTCGCAGCTCCACAGTATCAACAACTATCAAAATAACATAATCAAGAAAACATGTTAACAAAAGCCTACATGACTGAAGACAAAACCCTCTCTCCTTGGGCCACACGCTGGTGTCCCTTCTTCTCTGATCACTTCTTTTGACCAACAAACATCAGACACATTTCTGGACTATGAGGAAAAGGTTTTATCTCAAAACGAAATCTTCTCAGTTAGATTATCCATCCTGCATGAAACATCATGTCCTGGGCAAGAAACATAAGGAGCATCTGCTGGTTATGGAATTTGTTCCAGGAGAGAGATGCAGACCACATGAGTCACAGCCACAAGTGAAAATATGAAAGTTTAAACCATACAAATGGCAAGATAATAGGACAGTGGAATCTATTCAAATGCAGACACTCTTGCTGAGGATGTCATGACCACTCTGAAAACCGGTAAGCTGGACACAGAACTTTTGCCCTTATTTTCTGGTGTAACCAGTCAATCAACAGGCGTTTGCCAAACACCAATATGCCCAGGACAACACTCTCTCTTCTATATGTACAGTAACTTTTTGCCTAATTTCCCACCTGATAAACATCATGTTTTGCAAGAAGACCACTTAATAGATTTCTCCAGATTCTCTCTCACCTGAGGCACTTTCTTCCTCTTTACGGAGATGTTTGTCACAGAAATCTACCAAGGTCATGTAAGCATCTATGACTCCAGCTACATCAACGTGCTCAATAGTATGAGACTGGACTTCTTCTTCAGCTCTCCTTGCAGCTTTAAAAAGATATTCAAATGCTTTTTTGTGCAGACCTCCAATAATCTAGAATTCAACCATAACAAAAAACAATCTAGATGTGTGACTGTGAAACTTAAAAAAAACTATTTTCTACTAACAATGAAAAGAGGTTCATTTTTGTTGTACTCTTTGACAACAAAAGTCATGCATTAAGATGCTGATTGGCGACCTGAAAAAGATTTAACAAAAATCCAGCCTCAACAGGAACCTCTTACTGAGCGACCTAAAGTCCCAGCAAAGGAGGACAGCTCCTGTCACATGCAAGCCTCTGTTCTTCATGGAAGACTGCGATTCTGTTGTCCATTAAGTGTGGAGGAAAAGAGCTAAAAACAAAGGCTGCTTAGCTAAAAGACATGTGTCTTCCACATCTGACCCCAAAGATACAAGGAATAGTTAGGCTGTCTGAAGACATTATTTAAAAAGAGGCACAATTTGAGAGTTTAAAACATTTAGAAAACACGTGTAGTTTGTCCTTCATCCTTGAAAAGGACCAATGACATCGGGAAGGTAATGTCCTGATTTTCAAGTGAATCGGATTTAAATAAGGCAGGGCTGTGCAAATTAACCAGCCTTTCTCTCTACCATCTGGGTCCAGTGACAAGATAGAGATCAGGACAACTAGAGATGGCCCTGGATGCAGCAACAGACCTTGGCCTTTTTAAGTTAAGGCCCTTCCCAGGTCTCAGTTTGACTGAGGCAACATCCATTCAGTAATTAAGGCTTGGTAATAAATGAGGCAAAGAATGGCTTCTTTTACCTAGTCCAAAAAAAAAAAAGTCAACCCGGGAGGGGAAGACCCTCAGGGTTTCTGGTCAAAATGGAAACAACTGCTGTTTACACTCACTCTGGGCCACAAGGGCCCAAACAATGACTAAGTGAGGCTTGGTCTGGGACCTATTGTTGATGGGGCCACCTCCAGTCATCCCAGATGGCTCCAGAGGAGAGAGTGAGGCTGGTGACTTTGCACAGCCCTGTCTGACTTAAATCCAATTCTCTTGCAAGTCATGACATCATCTTCTTGATGTCATGGTCCTCTTCAAGAACAAAGGACAAACAAAATCCTGTGAGGAGTAGTAGTTTCCCTGCTGGTGACCCAACTGGCCAGTTCCAATTGGTCAACACAGCTCCTTTCTTCTTTCCTTCTCTTCCTTTCTTTTTTCTCTCTGTCCACATAAGGTGTCATATCGTTATCTATGGGTGCTCTGCCCAAAGGAATGTAAATTATGATTGCTGAAACCTCACAAGATATCTTGGGGTTTATGGACTAGATTTCTTTAAGGACCATGCCTTAAACCCAAATCACTCTGGCTCTCACTGATTGGCCAACAATAGAAAACACTTAGTGACACTGACCTATACCATTCTATTATAGCAAGCAACTTAAATTCATGTATGTACATAGTATTAAAACATTAAACATTCAATTTCCCACCATCATTTACCTTCTCTGCATCCTCTGAAGTGGCTCCAGAAAGCTCTAAAACTTTTTTAGCTTTACTTTCTTCGATTTGGGCAAGACAAGCCGGCTCACTACTGAGTGCGCTAGCCATGATGTTGTAAGTGATACCCAGGAGAATGTTCTGATTACGGAAAGTCAGATTATTCTTGCTCTGGTGGCTTGATATGTTCTCATCTGGTGGATTCACACACCAAAAAAAAACAAAGGAAGAAAAAAATTTTTTAAGCAAATGAACCCCACGAATTTAAAATAATTCTGTAAGATATAAAAATTGTTTTAAAGAACTATTCAAAATAAGATTGGCTAAAAAAGTACAGTAATATTAAATAAGGCTGCCTTCCAGAAAAGGGCAAGGACTGATTTCATAGTGATTGATAAATTACTTCTGAGTTGGGTGAAAATTTTTCCATCAGCAATAACTGTATCAAAATCCGGAGAAACAAACCCCTTAAATTATAAAAATCATCCGACAATCAAAAATAATACAATTTTCATTTCATCAGCTCAAACTAATTATTAAGTGATAAATTATATTTTTTGTAAAGATTCCTTAAAAATAACATAAAATCACAGATGAAAATATTCCCAAATTCATTGATTTGGGGCACATATAGGAGCAGACATAGAAGTAAAAATTATGAGCATTCTACAAGATTGGACATAAATAGTTGTGAAGCAGGCAGTCATAGCTAAAGCGATTTTTTACATTCTCTGTTCCATAGGCCACATTATTAAATACTCTAAAGCCAAAAGGAGAGGTTAATTCCCCAAAGGGGATATAAAGGTTATGAATTTGGTTTTAACAATATTTTCTTCTGAGAAGTTTAAAGTGCTCAGCAGTAATATCAAAATGAGACCCACAACATTTTTAGGAAGAAGGAAAAAATTCTATGATTCTCATTTCATAAAGAGATTCATGTTCTAAAAGTCATCCTGAACCTGCTCCCTTGGCTCCAAATTTTCTTCCCTTTTCTCTAGAAAAGTCAATTTTCACCTGGTTTTAGAGAATGTCTAAAAATTAACTTCTTAATTGTCGAATATCGTATAAAAGAAAAAAGTTTCAGATAAAAAATGAAATGTGAAAGAACAACTTTTCCATTTTTTCAATAAATATTCCATAGAGATGTAAAACAAAACAAAACAAAAGCTAGGTCTTGTGCAGAAGAATATAAATACCCAGTAACGAGACGGTTTTCAGCACCGTGAGAATCTGCTCAGAACTACTCTGTGTCTGACTGCGGCTGTGGCTCAAACGACAATAACTGTGAATCCATTTCACCAACCAGTCTTCTCTTGTTTTAGATTCTCTATGCAGTTCCTTTAATAGTTTCATGGCAACTGAAAAGTTGTTCTGTAAAAAAAACAAAAAAGCATTATAGTTCATTGTATAAACAATTCAATTTGATGATTATACAACAAATAACTATGTGAAAAGAATTGTGAAAGGCTGAAGGAATTAATTAAAAATGCTATATTTTCCTCACAGAACCTGTAATCTAGTAGAGGAAAAGTACATATTCAAATAATTGTACAGCTCTGTCTCCACGCAAACAATGGATCCCATGAAATTATACCAAGTCTTAGAATTTATACTATTTAAAGTTTTAACCATGTAAAAAATGGTAACGGGTTCCACTCCATTGGAAATATGCAGTATGAAATTAGTATGACAGGACTCATTATTCACAACAATCAGGACCTAGCTGTATTACACATTAGAAGAAGTCAGAGGGGCCTGTGAGATTTAAGGAAAGGATCTGGCTGGGGAGTTAGGAATCAGAGAAGCTATCACAGAAAAGGCAATAAATGAGTGGGCCTTGAAAAAAAAAAAAGAATGTCAACAGGTAGAGATAAGGCCATGGAGATGGAGCCAGTGCCATATCAGGGCATACTGGCAGAGATGAGAGAAAGAACAGGATGAGACAGGAAAACAGCAAGAGGTCAGGTGTGCATGACATGTAGAGAAAGCCAGTACTACGAAAGAAGACTGATGTCAGAATGTGAAATTCAGACATCAGGGGACTGAGGACTGAGTGATCTTTTTGTAAATTTGTCAATAAAGGAAAGAAGATAAATAGGATAATACCTTGAAGTCTAGGAAGGTGATTTTTAAATTTTTTTTTTTAACAATAAGAGAGACTGGAGGCAGCTAGGTAGGCACAGTGGATAGAGCACTGGCCCTGGATTCAGGAGGACCCGAGTTCAAATCTGGCCTCAGACACATAACACTTACTAGTTGTATTGACTCTGGGAAAGTCACTTAACCCCAATGCCTAGCCGAGAAAAAAAAAAAATTTAAAAATTTTAAAAAAAAATAGAATAAGAGAGACCAGACTCTACAGGCAGACAGGAAGGAAGGAAGTGGTAGAGAAGAAATAATAAATATGAGAAAAAAGGGATTTTTGATTCAGCAGTGTCTAGAAGGTGGTGATGGCAGCAGATGGAATCAAGAGCAAAGATAATGAGGGCTACTTAATCCTCTGTGACTGGAGGGAATGGTGAAAGGTCGGGCAAAGAAACAGAGCAAGTTGTAAGGTCTGGAAAAGGGAAACTAAGGTAGTTTGGATGAATGGCCTCAAGATTTTCAAAAGAGATATGACTATTTATAATAAGAGAGACAGATGAGGACAGAGTTTGGAGACTGAAGAAACTGAAGGTCTGGAAAGCAACTGTGGGATGCACTAATCTGTATGTTAGTCAACAGTCAGTCAAAAGAACTTGTTAAGCACCTGTTATGTTAGGCCACACACCATGAGAAGTGCTATAAAGAAAGGTAAACAAACAATCCCTGCTCTTGAGGAGCTCAGACTCTAATGAGGGAGACAATATACAAATGACATATGTACAGTGTACAAGGAGATAATCAACAAAGAGAAAAGCACTATGATTAAGAAGGATCAGGAAACACTTCTTGTAAAAGATAAGAGGATTTTAACTGGGACCTGAAGGAAGCCAGGAAATAGAGATGAGGAAGGAAAGAATCCCATGCATGGGGGACAGCCAGTGAAAATACATGAAGTCAGGAGATGGAATGTCTTGTGTGAGGAACAGAAAGGAGGCCACGGAGGCAAGTACCACTGGACTGAAGAGAGCACGGGGGACAGTTAAGGTGTAAGAAGACTAGAAATGTAGGAGGGGGACCAGGTTATGAAGGACTTTGAATTCCAAAAAGAAGATTTTATATTTGATGTTAGTAATAGGAAGCCACTGAAGTTTACTAAATAAGGGGGTGATAAGGTCAAACCTGTGCTTAAGGAAAATAAATTTAACAGCTGAGTAGAGGATGGACTGAAGTAGGGAGACTTGAGGTAAGGGCACCAGTCAGCAATGGCCCAGCATAAGGTTATGAGGGCTTGAACCAGGGCAGTGCCACATCAGAGAGAAGGGGCTGTACATGAGAGATGTTATAAAGGGACAATCAACAAGACTTGGCAACTGACTGGATGGGGGGGAGGTGAGGAGGTAAGGACGACACTTAAGTTGTCAGACTGAGTGACTGAGGAGAATGGTGGTGCCCTTGACAGTAGCAGGAAAGTACAAAAGAGAGGAGGTTTTAGGGGAAAAGATAATGAGTTCAATTTGGGACATACTGAGATATCTCAAGACATCCAGTTTGAGATGTCTAATAGGCAGTTGGAAATGCAAGTCTGGAGGTCAGGAGAGAGGTTAGAATTGAATAAATAGATCTGAATACCATATGCATAAGGATGAGAATTGAATTCATGGGAGCTAATGAGACCATGAAGCAAAATAGTAGAGAGGGAAACGAGGGTCCAGACAGAGTCCTGGGAGACACCACAGGTAGTGGGCACAACCTAGATGATGACCCTAAATGGAAACTGGAAAGGAGTGATCAGAATGGAACAAGAACCAGAAGGAGGAGTATCACAGAAACTTAGAAAGAAGAATATCAAGGAGAAGAAAATGACTGTCAAGAAAGATGAAGACTGAGAAAATGTTATTAGATTTGGCAATTAAGACATTATTGGTAACTTGGGAAACAGTTTTGAATGATGAGGTGAGAAGCCATCATTCCACAGGGAGTTAAGAAAGGAAGTAGAGACACTGATTACAGATGACCTCAAAGAGTTCAGCCATGAAAGGGAGAAGAGCTACAGGACAATAGCTCTCATGGATGGACAGATCAAGGGAAGGTTTTTTGAGGATGGGGGAGACATGGGTGTGTTTTCAGACAGTACAGAAACAGCCAGTAGACAGGGAGAGACTGAAGAGTAGTGAGAGAAGAATGACAGAGGAGGCAATCTATTAGACGAAAGGGGATGGAATAGGAAGGTTTGTGCAGGGAGGGGGTTAGGCAACTAGGAGATAGTGGAGGAAGACATCTGAGTGATATGAAATGAGGAGGAAGGGGTAAGAGTGAGAAAAATGTGAAAATGGATGCAAGTGAATAAAAGGACTGCTATTCAGCAGTATAAGTCCCACTTGGGTTTAGACAGTAGTCATTTTTTTCAAAACTTTCTCCAGGAGCACTTGGAAGCTGAGACAGAGAGAGCAGAAAAACAGCAAAAGTGGATGTGACTTCACTTTTTTGGGTGGTTCAGAACTACGATTCCAATGGCATGGGGAATGCCCCATCTGAACGATGCAGAACGGCAGTATCTTCAATTTAGTCTTAGAAGACTGCTTAGGCACCTCAAAGGTTAAATAGCTTGCCTATCCTTACACAGCCAATATGTGTCAGAGCTGGTTCCTGGCTCTAAAGTCAGCTCATAACCACTACATCACACTGCCTCAACTACTGGGATGTAACTTTCTGGTCCAGAAAGTGAAATTACAGTATCACTGTAAGGTAGGCAGTGTATTATTACCTCCATTTTATACACAAAGGAACTAAGGCTCAGAAAGGTTAATTTGTTTTTACCTATAATCACAGTCTAATAAATATCAGAGTTAGTGCAAGAATTCAGGTCTGACTCAGAGCTTGGTGTACTTTCTACTACCAAAACACCTGAACTTACAAAGGAGGTAAAGCAGAAGGTAATTATTCAAATTACAAAGGGATTCTTTGATTCATTATAGGTAGGACTCACCAAAGATTTCCTTTAAAAAGCCACCTTAGTATAGTTTCCTTATCTGTAAAATGAAGGTGCTGGATTATGTGATTTCTGAAGCACATTTCCAGCTCTAAATTCTATGACCCTATGAACCTTTACCAATATTTGCTAATACTTATTATAATAAAGTAACAATTTCTAACGGTAAGAGAATATTTTCTGAATTTAGGTACTGAGTTGAATTTTTCCCCTTTGGGAATGGGACACCATTTTAGTTTTTATGAGTTCCTCCATCTCCTACTCTCTCCCTTTTGGACAAAGGAAAGAAACCCAGCTTGTCAACTACTGATTAAGCATGTATGTTAGGAAAACCAAAAGCCCAACAATCAGCAGGTTTTCTAAGTGGCAAAGAATGAAGCTGGGTTTGTAGAATGGGCAAGAGAGCTAACCAAGACAATGTCACCTTTAAGAAAGGGGGTTTAGTGGGAAAGACAGAATTCTCTGGTAGATTAGACGAGAGTGGTACACTGGGGAATAAGCTTAAAGAATAGCTTAGAAAGTTCCCCAGAGAAAAGAATTAGGAGCAAAGGGTTCAAGTTGCAAAGAGTTGGACTTTAGCTTGGCATGAGGAAAAACTTCCTTATGATCAGTTACTCAAAAGTGTAATGTGTTAATTATCAACCATGATTCCAGAGTACTACAATGAAACATAACTACCCATTGCCTGACAAAGAGGTGAAGGACTCATGGCGCAGAATGAAACTTATTTTTTGGACATCACTGATGTGGGAATTTTTACTTAACTATGCATATTTGTTATAAGGGTCTTGTTTTTCTCTTTTCACGAGGGAAGATGTGGAGATGGATTTTGGTTAATCAAAAAAATTAAATTTAAAAAGTGTAATATGTTGCTTTTGGGAAGTAGTGAGTTCATCCTAATTGGATAATTCTTTGAGCTAATTAATGGATGACTTTATTTCAACATGTTAGAGATGGGATTTTTATTCAGGGATGGATTGGATTAGATTGGCTCCTAGGTCTCATCCAACTCTTGAGATTCTGTGAATTCTAGGCACCACCTCGCCTCTAACGGGGCGTCCCCTCTCTTCATTTTCTGGACTTGAGCTTTGCTTTGACTTCAGCTTTGCTTTCACTTCATGATGTAAGGAGATCCTGATAAGAAACTTCCTTCTACCAATGCAGAATACAATCTTCTCCACAATTTATAGGATATGTTGCCTGGGGATAGTAAAAAACTTGCTCAGGGTCACAAAGCCTGAATGTGTCAGGAGCAGGACTTGAACCCTCTCTTCCTGCCACCAAGATTAATGTTCTATCCACTGTTTCACTAACTCTTTTCTATGACCTTTCAATTACCTAGAAACCGATTGTTAATATTTCTGCACACTATTCAATCCCCTTGGGAATAAACCCTAAAAGACACATGCTTGTAGGCTGTAGCAAAGAACAGCAAGGGCAAAAAGTGAAAAGAGGAATTTCAAGAGAGTTACAAGAGAGATAAAGGCTTCATTTCTAAAATACATAGAGAATTAAGACAAATTTATAAGAACACAAGCCATTCCCCAATTATCAATTGGGGTCAAAGGATATGAACAGACAGTTCTCAGATGAAGAAATTAAAGCCATCTATAGTCATATGAAAAAATGTTCTAAATCACTACTGATTAGAGAAATGCAAATCAAAACAACTCTGAGGTACCACATCACACCTATCAGACTGGCCAACATGACAAAACAGGAAAATGATAAATATTGGAGAAGATGTGGGAAAACTAGAACACTAATACATTGTTGGTGGAGTTGTGAAATGATTCAACCATTTTGGAGAACAATTTGGAACTATGCCCAAAGGGCTACAAAAAGATGCATACCCTTTGATCCAGCAATAGCACTTCTAGGGCTATATCCCAAAGAGATCAAACAGATGGGAAAAGGACCCTCATGTACAAAAATATTCATAGCAGCGCTTTTTGTGGTGGCGAAGAATTGGAAATTGAGAGGATGCCCATCAATTGGGGAATGGCTGAGCAACTTGTGGTATATGAATGTAATGGAATACTATTGTGCTATAAGAAATGATGAACAGGCTGACTTCAGAAAAACCTGGAAAGACTTATATGGTCTGATGCTGAGTGAAGTGAGAAGAACCAAGAGGACTTTGTACACAATAACAGCCACATTATGCGATGACTAAGATTGTTAAACTGAACCCTTCTCAGCTTTACAAGGATCTAAGACATCTACAGAGGCCTCAGGATGGAAAAATGCTGTCCACATGCAAAGAAAAAACTATGGAAGTCAAATCGCTATCACTTATTTTTACCTTCTGTTGAGTTTTGTTTCGTTTTTCTGATGGTTCCTCCTATTGGTTTTAATTTTTACTTACAACTTCACTAATGTGAAAATATGTTTAATGGGTATGTAAATGTAAAGCTTATATCAGATTGTGCACCGTCTTGGGGAGGGTGGGGGGGGAGGAAGGGGGAGAAAAATTTTCAACTCAAAAGCATATGGAAGTGATTGTTGATAAATCAAAATAAATTACTTTTTTAAAAAAAAAGAGTTACAAGAGAAAAAGGAGGGAAAACATAATTAGGGATTTGATTTGAGAAGCTTTCAACCCAAGGAAGCAAAAGCAGGTTTAGAGATCAAGAAAAGTAGAGGGCTTGGTACCTTGTTTTTAGAGATCAGTAAATTTTAGAATACAGTAAGAGGGAAAGCTCTATGGAACATTATCCTATGTTTAAAAAAAAATAACACTCCCCCCTACCTTAAAAACAAAAAAATCTAACACCCCCCACATTTTAAAAACAAATGTGACTGGTTTCTGGAATTCCATAATGTCATCAAGAAACCAAAGAAGGCAAGTACCTGCTTTCTGGCACTCTCGATCATCTTCATTTTCATAGAAAACTTGCAGCTTCTAATCATCGAGTAAATATCTTCTTCCTGCTTCTCCATTGCCATCTTGTCACTGAAAATTCCATCTCCATCAACTTCCATACTATCATCAAGTTGCAGACAACTAAGCTTCTCCTGAATTTTGTTAAGAAAGAAACATCTACACAAGGAAAAGGAAAAAAATAACAGATCCATGAAAGGAACCAAACTTACCAGTTTTTCCTAATCTAACAGAATCATGGAGGTACTAAGTAATCACAACCTCAGAGTTCCCATCAGTAAGATTATTATTTTAAAAATTTCAACCAATAGTGTTACAAACTTGGTTTCAAGAGTTCAAATCTTTAAAAATCACTGTTTCACCACAGTCTCTCATAGATAAAGGATTTAGTAAAATACAGACAATTCTCACTCCACAAAAGTAGACCACTGTGCAGACCTTTACATAAAGTGATTTTCACATAATGCAAATTTGCCCATGCATGTGGGGAAGGGCAGGAAGGGTGCCACATGCCCATGGAAGAAGGGAACTAGCAAATGGTTCAAGGACATATGGAAGCTGAGAACAGAAAAGCGAGAGCAGGAAGAACACATGGGGGGCTGAGACCAGCCATTTGGGGGACTGGCTGGAACTGAGAGCAAGAACACATTCAGGGGTGGGGGGGATTGCACTAGACATAGACACAAACGTAAAAGATAGGTGATATGCAGGGGCTAGGGACAGACATGCATGTACCAGAGCACAGGCAGACAGAAAACACACACGGGAGCCAGATACACAGGTATGTGGGCAGAGATGGGCAAAGGGCTCCTCTCTCCCTGGCCCCAACCCAGTGTGACCATGGCCTCTCTCAGTCTGTTCTTCTGTTCTGACCTGGAGGGTTTTTTTCCTGGTGTGGAGGGTTGGAGACCAAGTAGTCCCAAGCCGAGGGGGAGGAGCAAAGAGAGAGAAAGTACGGTAAAGTATGGGTGCTTTTTTGGGAAATACAAACTAAAATTCTTTATATAAAGGTGAGTTTGCTGATGCAAATTTATGTAAAGTGAGAACTATTGGTATACCACCTGCTGCTTCAGTTTCCACAGGATAATGAGTATGAACTCACAATTTTATATTTTAATGAATCTGTTAGTCCTTGTGTTAGGTCAAAAAGTATTCCCCCAGTCCTCATTTTTAGCCTACAACAACAGAACATCTAGGTTTCTAACAAAGTGTAAAATGCATGTTCCCTTTAGCAAGAAGCATTAAACTGTTTTAAGCTTAATAGCTTAACATACTCAACTCTTATAAAAGAAAGAATTTTCAGGCTGTAACCACTTGCTAAAAGCAATATGATTAACATGACACATCCATGACATAACCTGTGCATTTATCATGATTCAGATGCAAGAGGATTTTTGTAGATGTTGTTATTAGGCTATTTCTTTGAATTCAGTGTAGAGTCCTATTTTAATTATGGAACTCAAATGAATGAACTGAAGAGTCAGAATGCATGATTAAAGAACTGGATAGCTGAACACTCAGAAGTTAGCAGGAACACAAAGAAAAAGACCCAAACACAGAAGAGGGGAGATTTTCTCCGTGGGCCCATTTGGTGTTTGTGTTTTTCTTGTTGTTCTCATGGAGTATGAAGGTATACCATCTTGTCTACATTCAGTGTTTACTGGTTATATAACTGTAATCACAATAACTGAATGAGAAGGCGTTACATAATAATTGGTAGAGGTTTCCTCGGTTCAATTCTGTTACCTAAAATGTAGTAGGGAGAGGCAGAGGGAGGTGGAGGCTAACAAGGAAGGAGGTGTGCTGCTGCTGCAAACAGTGCTCCTCTTATGTGTTCTACTCACTGATGCTGCCACTGCCAGAAACAGCTTCACTTTCAAAACCCTGTGTATAGCCAGCATCCAGGTGCAAGGGATTCAGCAGAAGCTTCAACACTGTGGTGAAGCACTTGCTTTCCTTACTTAGGCTTCTGAGGGGAGGGAGGGAGAAGGGGAGAAAAGAGGGTGTAGGTTGGCATGTTAGGGAGCCAAAATGTATAACTAAAAAATGAAAAATTCTCTTAGAAGAAAAAATACATAGATCTGCACAATAAGGGATACCTATATTTTAATCAAACCTCAGATTTCTGTACAGTGTTTAAAAAAAAAGCAATTTGGAGAGTTTAGAAAATAATCTTTAGTTAATTCTTTGACTATCTCATCTTACCGATTTGTAATGATGTCATCCCAGATGTTCATTGGGTCCATTTTAGCATCTGGATATCTGTTTGTCCAGATTCGCAGAAGTCTCTTAAGGGGCGCCTGAGATGATAAATTACCTAAAAATAATTTTAAAGGATGACTACACCCATAACCTAATGCCAAGCATCAATCAACAAAGTGGTGGTTAACACCAATAAATAAATAAATAAATAAATAAATTAAACCTAGCTTAAATTTCTTGGCTTGAATAGGAAAAAACTTTTTTCTTGAACAAAAGAATATTCAAAGTTAACATACAGTTTGTTTCTGGCTTTTTAAAAATTCAACTGTTTGAAGGAGCAGAAACAGAACAGCTAAAAGAATGATACAGTGTCAATATTTTCTCTAGTATGGGAAGAAAAGCTGGAATGGAAATAAATGTATAAAGGGATGTGGAGTACATGTGTTGAATGATTTTCCACTCTACAGTAACAATTCTCCTTAAGCCTAAACTATACATAACTAATATTCAATTGCTGCTTTTACTTGTCAAAACAATGGAATAAATCTTAAAAGTATCTACTAATGCACTGCTAGGCAAGAAAAGAAATATGAAAATAAATGAGGCTAGTACCTTTGTTCTTAAGAAGTTAATAATCTAGTGAGAAAATTATTTACACAAATAACTAAAATACCAAATATATATGAGAAGAAAGTACTCTGAGAAACTGGAGGAGGATGAGATGACTGTTGGATAGATGGATCAGGAAAGACAGTATTTAAGCTGGTTTTTAAAGGATAAGTAGGATTTCAACAGGTAAAGATTTAGATAAGAGGAAGAATACAGGGAGATAAAAAGGAAAGGGGATTCCAAATACAGAGAGAAAAAGGGCAAAAGCATGGGAGAAATATGTTCACAAAATAGCAACTAGTCTAACCTTAAGTCCAATTACACAGAATATATATGAAGGGAAGTAGTATAAAATAAAGGAAAGGTAGATTAAAGCTAGATTATAGGAGACTAAAGTGCTACACTGAGGAACATGTATTTTGGTAAGAAATGGGCAGGCACTGAAAGTATTTGAGAACACATACAGTAATATAATCAGATTTGTGCATTAAGTTTCATCTGCAGGTCTGTGCAGGACACAAAGAAAGGGAAAGACACTCAGAAGCAGAGAAACTGGTTAAATGTCTACTGAGTAATTTTCAAAAAGATTTCCACAGTTTTGTACAAATAATAAAAGTCAGATACAAGAACAGGATGCTGTATCATCAACTGAAAATTATTTTATTTCTAAAATCTTAAAATTTTGATTCACTACTTTAAAAGTTTATATTTATCAAAAGTACAATAAAACTACTGTTATAAAGTGAAAAATATTTCACAGATTCACTATGAACATAACAAATATATTTTCTACTTGCAAAATGTCGGATTCCCCAAGATGATTATAATTATACAGAAAAGGACAATAAGAAAAAAATTACCTTGTTTACTCATAAAGCTGATAAAATCTTGAATTTCTATTAAAGCTTGCACAGACTGTAGTTTGGTTAGTCTACTTTGGTGTAAAAGAGCATCAATACTGGAATAATTCTGGGGAGAAAAGTATTTACATAACACAAATTACAGTATTAAAAATTCAACATGCTCCCTTAAAATATGAAAATTCATGACTCGTCTATAGCTAAACATACAGAATCTGTGTATGTTAAAAAAAACTTTCATAAATCTAATTAATCATTGCCTTTTAAATTTTAAAATAATCTATATTTAATAATTTTATATCGATGCTGTATATGTTTATTACATACTTGTTGTCTCCCCCACTGAACATAGGCTCATTATGGGTACGAACTGTTGCATTCTTGGTGCCTGGTAAATAATAAGCAATTAATGAAGACTTGATTGATTTTGATGGGATCTAATTTTAAGAGACCCAAACCACAAATAAATCAGCTGTTAAGCTTAGTAGCACCTAGTTCAATGAAATAATTAATAGCTACCTCCACACGGGGCCCCAAGACCCTTCAGTGAAGAAAGAAAAGGAAAATAAAATTGGGCAGATAAGGAAAATATTCAAAAAGAAAGGAGGAATGGAAACAAGATAAGCTCTTATCTTATTCCACAGAGAACTGTGCTCCACACAGTTGCTCTGAGAGCAGATCTTAGCAAGCAAGTAGATGTTTTAAAGGACTCTGAAGAAGTCAGGAATATAGGAACTAATTGATAGAGAGAAAAGAACAAAAAAAAGTTTAAGTATAAAGGGAAAAGAACAGAAAGAAGAAAGAAACAAGTGAAAAGGTAAGAAAACAAAAGGAAGAAATTGATGTTAAAAAATAAGGATGAATTGTTATTAACAATTACTAGTATTTTAAAATAGTACATTAAAATATATTTGCATTACCTGCATAAAAACCTGAATGCTATTTTCAATATAATATTTTGCTCTGTCAAAATCATCCTGCAAAATGTAAAGAAGACTCAATTCCTGGCTATAGTGAACTTCTATGAGTGTCTTCTGGGATTCTTTCTTCATAGCTTCATCAATGAATGTTAAGAGTGACTGGTCACTGGCACCCTGAAGCAGTAACTTTAACTTACTGCGAATCATGTACGGTAGATAAGTTTCCTAAAGAAAAGAAAAATCTCGCTAAAATTAACAATATATACATATGTGTGCATAAAATCAGTATTTGGTTCCTGACAGTATCTCAGGTAAAGGTCTGAAGATTAAATGACTTTATTTAATGACTGAAACATTTTTAGAAAGTGCCAAACTTTAAAGGCCCTGCTTATTTCATTATAAATGAACAATAATTGCCACAACCATGCAGAAACATGTTCCCCTACCAGCTTAGAGTTTGGATGTCCCATGCAAACTAACATTTATAAAGAGAAACAAAAATGATAGCTAAAAAGAACCCTAAGGAAGATAACTGAAGTAGCTGAACCTGATTATTTCATGCATGCACTCTAATTTTAAAATTAATTTCACTTATGTAAAAAGGACTAACTAGAAGGGATAAAGAGTTAGGCTGGTTCAGTACACTAAAGTTTAACAATGGATCCAGAATCTTCAAATTGAAGTATTAACTACATCAATTGTCTTTTAAAAGGAAGCTTTGCAAACCTGATAAAATGGCTCACTCCATATTTTGCTAAGGTCTGGAGGATTTTTACTATCGACACTGATGGTTGAACAATACTCCAATGACTTCCATTCAGTGAGGTGATTATAACATTCAAGAGATGCAAGTTCCCAAAAATCCTTTTCAGCTTCTGTAGGTTCACCCTCCAACCACTCTTGTGTATTTAAGGCCTAGGAAAAGAAAGTTGCCAAGATAATTACAAAAAAATTTAAGGATAGGCATTAAAAAAGAGATTGGAGAAAACAGATTGGAGATGATGAGACTATTTACTTTCTCATGCCTAAAGAAAATGGAACAAACTGGAAGATAGTGATTTTTCATGAAAAACAACAAAACAAAAACCAAAAACCAAAAAAAGAGAAAAAAGAAAAAGGGCCTCTTGCTACAAATGTGCTGAAAGACTACTTACTAACCAAGTAACAGCCTTTTTTTGAGGAGTTACTGATGCTGTCAAATAACTGGGAAATTTAAAAAATTTAACAACTATTCAAATATTTCACAAGTTCTTAAGAATAAACCTTGGAAAAAATCAGAAATATGACACTTAAAAAGAAAGGGGCAGTCAGAAACAAAAATGTTTTGGTTTCAGCTTCCTCAAAAGACCTTTCAGTTCTAAAGTTATACTACAAATACTATATTCTACATATAGAAAAGGAAAAACAGCTCCAACATGATGGGAAAAGCATAGAAAAGAATGGCAAAAAAGATTTTGTTCACAGTCACTGCTAGCAATGTTTTGCTATCATTTAAAACTCAAATATAATTAGCAGATATTCTAAAGTAATACTGTCACTGTACTTAATATTACTCCATTTTTTTGCTAGACTGCTACATGCAATTCTTCTATTCACACTATAAAAGCATATGATGGCAAAGAATAAGGTTCAGAGAAGAGGCCAACACAGAATGTTAACTCCTTAAAAGCAAAACTGTTATTTGCCCTTGGTATGCCTAACCCTCAGGACAGTGGCCTGGCATATAGTAGGTACTTAAAAAATGCCTGCTAACTAGAGCTGTGGAAAGAGCTTTGGACTAGGATGTTGGGACTGGAATTCTAGATACTAAGAACCACGAAGATCTGGCTCGTTCCAGCATACCATGATTTTTGCGATGAAAAAAATAGTAAAAGAACTCAAACTAGAAAGAAAGCCACATTAACATTCTCTGATTATAGAAATACATGTTCTGTAAAGGATAGTGGCCAATTATTGGCCACAACCATTTTGTACTAGAGGCCATAAGATTAAATTTGTAAATTGAAGTATGAAAAATGTTGATTTTTTGATGGATCTATAATCTCATATATGTGGATTCCTTTTAACAATGATTTAGTTTTTGTTTATTGTTTGATGGGATAGTGGAAGGGAAAGATAATAAATTCATATAAATAAACAGAAGAATTTTTAAAAGATCAACTGTTCTTATTTTGTCTTCCTTACTAATCTGAACATTTTTAAGGTGAAACTTCAAGGTTTTAAAAAAATTTTCCTTCTTTTGTAAATAAAAAATATTTTATCGATGCCTTTTGTTTTTACATCACCTGTCTCTCCAAAACCACCCTTTGTTACAAAAATAAGAGAAAAAAAACATAACTAATCAACCTATCAAATGAATCTGACAGTATATGCAATATTCCACACTGAGTCACCCACCTCTGTAGTGGAGGTAAGTATATTTTCTCAACTCTTCTCCAGTGAAACGTATCGTGCTCAGTTTTGTGTTTTGTTTTTTTCCATTTATGGTGTTTCCTGGTTCTATTTACTCTGAATCAGTTCATGAGTCTTCCTGTACTTCTCTTAATTCTTCTTTTCATTTCTTATAGAACAGCAATATTCTGTTACATTCATCTACCATAATTTGTTTAGCCACTCCATGATGGACACTTACTTTGTTTCCAGTTCTTGGCTACCACAAAAAGTGCCATTATTATTTCTGGTGTATATGATTTCTTCCCAATTTTGACCTCCTTGGGGTATAAGACTAGGAGTGAGATATCAGGTCAAAGAGAATGGATATTTCTGTCATTTTTTTTTTTAGTAATTTCAAATTGCTTTTCAGAAGAGTTGGACCAATTCACAGCCCCACCAATAATGTATTACTGTACTTATCTTCCTATAAACCCTAATTCTACCTTTTGTCATCTTTGTCGATTCATTCAATATAAGGTAAAATCACATCGCTTATGATAATTTGCATTTAGCAGATTCTTCGTGATCTACAGAAATCTTTCATATAGTTAACAGTTTATAATTCTTCATTTGAAAACTGTTCATATCCCTTGACCACTCATCCCTTGGGGAATGGCTCTTGGTCTTAGATATTTGTGTTGATTCCCTAGAAATCTCAGACAGTCAATAAACATTCATTAAGAAGCTATGTGCCAGGCACTGTTCTAGGATGTCTGAATCATGGAGTCTGACAATCTAGAGCAAGACCTCAAAGGCCATCTACTCTAATTATTAATTTTATAGAAGGGAAGTCTGAAGCTTACAATGATCATGTCACTTAACCAATGTCACACAAAAAGGATCCAACATAGGATTTGAACCAAATCCTTGAGTCAGCCAAGACTTCAATATTTTTGCTTATTCTAGATGTATTCTTTGTGGAAAAGTTTTTCAATTTCATATAACCAAAACTAGCTATTATTTTCCATGTTTGCCTCTATCCCTGGTTTAGTTCAATATTCTCCTCCAGTTGTGAATAGTACTTGATCTCATTTACTACAAACTTTTTTTTTAAATGATGTAATCTTTTATACTTATGCTGTGTATCCACGTTAAGCTTACTGTAGCATAATAAGGTACAAGATGTTGGACCAAGTCTATTTTCTGCCAATTTCCTCATTTTCTCAGGTCTTGTCAAACAGGGATTGTTTTCCTTAAGTACTTCATGTTCTCAGGTTTACTGAAGAAGTCATTGAGTTCGATTATTTTTATTATTTTTCATTTTTTGTTTCTCTATCAATCAACATTTGTTTCGGTTTGTTTAATTTTCAGCTAGCACCAACAATTACTGCTTTATAAAAGAAATTGAGGTCTTACCAAAGTACCATTCCTTCTTCATTGCTACTTTTGCAGAATTGTGTTAATTTTCATTTCTATTACTATTAATAATCTGAAGCATGTTTTCATATGGTTATTTATTGTATGAACTTATAGACTAGTTGATTCTCTAACTTGGTGGTCCTAACATGTTGCTATGTCTAGATTTGGCACATAGCACAATCATTTAAATGAATGCTTGTTGACTGTTGACTACTGTTCTCCACAATGCCTACCTTTGCACTGAAATTGAGTATTAAAGAACAAATGATGTAATTTGGAGCATCTCATCCAATCCATAGTACAATTTCTCTCTTGTCATCCTCTGCAAAAGATGTTGGTGCAACTATTTTTACAGTGATCCTCCTGCAAATAACTACAATGAGTGTTGCATTACAAAGTCACCAAATATATCCTGAAACTATATTTCTTGCTGCTTTTAGATGAATGATAAAACCAACTCCACTAATTTCTTTATTTGCCTCTCTAAAGGCATCCTTTAATCTTCTGGTTTTACTTACAGTGCGAATATATATATATATCAGTGTTGTTTCAGGTACTCTAGGACTGTCAGTTCACTGAAGAAGGACCTCATATTAGCATAGCAACAGCTAAGTTAATTTTTGTAGACAATTTAAAAACTGTGGGATTCTTGGCACCATCTATCTCACCTCCTTCTTTTCTAGCATTCTGCTAGAATGCTAGACCAAGGGCCATTTTGTACTTTGTTTCATGGAATGTCAGAGTCAAAGAGTACATCGCCCTAGTGGTCGGCATTACCTACTGGAAGTGAGCCTCTCCAATCTTAGCTAGGCTGGTTCTTGGAAAGCAAACAGTCTTTGTGGCTGGAATGGTGCTCAGAACCTTTACAGCATGCTGGGACCTGCCAGGGCTTGTGTTCCAAAGACATCAACTTCAAGAACCTAGTTATTTCTATACTATGATTAAGCATCTAAAAAAGTCTAGATGAATAATTTAGATTCAACATAAGAAAATAATTCCCTGACAGTGACAGCTGTGAAACATTATAATAGCTTTCTAAGAAAGGCTATGGAATTTCTTCTGGAGGTCTCTGAAGAAACAAGAAATTTTTATTTTGTTTAGGATGGTTTGAATATGTTGTTCCAATAGACAATGAGAGAAAACAGGGCAGGAGAGGAAGGGCTAGAACCTTCAAAGTCACTTCCAGCCCTAAGATTCTTTCATTTGAACATATAACTACCATAGAACTTACATAATTATAATCTAGTCTAAATTTCAAGGAAAAAATTATAAAATTTCATGGTAATTATCGACAATTTTCTAAAGGCACAAAGAAGTTTTTGTGTTTTGGCCTCTAATCACTGATTAAAAGACTTATTTAAGGAATAAGTGATGCTAGGGCAATAAAAGTGAATTTGGTAATTCCAAAACCAATTTCTACTATTAAACTACAGATTAAATCCAAGAAGAAAATTTGAAACAAAGGGATTTGAGAGCTCTAAAATCTCAAACTAATGATTGCAGTTTTTCCTCTTTGGAAAAACACAAATGAATATGTGGAAAAAGGTATTTTCAATTGATTCATTTTACCTCATCATACTGTTTAGCAGCTTCAGAATAGTCATTTTTGGCTTCTGCTAATAATGCATTCTGTGTTACTTGCTTTGTTTTAATTTCACCACTGAAGATGCCACGAAGAACATCATACTCTCCTATAGATCTATATAACCTTAAAAAGACAAAAGCAAGAAAAGCACTTGAATATGTGTTTTAGAAACAAATATTATGGCACTGAAAATCTACTAAATCATTCAATAACTGATTAGCTTAAAAGAAAAAGTTACTGCTCAGTTTAAGAAAACTTAAAATTTACTTAGTATGCTAACAATTATTACAATTCTGACATTACCATTAGTTTTTATTATGTTAGAATAATTTCATCCTTCTATGTGCCTAATACACAATTAAATAATTCTGAAAATATATTATTTCCAAATATATTTGGAACATATTTCCAAAATACATTATTTCCAATGTGTAGGTAAGATGATCTTAGTAAGGAGATATCATGTACGTACAGATCTTTCACTTTTATACATTTGTCAGCTTCTCATATTAAGGTTTAGAAAACCAACTACACAAGCAGAGAATGGGGTGAGATGTTACTAGATAGTGGATCATTTATGGAGGTTTTTTGGTCCCTATACCCAGTAAATAGCATGACATGGCTTATGGGGAAAAAAAAGGTAACACAACGTCAAGCTGCATCAAGCACAACATCAAGAAAGAGAAAGGCACTAACTGAAGAAAGCAGTTAGAAATGCTTAACCTAAAACTGAAGGATTTGGGGGAGGCATGATGGCAATTTTAATACATGTTAAGAGTTATCATTGGAAGAAGAATGGTCTTTATTTTGCTTGGCTCCAAAGGACCAATGAAAACCCAATGGCTACACTCACTAGTCAGTGATGTCTCTGCCACTGGAAGCACTTGAATAGAAGCTAATCATTAGGGGATGCTACAGAGGGATTACTCTAGCAGGTAGTGACCTGGATCAGATGGCCTCTATGGTTATATAATGTCATATCACAATAATACTTCTCATCTGGCCACCTCGCCTCTCAAGAACCTAGGTGAGAAACCCAAAGGAAGAAAAAATCTGAGCAATCACAAAAAAGTAGGTACTAAATTAAAGCTGATAAACATAACTCACATAGCTTTTTAAAGATGGCAAAAGAACTTTCCTTACAATAGTCCTGTGAAAGAGGTAGTACATGTATTATCCCCAGTTTACAGCTGAAGAAACTAAAGTTGAGAGGTTCAGTGACTTGCCCAGCACCACAAAGCCAGTAGGTGTATGAGGCAGGATTTGAACTCAAGCCTTCTTGACTTCTAAGTGCAGCCCTCTATCCACTGTGCCACTGCCTGCTGTACATAAATAGGTATATACAACCTACAAATTACAGCTAAGAATGAGATTTGGGTTCAAGTTCTATTTACTATCTATAAGATGTTTAATCTTTCTGGCTTATAGATTCCTCATCTGTCAAATGAGGACCCCATCCACTCTACAGACTTCATTCACATCATTGCTACAAGAATACAGCGAAGTTGGGGCAGCTAGGTGGTGCAGCAGATAGAGCACCTGAGTTCAAATCCAACCTCAGACACATAACACTTACTAGCTATGTGATCCTGGGCAAGTCACTTAACCCCATTGCCTAGACAAAAAAACCAAAACCAAAAACAAAAAAATTTTAAAAAAAAAGAATATAGCGAAGTTACATAATGTATGTAACAGCATTTAAAGAACAATAAAGTGTAATCTAAGATATTTTTATGAGTTTAATAACAAAAGGTTAAATTAAGTTTAAAATACTATGATTAAGAAAACAAGAGTATAATACATTTTAGAAGGATTTCCATCAAAAAACCAAAATTTATGAAGTGTGGGACAAGCACCTGCAGGTCTTGTTCTCAGTCAATACTCACTTAGCAAGTTCAATCCATTTGATGACATCTGGAGAGAGCTGGGGTTTTCCCCGCATTCGTTTAGACGGTGGTTCTTCTGCAGGAGCAAGATGAATCAGTGCTTTTTCAAGAAGGAGGATGCCTACCGGCTGCTGCAAGCTGGCGAGGCAGCTGGTGCTCACAGTGGATGAGTCAAGGCTTAGGAGCTCTAAGTGCTGGTAACTCACTTCCTGTGAAGCCACAAACATTTAAATATTTAGTTCATGGCACTGGAACTGTATCTTCTTGGGAAAACGACCTATTTTTACTAGATGTTAAAGAAAGTTTTGACGTAAGTAGAAATAACACCAAAGTTATACACCACGAGCTTCCATTAATAAGTTTTTCCTAAAAGTCCTACTTGCTAAACAACATTTTTGTTTTTGTACTATCATAGCAGAACTTCACTTAAAGCTCCCCACCCATTAAATAAGCAAAACAGTAGAACCATACATTTCTGCAACTGCAGTGTCCTTCCAGGTTTCTAGAATTTTGTGCTAACATAAAAAACAACTGAGAGCAATGAGAAGAAACAGCAGTCCAAAACATTTTCAAAACCTCTAGTGCCTTCTTCAACATTATTAGATATAATAACCAATCTATTATTTAAGGAATTTCTTTCTATTCATAGATTATTCCCAAGAAATCGCCAATATAACAACTTTTTAATACAGCATATAAGAATTATTGTACTGACATTTTTATTTCAGACTTGAATTTGAGAGTTGACTATAGGCTGTATTGATTAAAAATATACCACACTAAAATGTGTAAGTTAATTTAATTCTAAATGCTTCTGCTATTATTTTGCACTGCTCAAAAATTAAATAAGAGGAAAAAGAAAGCTTAAAATACAAGGTTCAATAAAAGAAAATTGAATAAAAATTTTAAGCCATTTTGAATTTATATAGCACTTTTTATTAAAAAAAATACTTTTACCAAATTCACAAAATTTCTGTAAAGTAATAATAGGCAAGCTATTAATTACAATTACAGATTAGAAACCAAGGGATGAAACACTTATAGCTAGGTTTATGTTAACCTAGGATGAATGTCTTTAAAGTAGAATATTTTGCCCATTAAGATGTATTTGTATTTCTGAATGCACTATGCGCCCAGAAAAGTGATGTGGTGAAACAAAATGCAGGCACATTTACAAACTCGAAGCACTGAGCCACCAACAAATACTTTTTTTCCCCAAGATACAGAACTGAATTCTCTTGAAATACCTGGAGCCACTTGATTTCAATGTCAAGTGGAAAAAAAAATGAATTCAATTAAAATCACTAAATAGAGAGCTGATAAAATATTAAGGTAATCAAGTAGCTTAGGGCAGAGAGAAAGAAGCAACGTGCACAAGAATACACATAGGAAGCTTCTGTTGGGAGGCAATATGGTATAGTTGCTAGAAAGTTGGCCATCAACCCAGGAAGTCCTGAGTTCAGGTTGTACCTTTGACATTAAGTGGTTTAGTGAAGCTGGGCAAAATGTTTAACCTGTCAGTACTGCTGGCAACTCTTAGGACTATAAATTGCAGAGAAAGTGCCAAACTGTAGGGCAGAGGGAGTTCCTTTACCTGGTAATTCCTTACACCATTGAAATCACAGGTCTAGTCCCCATCCCTAAAGAACCCTGAATCAATCACTTGAAACAAATCACCTGTAAAGGAAGAGGAATGGACTAGACAGCTTATTAAGGCCCTTAAAACTTTAAGTGTTGTGGTCTTGCATGTGAACAAGAGACATAGCCATCAATGGGAAGATGGCAGAACTGTGGCATATGAATACAATGGAATTTTATTGTGTCACAGAAATAAGAAATATAACAGATTCAGAGAAATCTGGAAAGACCTATTTGAACTGATAACCACAATGATAATATGAGAGGACACAACTTTGAAAGACCTCCGAACCCAGCAAACACTTATGACTTCATAAAACTCGGGCTGAAACATACCTCCCACCTGTTGGCAGAGGCGGTGGATTAAAGACCAATCGATTGATGTGTTTTGTTTGACTACACATATTTGTCACAAGGGAGACCTCTACTTGGCATTGAGTGGAGGAAGTTTAGTGTGTATTGATGAGATGGGGGAAAAAATATCAATAAAACATTTAAAATGCACTGAAGAATAGACCCAAATCTCACACCATATACCAAAATAAAGTCAAAATGGGTTCAGGACTTAGATATAAAGGCTGATACCACAAGTAAACTGGGAGAACAAGGAATAGTTTACCTATCAGATCCATGGAGAACAGAAGAATTCATGACCAAACAGGAGATAGAGAACATTATGAAAAGCAAAATGGATAATTTTGATTACATTAAATCGAAAAGTTTTTGCACAAACAAAGCCAATGCAACTAAGATTAGAAGGAAGGTAGAATATTGGGAAAGAATTTTTACAACCAGTCTTTCTGATAAAGGCCTCATTTCTAAAATATATAGAGAATTAAGACAAATTTATAAGAACACAAGCCATTCCCCAATTGATAAATGGTCAAAGGATATGAACAAATAGTTCTCAGATGAAGAAATTAAAGCCATCTATAGTCATAGGAAAAAATGCTCTAAATCGTTATTGATTAGAGAAATGCAAATCAAAACAACTCTGAGGTACCACATCACACTTATCAGATTGGCCAACATGACAAAACAGGAAAATGATAAATGTTGGAGAGGATGTGGGAAAACTGGAACGCTAATACACTGTTGGTGGAGTTGTGAAATGATCCAACCATTTTGGACAACAATTTGGAACTATGCCCAAAGGGCTACAAAAAGATGCATACCCTTTGATCCAGCAATAGCACTTCTAGGGCTATATCCCAAAGAGATCAAACAAATGGGAAAAGGACCCACACGTACAAAAATATACACAGCAGCTCTTTTTGTGGTGGCGAAGAATTGGAAATTGAGAGGATGCCCATCAATTGGGGAATGGCTGAGCAACTTGTGGTATATGAATGTAATGGAATACTATTGTGCTATAAGAAATGATGAACAGGCTGACTTCAGAAAAACCTGGAAAGACTTATATGGTCTGATGCTGAGTGAAGTGAGAAGAACCAAGAGGACTTTGTACACAATAGCAGCCATGTTATGCAATGACTAAGAATGTCAAACTGAACCCTTCTCAGCATTACGAGGATGACTTATATGGTCTGATGCTGAGTGAAGTGAGCAGAACCAAGAGGACTTTGTACACAATAGCAGCCATGTTATGCAATGACTAAGAATGTTAAACTGAACCCTTCTCAGCATTACGAGGATCTAAGACATCTCCAGAGGCCTCAGGATGGAAAATGCTGTCCACATCCAAAGAAAGAACTACAGAAGTCGAATCGTTCTCACTTATTTTTACCTTCTGTTGAGTTTTGTTTCATCTTTCTGATGGTTCCTCCTATTGGTTTTAATTTTTACTTACAACTTCACTAATGTGAAAATATGTTTAATGGGTATGTAAATGTAAAGCCTATGTCAGATTGTCCGCTGCCTTGGGGAGGGTGGGGGGGACGAAGGGGGAGAAAAATTTTCAACTCAAAAGCATATGGAAAAAAATAAATAAATAAAATAAAATGCACTGAAGAAAAAAAAGAGTAGATAACATCTATTATTACATTGTGAAACTATATATATCACTTAAAAAACAAAAAACAATGAATATAAAGTTCACTATTTCGTATGCAATCTTCTTCCCTAAGTGAAGTGATTGACAGAACAATAGAACTGAGGTCAGGAAGACGTGAGTTTGACTCCTATCTCGGACACTTAACTAGCTGTACGACCCTTGGCAAATCACTTAACCTCATTCTCAATTTCATCAGCTGTAGTATGGGGATAATCATAGCATCTTTATCAAAGGGCTGTTGTGGGGCACAAATGAGATGACATTTGCAAAATACTTTAAAGCACTATACAGATGCCAGTTATTTTTCCCAGTTTTGATTTGCACATTAAATTTTTTGTGTTAATGATTACATAATCAAATAGAAAATCTGATTTCTTCAAAATTCAGGTAATTTGATTGTCATATGGGACACAAACCTAGGTGACTCACTTGGGATCATGTAATGCTATCTTAACCTGTTTAAAAAACAAACAAAAAATAATTCCCTATTTGACTAACTTAGTTAGAGTTGGGCCCATACCACATAAATTATATGACTGATATAATTCATTCCAATAGTTCTGTTTTTCAGAGATAAGCACCATTCTCAAATAGCATGACAAATTTTCATTTATTCACATATTCCTAATCAGACATGTCTAAGTTTAAAAGATTCATCTTAAAAAAGAAAATAAAGATTAAAGGTTTAATTGAAATATCATGAATAGATTTATTTCAATCTTGACTACACCATTTGAAAAATACAAGTAAGAAGTAAGAAAAACTCCTCAATAACTGGCCTGCTTGTGATTCTTCATGGTGTGGAGGTTGGCTTATGTTCTCAAAGGTCTTGGCAACAGGGCAAAAGTGTTGGCAGGTTCTACAGGTAGAGAGGCCTAGAGTAGGGGCTGGTGATAGGTCTGTTCTCTAAGGGCCACCCTAACTAAATTCAGAAAGGGTCACCACTAGGACGGCCACAGAGCAATATATTTTTCTGCCATAGCAACTGCGGAAAACCAACTAGATCATTTACTAAGTTATGGAGAAATTGTCTTCTGAGATAATGCAGGGATTTGTATAGACCTATAACACTAATCTGGAATTGAACTAGGAATTAAGGAAATAATATGGGATATGTGATAAATGGAAAACTATTGTGAGACAGTGGCTCGGGGAAGCTAGGTGGCGGTGCAGTGGATAGAGCACCAGCCCGGGATTCAGGAGGACCTGAGTTCAAATCTGGCCTCAGACACATAACACTTACTACCTGTGTGATCCTGGGCACACTTAAACCCCACTGCCCAATCAAAAAAAAAAAAAGACAGTGGCTGATCCCAGGAATCCCAAGAAATTGACAAGACATTTTTTTTTAACTTCGCATGGGTGGCAAGATACACAAAAAAATGATTCTATCTAAAGTAGGTATGTCATTATATATCACGAGTGTGAGAAGGCTACAAGGAACTAATGTAGCACATCATTTCAACTTACAAAAATCATACAATACAGGAAAACAAAAAGTATATTCTCTCAGAAGTGGAGGCTTTCTTATTACTTTTTTACTTCGTACAACACTTTGAAGAAAAAGTGTTATTTAAGTTCTATTAATATGCTTAAGGGTCATGGATCATGTATTGGGTCTTAATGAAGTTCTTGATTTTTTCAGAAGAACTTAAAAACAAGATGAAGTAAAAGATCACTGTGTAGAAAAGTTAGTAAAGTTCCATGTTCTGAATGGTAAAAGTATTGATATTTTTTTAACCTAAAATAATAAAAATTATAATCTGCATAAATTCTAAATTAAAATGTTCAAGAAATTACGGAATAAAAAGCTCACTGCAGTGCAACCAAATTTTTGAAATGATTTCAGCATAAGACAAAAGCAAACTCATTTATAAGGAATTCCTAGTCACTCTGTCTCACATATCTATTACCTTTGTGAAGGCAAAACAAATTTAACATTTATAATATGTTACAGACTTAGACTCTTCTTTATTCATTCTTAGAGTAGTACTTTTGAGACAAAGGCTGAAGTTACTCTATATCACATTAAACAGAAGCAAGTAAAAAAGGGCTATGTGAATATTTGTACCTGGATACAGGAGATGAAAGGTGGAAAGAACAACATCGTGCTACTTAGAAAATAGTTGAAATCCAGAAGCAACTTCTCTGTAATGCTTCTTTTCTCAGACGGGCTCTTACATTTATCCACCTCTTTTAAAATTCCAGTAAACAAGCTGCCAAAGAGCTGCTTTGCAAGGGCCGGGTCTCGCTAAAAAGCATAATAAACCAGGTGTCAACAAACAAAAGTCTGAAACAAAAGTGACATATTGCCAAAAGTGCTATAATGAGTTTCATTTAGAAACTGTCTTACCAATTTACCTTCTCTCAAATCTATTTTAAAAGTTACAAAAATTTAACTTAGTTTCTATTTCAATCCATTGGCTTAAATTTACACAGACACTAGTACTCTGATAAATATTCAAGCAACATTAGACACAAATTTTTATTTTACAATATGAAACTTAACTGATCAGTGCCATGAGATTAGGTGTAGCGGCAAAAGAAGCAGCTGTTTATGGAATAACACAGGGACTATCTTACACTTCTAATATACTTTTTATAAATGCATAAATTGTGATGAATGAGTTCACTCTCCACAGCACACAGCTATTTATTTTGGGTAAATCAAGTCATCTGAGGTACAGTGAAGGCCCAGTGCCTCTGGTGCACAATAACACACAGCTTCTTCCTATTCCTCGTTTATTTCCGGCTGTTTGTTTGTATAACCACAATGTTTTATGGAATTACCATAGGAAGTGCTATACTGACATTTTTACATAAAACTCTCATTTGAGAGCTGAACACCAGCCAGACCAATTACAAACAAAACAGATTAAATGTGTGAATAGTTTTCATTCCATTCCTTGGAGTTGCTCTCCCCATCCTATCACCACTCCTTAAAGTTGCTCAAAAACTTGTGAGAGGAAAACAAATGGTGGAAATTTAAATTCCATGAAGAAAAATTACACAGAATTTTCAGTTTCGAAAAAGAAATCAATTCATTAAACTTTTAAAAAAATGTAGGTGAAGTAATAACAGGTTAGTTACTAATTCTACTTTACAAATCAAAACCCAAAAGACAGAAAGCACAAGTCATTCCTCATACTTGGAAGGTCCTCTTTGCTCTTCTCCACTGTCAGACTCCTTATCTTCCCACACTCAGACGCCTCCAAGGAGGCTTCTCTCATCCTCCCAGTTACTAGTACTATTTCTCTCATCACGTTACCTTGTATTCCACTATCTATGTACTTCTTGTATATTTCCAGGGGTTCTTTGAAGGCAGGAATTGCCATTTCATCTTTGTCAAACATTCCCAGAACTAGCAACGTCTTGGACATAGTAGATGCTTAGGAAATGTTTGCTGAATGGAATTCAATTAATTTAGACCTGAGGTCCCCAAATTTATTTGGCCTATTGCCCCCTTAAAAAAAAATTACTCAGTGCACTGCTGGAAATCTACTTTCTTCAACCCTTTACTTTAAAAAAAAATTGCATCATTTCAAAAAAAATGAATTTTTTAAAAAATGAAGCATCTTAAATTTAATTATTTATTGTAAATTTGTGATTTTTCAAGTTTTTGTATTGAAATTTTGATGATGCAATATTGTGTGATGCAAGCACATAGTACTGTACTGTAAACAAGTCATTACACGCACATATTCCTTCCAATGCACGGTGCATGACATGCTCACCTGCCAGCACTTGCTTGTTAAGAACTGTCAGAAGACTTGACCAGTGATTGGTTGTAACTTGCATTTTATGTGTTTATTTGGAAAATAACGTAATCACTACAATTTTTACTCTGTTACACAACAGATGAAACATGTACAAATGGTTTTCCAAAATTTTCTTTTCTTCTCTTTTTTCCTTATGCTTCTACCACACCCTTATTTTTAATTCCATGCTTCCCAATTACACCTGAGGCTACTCCCCCACCCCCACCCCGGGGGTGGTATTGCCCACTTCGAGAAACTCTGGTAGATAACTGAAAGAGTCCAGCTAACACTGAAAAGTACTTGACTTTGCTTTAAAAGAGCATTAGCTACTTTAAAATCATCATTAGTAGAAATTACATGATGAACAGAGGTAGGCCAAGGTGTCTGGGGGCTCCCGGTCAAGTCAGTCAACATATTAATGACATGAGAGACCATCATGAGAAGACACATTTCCTGCTCTTCTGAAAGAAACTTACTTCCCAACAATTATCAAAATCCTGACTTCATTATGAGGTTGCTCAGACAAAATTAATTTTTGCAGCAAAGCACATAAGTGTCTTATCATGACGGTTTTCCATTTGAACATAAAATCCTACACTTGCATCAAGGAATCAACTGCCTAAAGTACAGAATAGATGCAGTAAAACAACAGTTTCTGTGAAAAAGACTGTGGGGATTTTAATCTCCTGAAAGCTCAACATGAATCAATATGGTGAGATGGCAGCCAAAACAGCGGATGCCATCTCAGGCTGCATGGAAAGACAGTGTTAAGAGGAAGGGGAGGGATGTTCTGATCTATTCTCTTGTCAGACCAGCTCTACAGTATGTGCTTCAGTTCTGAGCAAGACATTTTAGTGAGGGGCCCAGATAAATTGGGGAGCATCCAGAAACCATCAAGATGCACAGAAGACTGAGTGATGCAAACTGGGCCTAGAAGACCAGCCCACCTCTAAAACTTATTAGCTGTGTGACCCTTATATATACACCTACACACTCAAATACATACACAGATGCACACACATAAGTACTTGTCTCCCCATTAGAATGTAAACTCTGCACTTGCCTCCCCAGTACCTAGTCCAGTGTCTAGCACACAGGAGGTTTCTGACATATCTTTATCGACTGGAGTGAAGATGATACAGGAAGGAAATGACAACTGTCGGTTGTCTTCAAATACTGTAAGAATAGGAATTACAGTTGGTCTGCTTGGTCCCAGAGGGTAAAACTAGAAACAGTGGACCTAAGTCACAAAAAAGTAAATCTAGACTTGATAGCAAGGAAGATCCCATTAACAAAGAGATTGGCCAAAGGCGGCTCGGGCTGCCTTACAAACAGAAGAGGTTTCTTCTTGCACTAGGTTTCTAGGAATAGTGGTTACTCTTCAGATAAAAGATGACCTGAGGTCTCTTCCAATTCTAAGGTTCTTTCTTTCTGTAAATTAATGGCCTAACCTAATTTTCTTTGGTTCTGTGTTAAGGGAGATATTAGAGAAAGATGACCAGGGAGTTAGCATGGTGGAGTGGAAAGAACACTAAACTTAGAGACACAAGAACAGAGTTCAAGCTCTGCTACTATCTGTGTGACCTTGGCAAGTCATTTTACATTTCTGAGCCTCATCTCCTTCATTTGTAAAAGGAACTGATTGGACTATGATCTCCAAGGTACTTTCTAGCTCCATATCTATAGTCCTATGATCTAATGGTAAGAGAAAGGAAAGAAATAGTCAGACCTGTATAGGTAACATTCTGATACTACTGAAACAATGCCCAATAAACCAATGAATTTTAAAAAAATCACAGATGCAAATTTTTGTAAACACGAGAAAAATATCCTGATTTTTCGCACTCAAAATACAAATTACAGAACTTTCCTGTCCAATTTTCTATAATCTCTAAAATAATTTCTTCTAAATATTTATTTACAGAGAACCAAACACATGCAAAACACACTTGATATTATTTATAGTTAGTGAATAATAGGAAGTTAAGGTAGCGCTGACCTGGGCCACAGCTTGCAGAGGACTGATTAAACTGCTGTATTCAATCTGAATGTCAGGCAAATCTCCTTGACGATAACTTCTATACAAAGTAACCTGAGCATCGTGCTTCATTTTCAACTCATTTTTCATCTCCTGCATAATTAAGACCCCCCCAAAAAAAATTCAAGAAAATAAAATTTAATTGATGAGACAGTTAAAAAAAAACTCTTCTATTCTGTTAAAAAATAAAGTGTTAATGCAGGCAAAGTTAAAAGTCTTATAAAGCAACTGAAGATATGAAGCTTCAAAGAAAAGTTTTTACTTTTTGCCTCTATATGCTTCTGTACTTCAAAAAAGCATCTGTGATTTCATTTGTGGCACCTGAACAGAAGGTTTAAATGATTTGCTCCCAAATGGAATATCTGCCTGCAATATAGAAATCCTTTCTAGTTTTGTAGGGCTGACCAAAGCTTATGACCTCTTCAAGAACCCAAGGTTATGGGTTTATTTATTTATTTATTTTTGGCTAGGGATGGGGTTAAGTGACTTGCCCAAGGTCACACAGCTAGTAAGTGTTGAGTGTGTGAGGCTGGATTTGACTCTGGTGCTCTACCCATTGTGCAACTTAGCTGCCTGGGTTAAGGATTTTTAAAAAACATACTCTTAATACTTCTCAGTCTTAATTGCATTATAGTATTTCATTACAAATATGTACCAATTTAATGATTCCTCTGCAATTTATACATGTAGTTTGCTTGCAATGAAAAATAAGGCTATGAAAACCTTTGAAATGCTTGTGGTTTTTTTGTTTGTTAACACTTTCAGGGTATATTCACAACAGAATTAATGGATCTAAAGAGTAATAAATTAAAGATGTCACTATTTTGTTAGTTTAAAATGCATACTATAAGATTATTAGCTAAAAGGAGCCTACAAGTTTCCATTTTCACCAAAAATAAACGAGTTTATCTGTTTCTCCACAACCTCACCAGCACTGATTATTGGTTGGGTTTTTTTGTTTGTTTTCCAATTTGATGAATATAAAATGGTGCCTCAAAGTTATTTTAATTTGCATTTCTTCATTAGATAGGTGAAAATTTTTTCCCCCAATTTCAAAGATTTTTCTTTCCTCTTTTGAAAATTTCTTGTGCAAATCCTTTGCCATTCATCTATTGTGGACCGAGAGTTATCTTTTTAAATCTTTAGCAACTTGATATATGTGTATATGTTTTGGATGTTAGCTTTATCTGTTGCACATCATATATGATTTCCCTTTTATATTTTAATTATATTTCTGTAGTACATAAAATTTTTATTTTAATACAATGAAGGACATTGATCTTATCCTAAAAAATCTCCCTTATTTAGCTATTTTCTCTCCTTCAGATAAATATATTACTCCATCTTTACCTCTCAAATTACTTTGTAAGATAACTTTGCATTAATGCTTACATGTTACATTCTCCAAGAAGTACATAATTTCACTTTGTCTCTATGTCATCAGCACCAAGCACAGCAACAGACATCAGATGTGCTAAATATCTGATGAACTGAGCTGCTCTAGTTTCTGTTTCCTCTAGGTTTGTCAAACACTAATCTTCTGTGTATGTCTGCCTAGATCAAGAACAGTACCTCTACTTTGTTCCACTAATCTATTTCTGTACTTTTACCAAAAGTTACTTCCCCACCATTATGATGCTCAAAAGCAGAATGCTGGTAGAATCAGCCTACATCTGGAATTCAAAAGAAATTACAATCATTATATATCAAGATGAAAAAAAGGCAATGTTTATTGTGAAGCTATTTCAGTATTCACTGTTAAAGATAGACTGTGGTAAGGAAGACAAAATAAAGTTTTGGTTGAGAAGTTACTGTGGTCTTCAATTTGGGTAAAAAACACTGAAACTGAAGAAAAGCATCATCTAACCAGTCCCCATAAGTGGATTTGGAAACACTAAAACAAATCTGAATGATACTGACAACTCATGAATATCACTATATTCTTATTTCATATTTTCTTTAATGTGGTTTAAAGATATACACGTTTACATTCCACAAAATGGAGGTATGAGTGAAAAAGCAAATTCAATTATTTCTGTTGCTTCCAAATTTTGAAAAGGTTTATTTTTCATTCTATAATATTCAATCAACCTTATAACAATTACTACTTCTTTTATTTTAACTGAAAAACAGCGTGGGGGGCAGTGAGGTGGCATAGTGGATAGAGCACTATCCCTGGAGTCAGGAGGACTCGAGTTCAAATCCAGCCTCAGACACATGATACTCACTAGCTGTGTGACCCTGGGCAAGTCACTTAATCCCAACTGCCTCACCAAAAAAACCAAAGAACAAATACAAAAACAAAAACAAAACAGTGAACTAGGTTGGGGAAATCAGCATCTGAAAACAGTGATCAGATGTGTAAAATGGACCATTTGGAAACTAAAAGTTAAAACATATTTAATTTTTTTAAAAAAACACCTTTTGTAATATTTTATTGATGCTTTTTTTAAAACATTATTCTTACATTCCCATAACCCTTCCACACTGACAGAATTTTCCCTTTGAGAAAATAAAATTGAACACGCTCAGAATTTTGCTGCCTCAGTTTACCTTAATTTCAACTGGGACATCTTAAAACAAAAAGAAACTGGTAAGCAAAATATACGAGCTGACATATCTGTATCTCAACCAAGTCTGACAATATATGCAGCATCATGCACACCTTGGCCATAATAATTCTCTGTTAAGACATGAAAACAGATTTCCTTGCCAGTCCTCTGGCATCAATATTTTTAACCAAACTCTTTAAAGATACAAACCTTTTCCCTTTTCTGTTCCGCAACACCTTTTCTGGCATAAATCAAATTAAGCTTCTCTTGATCCTTTAAAAATCGCCTTCGCAACCTTAGGATTTCTGCCCGTTCATCAATACCTAAAGCCATAGGAAGAAAAAGTTATTATTAACATCAAATAATAGCAGAGGACCCAATTGGCATTGAATTTTTATACATATTTTAAAGTCTTAATTTCCCTTAAATTATTTAAATAATTCCATAAGAATTTCAGCACCTTTTCTAAGAAATAAATTCTCTAAATTATTAGGGAAGATGACACATACGAAAAAAGTCTAAACGTAGATGGGATGGTTTAAAGTTACTTAGTAAAAAATGAGACAAATTATTAAAATATTCATTTCATTTATATGTCACTACCAATAAACTTGTGAAAAAAATCAATGAACTAAACTTACTTCAGGGAAATGGTTTAAAGAAACAAGGAGGCTACCCCATCTTTACTCACACAATTCCTCCTAATACCACCATATCTCAATATCTGACATTTTCCACACTGAAAGAATCTGGGTCTTGGCCCATCCCTGATGACATTACCTTTATTAATCTTTGAGATGGTCACCTCCAAACTCTTTATGAACTCATACAGTAACCGGCAGCAATGTTTAAAACTCTCAATCTCCTAATACTTTTCCTTTGGCAATCCCTTGATATTTAGAGTAAAAGATTTCCTCTAAATAAGGTTTCATAGGAGAGGGGAAAGAATAATGACAGGAAAAAGGGCTGTCAGTAATTAAAAAGCAAGTGGTGCTGACAGTTAATAGTTCCTTGCAAGCTGGCTACTTATATTATAGCCCCAGGACTACTTGTGCGGCCCCGTACTTTTAATAATTTTCAGAAGAGATATGAAGGAAAAAGAGATGAAAAGCAGTGAGAGTCAGTCAACTCAGATGAAGGGAGAAAATAACAAGAGAAGTATTCCCCAAAGCTAATGTCCATGAGCTCATTTAACTTTCTATCCACCTTGAAAAGAACAAGCATATTCTACTTATAGTCTCTATAGCATAGCTGCTATTTCAAAGCAGGAGAAAAATGGAAGGAGAGAAGAGATTATGAGTACTTTCTCCTCACAGTCTTCCTTCTACAAATGAAAGGAGAAAGAAGTTTACCCTGCATTTAATTTGCTTTAAGAAAAAACAAATGTTAAATGCACGTCTTAACGCAGAAATGTATGTGCATAAATAATGTAGGTGTGATGAATGTCAGTGTTACACTACTCAAACTACTGATCTGAAGTGTAGAAAGTTTCAAGTTATGTCAGTCACTGTATTTTAGTTGTATAGCATTACTTTACCTTTGGTTTTGTTATCTACTTCATCTCCTGGCAATCCCAATCTTTTTTTTCCAAAATTAGGTCCCACTGATTTCAAGGCTGCCCTCTGAGGTTTATCAGTTCTCTTATGAACAAACAGCAAGGAAGAAGATAATGATTCAAACAATGATGTGTTTGTATATTCTGCAAATGTGTCAATGCTGCTTCCAGTTAGCCAATTAAAAGAGTTTCTTCCAGCTGTAAAAAAATTATAACTCCATTATAGTAAGGCTATTATTTGGATTCAGACATACAATAATCCTTCTCTAATTACCAAATATGGAAAAAGTTTTATAGAAGATAGTTTATAAATTAAGTATCAGTGCTATCATCATAGCAGTATGATATAGTGAATCTAGCATTAAGACTAGGAATTAGACCTGGATGAAATCCTGGATCTGTCACTCAATGGCTTTGTGACCTTGAACAAACCTGGGCTTTAGTTTCGTCATCTTCAGATTTAACATATTTGATTTATTATCTCTAAGGCTTCCTTCTGCCTCCAAAATTCTATTACATACAAACACTATTACCAGTATTATTAAATGGAACCACTGTACTTGTCAAATAATTACAAAGCATATCTGTTTTCATACCCACCATAACATAAAATTGTGAGTCTAATAAAAAAATTTCAAGTTTACATAATCAGTTTTTTATCTGACATTGCATTTTTTTGGAACTATATTAACTAACGGAAAACACAGAGAAATATTTAACAAACCCAGTGATATGCATGTGTATATCTGCAGTGAAACAAAAGCAATCAATTTGTATCTATTTATAATATTTCATTAATTTCAAAAGATATTAATTTTAGTCATATTTTCTCTTTTAAATTATGCTATTAAAATTAATATGATGGCACATAATTTGTCTTTGCAGAAATGAAACTAAAGAATCATCTAAAATTAGGGATCTAATTGATATTTACCTGTATTTTGTGTAGGAGTAAATTCGTAATGTTGTTGGGTAGCTCTTATTTGTTTAGTCTGGGGAAGCGAAAGGGAACCATCTTGTGATCGGTTTCTAGCAGTATTCTGAGACGCCTGAGTCTCAATAAACATTGGGGTGAGAACAGTACTTCGATAACGCCAATCAGAATCGATACTATATTCCTGAATGTGAACAAGTTTGAAATGATATTAAACAGCAGTAATGTTTTCCCCTTTTATCAATTATAAATTATTTTAAATTCAATATTGCAAATAGCAAATTTATTTTCATTCAACTCCCTAAAACACCATCCTGTCAACTTAATATCAGATCATTCAAAAGTGTATTTCCAAGAAACCCTCCCTCTTTATCTCTACGTCTCCACTTTCCTGGCTTCCTTCAAGTCCCAGCGAAAACCTTACATTCTACAGGAAGCCTTTCCTAAGCCTTCTTAATTCTAGCTCCTTTCTTCTCTTAATTATTTCCTATTTATCGTATGTAACTTCTTTGTTCATAGCCGTTTGAATGTTACCTCCACCATTAGTGAGCTCCTATAGAACAAGGACTGTCTTTTACCTTTTTTTTAAATCCGCAATATGTAGAAGGCACTTAAATGTCTAATGACTGACTTTAATTCATTTGCTCAATATGAACTTATAATTTATTTTCTGGTAATTATATAAGAAGGGATAAATAAGCATCTGACACATTCAGTTTCATTGTTTTAAAAAAGTATTCCATCTTTCTAGTCTTTTTATATACATAATAACAACAAATTTATATACAATCAGAAAGATTTTAGTCCAACTTATATAACATTAAAAAGAATTAAGACCTCCAAACTCCAAAGTTACAACTATTTCTTGACATATGTGTTGCTCTTTTGTAGTTTTCCTTTGTACTCTAAAGGAATTTAACGTTTTTTTAAAAAGTTTAATAGTGTGTATTTGTAACTATGTACAAAAGTACTTTACCTGGAATTTACATTCTGAAAGGGGATGTTCAAATATATGTCTTGAATAATCCGGGCTCTTGCTGGCCATTTCAAGTAGAAAATTTGTTGCTAAACTCAAATAGTGCATTTCTATTTTAGTTGAGTATAAGGACCGCAGGGCCAGTAAGCGATCCATTATGTTCGATGGTAACCTGGTTTCGTGACTCCAGAAATTCCTAATAATTAATCTATAAGGGAAAAAAGGTAGAAAAAAACACCCCATCCTATTACTAAAAGTAATATACTATACAACATGAAATCAAAGAGATTTAGATTTTTAGACCAGCAAATATGAACAATCCTTTATTTCCTGACTAAATTATTTTTTTCTGAACTGTTTAAAGATTAAATTATATCAATATATCAGACAAAGAATAACTTTAAAAATCCAGATTTTAATATTAAAAATAAAGACTAGCAAAGGACATGAACAAGCAGTTCTCTAAAGAATTGCAAGCTATAAACAACCACAGGAAAGATGGCTCTAAATCACTAATAAGGCAAAGCCAAATCAAAACAGCCCTGAGGTTCCACCTCACACCCTGAAAACAAGCAAAGAAAGAAAGATATAAGAAAAGTCAATGTTGGAAGACAGGGCACACTTGGTGAAGTTGTGAATCACTACAACCATTTTAGAAAGCAATTTGGAATTATGTAAATAAATTGATTACAGATCTTTTACTCCAGAGATTCCACATACACTTTTATACTCCAATGAAGTAAACTGATAAGAAGAGAATCCCCATACACACCAAAATATTTACAGCTGCACATTTTGTGAACTGGAAACAAAGTAAATGCTCATCGATTGGAAAATAACTAAACAAACTGCGTTACATAAATGCAATGCCATATTACTTTGCTATAGGAAATGAAGAATATGATGAATACAAAGAAACATGAAAAGATCTCTATAACCTGGTAAATAATGAAACAAGCAAAGCAAAGAAAATGATAAATAAAATGACAACAACGGAAATAGAAAGAACCACCACAATATAATCAAAAGTGAATGTTGTAAAAATACAAAGAATAAGCAAGATTCCAAAGAAGAGAAGAGATAAAATATCCCTTTCCCATTCCTTTACAAAGATGTAAGATCCACAGATAGGGTGAGCACATGTCACATATTTTCAGATTTTTTTCAATATATTAATCAATTTTATAGACTTTCCTCCCATCTTTTTCTTTTAAAAATATTTTTATATAAGATGATGACTCTCTGGGAGGAAGAAAGAGGAGAGATGTCAGGAGAACAAAACAGATGATGTAACAAAACAGAAGATATCAATTGAAAGGTATTTTTTAAAAAGTTCAAAAAAGACCAGATGAATTAAACTGTAGCAAAATGTGAGTTAAAATAACAATGAATTCCATATACATTATAATGCTTTTTGATATTATGTACGATAATGACCATCACTTCACCCAAACGCCTTGCCCCTGGATATAATTTACACTTGTGCGGAAATGTATGAGATTTTTTCCCCCTTTGTTTTTAAGAAATCAGCTGGATTATCATCTTGCTTCAATACAAAATTATAATAATGGTTAATTCAAAATTTTAAGGTCTCAAACATCTAATCTAGAATGAGTATGGTAACAGCTTTACTTGTATCTAAGGTTAATGAAGAAATAAATTAACATTTTAATTTCATATCTTAATTCACTTTGACACAAAAAATTACATTCTCTGCCCAGTGTGACCTCCCCTATAGATGACAGATAAAATGTAAAGAATTTTAAAATGATCTGATCACCTCTCTAACACTATTATAATTTGCAGAATAAGTGCCTATCTGCAATTGGTAGAAGCTTCTTCATGAGGGAAGTTCCCTATGCCAATGAAACCACAGATTCAGACAGAAAAGAAAATTTTTTTAAAAGATAGTTAAAATATTACAGAGTTAAATTTAACTAAACATTAGGGAAAAAAAGGCAAGAGGAAGAATTCTGTAAAACAGTTATCTTGAAATAAGTCTCTCAAGCTATGATAAGTTCTACTGACACACAAACAAGTATTAAAATTAACTTCACTGTCTTAGTTTTCATATTCTAGAAGAATCACCTACTGAAGTTCAAGATTATCATCCATTAGTCCTTGAAGCAGTGCTTCTTTTGCCAGTTTAAATACTTCCTGGGATTCTTCATCAGTCTGGCTTTCTGGGTCCCTTTAGAAGATTAAAAAAAAAAACCCAATTATTAACTTCTACTCAGCTAGTTAAAAATAGTATGACTGATAATCTATTCTGAAGCAAGAGACTGCCAGTTCACTTCCCATATAAGTGCTATTTTAAATTAAATTAAAAGGAATTTTCTTCAACCTGTTAAGTAGGTTACGTTATGAAAGACATTTTGGGTAGATATAGGCAACAATTACACAGAAAGAGAAGGCATAGATAGACTGCAATTTGCATTAGGTGAGTGAGTAACCCTATAGATGAAATTATGGTTCCATAGAAGTATCAAAGTATATTTACTTCCAGAATTCACAAAGATCAATTTCTATATAGCAAAGAAGCCATACTTTCTGTGAGGCAAATTGCAATGAGTAAAAGGAGTAACCAGGATAGTTTTGTCAAGAAATATGACATCACCCTATCCTCTGTGAACATCTTTTATCACCATCACTGACACCTCACTATGACAGGGAGAGTTGTCGTAGAAATAATGCAACAAGAAAGGGAAGAACAGGAACAGGGGATGAAGACAATAAAAATATATTAAAAGGCTCTTCTGGGGCCACTACAATAAATGGTGACATTTATTTTGCCCATTCTAAGAAATGACGGGTAGCAAGCTACCTCAACGCCTGCATATATATTTATATACCTGTACATATAGTGATAGATCTAGATATACAGCTTTCTCCCCAAAAAGAAGAGAAAAATAGATATACAATACCTCCCTCTTCTGGACAAATCTTGGAATAGCATCACAAGAATAAAGTTTTAGGGGAAGAGACTTTCACAATTCACCTCTGACAAAAAAATAGAGTCTAAACATACTGTTTACAATTGGTACAGAGTCATTACACAAAGACATGTTTTAGAAGCAGTTTCACTGCCTTAAAAAATAATCTAATTTTATGTAATAGTCTTGTATCATGTCATAAAGCATCAGCACCCTTGAAGATATTCTGCAGAATGCCAAATGCATCATCATCCCTGAAATACAGGGTATTATTAAGAAAGGAATGAAACTCTGCTAAAAACCCATACCTGTAATTATCATGAATCCACATCAGGATGTTATACATTTTTTCCCGACACACTGGAGAAGGATGAGAAATGAACTCTACAACACAACTGAGAAATTCTCGTAGTTCTGCTGGTTTCAGTTTTGCTAGCATTGTATAAATTATATCCAAACACACTTTTTGTCTTTCATCATCTCTAGAGTGAAAAATACCAAAACCACTAGTTACATAATCTTCCTTACTTTACTTTATTCATCATGATTATTTTACTTTCTTCATTACAAAGGATGTATCAAGCACTCCTGTGTACATGAGCATGGGTAATGTAACTAAAAATGACTTACAAGAACACTGACCAATTGTGTCCTTATAGAGCTTTAGAGAAAAGCATGCCTCCCCTCTCTTCAGCAGAGAGATTGTGGGCTGTAAGTGCAGAACAATGCATTCATTGTCAGACTGGGCCAATGTATAGATTTGTTTTGCTTAACTAAATTTCTTTTATTATTTTTAATAAGGGCTTGTTTTATTGGCCTGAGAGTGGGGAAGAGACCACTGGTAGTTGTAGCTATTTAAAGAAAAGCACAATAACAAAATTAAGTATTTTTTTAATTTAAAATAAGTATTTTTTGAAAAAGGAATTACAACATCAAACTAAATACCTAGAAGAAGGATTCTATGATAAAGAAATGGGTTTCAAACACCAATGCTTTATACATAGCATGCACTCAGTATTTACTGAATTTGTTCTAATTTTAAAATAGAGTTTTTATAAACTACCTAGGCAAATATCAAAATGTATCTGTTCCACAAAATTACTCTTAGCTCTTTGTTCCCCCACCATGCCTTTCTGTTCATTCATTATAAATCTATTAGTAGCCACAGACATAAGTCTGCTGCATGTAAGCTTCATCTGCTCTACATATTCAAAGACATCTGCTCCACGCTCTCAAAAAGGACTCTTCAATTTCTGTCTCTGGATCAACATATTCAGAAGCATAGACTCTTAAGAACTGGATGGGGCCTTGGTAATCACCTTCTCTGAGCTCCTCATTTTGCAGATGAAGAAAATGAGAGCCAAGAGGTTAAATGACTTGTCCATGTAACCACATAAATAAGTTAGTGGAAGAGATAAGACTAAAACTGACCAGCTGGAATTGACTCCCAGATAGAGCTCTTTTCCACTTTATTTATACTTCAATGACTATTCCATGCACTCACTGACCGTTGAGCCAAAGCACATGGATCACAACTTCCCTACTCACCGATGTCTCATGATCTGGATGAAATCCTTACTCTTCAACTGTAAGTAGAGATCGTGTATTTCTTCTGCACGACACAGTACCACTTCCAAACATAGGGTTTTCATCACTCCATGAAATTTTGGCAGCAAAAAGAACACAGCATTCATAAACCTTGAAATTGACATTATTAATAAATAGGATGAAGAATAACAACACTTTCCCATCACCAAAAACAAGAAAATGATCATATAACTCAATATCTTACCTATCAGCAAGAGGAGGGAAGGTCTTCACTACTTTATTTAAACATACAATAAATTTGTCCTCCTTAGTATTCTGATGTTGCTTCAGTTGTTTGACAACTAACTCAAAAACTGAGTCCTCCAGCACCTGGAAGATTAAGTAAACTTTAAAACAAAGAAAAAGACTGAAAACTTAAGGACATGTTCTGTCAACTACTAGTGACAAATTATACTTTTAACTGTTTCAGTGATCATAAATGAAAATTAATAGATTCACCTAGAAATAAAAATATAATAACTGACATCAGTAGTACTTTTAAGCTTTGTAAACTGTCCACTTCACCACAAACCTGTGTGATAGGTATATTAGATGTTATTATTCTCATTTTAGTTAAGGAAATCAATCAGTTCAAGAAATTAGAGGCAACTAGGCAGCACAGTATTATGTACCATACATTAGGTTAAGGTACTATAGATCACAAGGAGCTTATAATTCGGTAGGGGATGAGAAGTAGGCACAAACAATGATAGTTAGAATGTATGATGGGCACAGGAGAGATTAAGGAGAAAAGAATGAGATACTGAGAGGGCAGAAAATACCTTTCAAGCGTTCTAATTTTGAACTTCTCACAGAGAAGCATAAACTGATAACAAAATACCTAAAATAACATTCTCACTGATTTTTTTCTGAAAATAAATACACCTAAGATCCAAGTATGAAATTAATCAGCAAGATGCCGCTTCAACTAAAAAGAGTTGGTATGAGGGGAAAAAATCCAACAAATTTGTTACTAGAAGGTACTAGTAAATAAAATAGTAATACAGCTGAATACAATACAATAGCTAAGGATACACTTTAATTCTAAGCTCCAACTTTCAAGAGTTTGCTAAAAGTATTTTAAGCAATTATTAAACTGTGTAAAGACTTCACTTTAATGTGAATTTTTAATTTACTCCTTGATTAAATTGGATAGACTGTGCCGGCAAGAATTCACATTGCATGTCAAAATAACTACCCATTACTTAAATAAACTTTTAAAAACTTAAAAATATCAACAGTTATTATTTCCCCATATATCCCTCAGTAACGCAGTTCAAGAAATACCTAACACAGTACAGAAGAGGTGGGGAAAGCTGCAAGACTGCCTTTGTTTCTTCCCTACTTCTAAAGATGTGCTCATTGGAGTGGGTACTCATATTTTCTACCAACACAGACCATATGTCTTGGTAGTTAGCTCCAGTCAAAAGACCCCATTAAGCAGTGGCAAAATTTCTGGTGACAGGGCTACTGAAACTAAGAAAGCCTCATTCTTAGAGAAGAGAACATGAAATGTTTCCTGGTTAAAGAATTTCTGGCTTGGTAAAGCCTGTCACAACTTGTACTATTTCTAGCAAAAGCCTTTTATAAGCCAGGATAACCTCAAAGAGGCAACAGAGTAGAACTACCACTGCTTCCAAACTTAAAGGCTTTTTAGTATTGAGATTATCTTTACAGCATTCAAACTGATGAAGTCAGATTGTGTTACAGCCAGGACATCTCTAAATAATTTCTTCTTTTTTTAAAAAAAAATTTTTAATTTATTTTAGTTTTCAACATTGACTTCCATAAGCTTTTGAGTTTTAAATTTTCTCTCCCTCCCTTTCTGCCCCATTCCCCAGGACAGCGTGCAATCTACATATACATTCATATTAAATATATTTTCATATTAGTCATGTTGTAAAGAAGTATTAGAACTAATGGGAGGAACCATGGGAAAAAAGCAAAACAAAACAAAACAACAACAAAAACAGATCAAATAGTATGCTTTGATCAGCATTTAGACATCATAGTTCTTTCTCTGAATGCAGACAGCACTTTCTATGATGAGTCTTTTGGAATTGTCTTAGATCCTTCCATTGCTGAGAAGGGCCAAGTCTATGAAAGTTATTCTTCCCACAATGTTGCTGTTACTGTATACAATGTTCTTCTGGTTCTGCTCACTTCACTCAGCATCAGTTCATGCAAGTCTTTCCAGGTTTTTCTGAAGTCTGCCTGCTCATCATTTCTTATAGCACAATATATTCTATTACATTCATACACCACAACTTGTTCAGTCATTCCCCAACTTATGGGCATCTCTTCAATTCCCAATTCTTTGCCACCACAAAAAGAGCTGATATAAATATTTTTGTACACATGGGTCCTTTTTCCAATTTTATGATCTCTTTGTTCACAACTCCACAAACAATTCATTAGTTTCAATTTTCCCGCATCTTCTCCAACATTTATCCTTTTGTCACGTTAGCCAATCTGATAGGTGTAATGTGGTACCTCGGAGTTGTTTGATTTGTATTTCTCTAATCATAATAATTTAGAGCATTTTTTCATATGACTATAGATAGCTTTAATTTCTTCATCTGAAAACTGCCTGTTTATATCCTTTTGACCATTTATCAATTGGGGAATGACTTGCATTCTTATAAATTTGAGTTAGTTCTCTATATATTTTAGAACTGAAGCCTTTATCAGAGACACTGGCTGTAAAAATGTTTCCCAGCTTTCTGCTTCCCTTCTAATCTCCATTGTGTTGGCTTTGTTTGTGCAAAAACTTTTCAATTTAATGTAATCAAAATTACCCATTTTGCATTTCATAATGTTCTCTATCTCTTGTTTGGTCATAAATTCTTCCCTTCTCCATAGATCTGACAAGTAAACTATTCCTTGCTCTCCTAGTCTGCTTATAGTATCAGCCTTTATATCTAAAGATGTACCCATTTTGACTTTATCTTGGTATAGGATGTAAGATGTTGGTCTATGCCTCATTTCTGCCATACTATTTTCCAGTTTTCCCCAGCAGTTTTTGTCAAATAGTGAATTCTTCTTCCAGAAGCTGGGGTCTTCGGATTTATCAAACAGTAGATTACTACAGTCACTGACTATTGCGAGTTACATACCTAACCTATTCCACTGATCCACCACTTTATTTCTTAGCCAGTTACAAGTAGTTTTGATGATTGCTGCTTTATAATACAATTTAAGATCTGCTATAGCTAGGCCACCTTCCTTTGCATTTCTTTTCATTAGTTCCCTTGATATTCTGAACTTTTTGTTCTTACAGATTAATTCTGTTATTATTGTTTCTAGCTCTATAAAATAATATTTTGGTAGTTTGATTGTTATAACACTGAATAAGTAAATTAATTTAGGTAAAATCGTCACTTTTCTTATATTAGCTTGGCCTACTGATGAGCAATTGATATTTTTCCAATTATTTAGATCTGACTTTATTTGTGTGAAAAGTGTTTTGTAATTGTGTTCATATAGTCCAAAGACTCAGACTGACTCTAAGCCAGTTAGAGAGATTTATTATGGTTTTGAGGTTTTACACTCTGGTGAGAGGCTAAGTTCCTTAGAGGAATTAGCAATTTCAGTAAGCCAAAATGACAATTTTACAGAGGGTAAGACGCTGATTATACAATCAAAATTTTCATAGAATATAGGAATATGATTAATATTAAAAAGGCAGGAGGAGTTTGTTGAGGGATTAGGTAATAGGGGATGGGTCCCAGCCTTTGTGGAACTGTGCTTGCGATTACCCACAATGCATACAGAACTACCCCCCCCCACCATGTATGATACATGTATGATAATGATATTATAATAAGCCTCACTATGTCCTAAGTTTATTCTAGGTCAGTTTTTACTGTTACTGCCCAGGTGCTATCTTAGGGTGGGCCCTTCGATGGTTTGGTGGTTAAGCATCCTGCTCTACATTCTGGTGCTGCTTTCTGATTGGCTAGCTATTGTTGTCCTGTCTGGTCAAGAAGGATGATGTAGTTGTGGTTGAGCGCATGGACACACCTGTTTCTGTGGGAAATATGTGAATTGGATCTGGGGGCAGAGGCTAGCTAGAGGCAGTGCAGTGGGTCTGCTGTTCATTGAAGCCTATGATTGAGCCTGGGGGCCTGTAATATATTGAAATCAGACTGTGTGGTCAAAGCAGGGCATGCCTGCTGTTCAGTGGGGCTCATAAAGAAGTTAGAATACTGGGGCTGCGAGCAGCTTTATTAGGATTCCATATTACACTGACTCACTTTTCCTATTCCTTGTAATAGTTATAATATGTACAGTATAATGGCTGGCCACCTAGCTAACATTTTATTTTAAACATGCAAATTGAAAACAAATTATAGTTGACTCTCAGCATTTATAAAATCACAGAGCTGAAAGGGACAGCAGAAAAGGGGTATTAACAGTTTTTGTATCATGGACTCATCTGGCAGTCCAGACAAGCCTATGGATTGAAACACTGTCATTAAAACAAAAAAGTTTCCAGACTTCAGGTTAATAATCCCTATGTTAAGAACCTCTATTTTAATAATTATCTAATCCAATCTGTTACCTGATCAAGAATTCCTTCTTCAACAACTTCAGTAAGTGATCATCTAGCCATTGCTTCAAGACTTTGAGAATCTGCTAACTTCCTACAGCAGAACATTCCTCTTTGGGATAATTCCAATTATTAGGAAGTCTTCTTCCTCACCATCAAACCTACAATCTGCCTCTCAGTAACCTGGTCCTAGTCACTCAGTAATTAATAGTACTCAGTTACTTAGTAACACTGTGCCTAGTTCCCCTCTTGGTAGCTAAGAGAAATAATTCTAATAATGCCCCTTCCAAATTATACCCTTCAAATATTTAAATGATAATAACTAATATTTACATAGAACTTTAAAGTTTGTATAGCACTTTATCTCTGAATAAATCTCACATCCTGGGCATCTCCAGTTGCTCAGATCTATATCTGGCCACTGGACCCAGATAGCTCCAGAGGAGAAAGTGAGGCTATTGACTTTGCACAACCCTCCCTCACTTAAACGTAATTCACTTGCAAGTCATGGCATCATGTCCTGTCCTGTCCTCTCTCCACATAATGTATCATGCCCTTACCTGAGAGTGCTCTGCCTATAGGAAGGTAAATTTTGAAGGCTGAAATCTACCTAGATATCTTGGTGTTTATAGGCTAGATTGCTTTCTTAAAGATCGTGCCTTAAACCTAATCTACGCTGGCTCTCACTGATAGGTCTCTACACAAGCACCATTTAATGGATATTATTGGCTCAGAGCAAATATAAATAGTAATTGTTTCTCGGGGGCAGCTAGGTGGCTCAGTGGATAGAGCACTGGCCCTGGATTCAGGAGGACCTGAGTTCAAATCCGGCCTCAGACACATAACACTCACTAGCTGTGTAACCCTGGGCAAGTCACTTAACCCCCACTGCCCACCCAAAAACAAAACAAAACAAAAAAAATTAGTAATTGTTTCTCTTCTGTCCAGAAACTCTGAAGGTCTTCTCATCCCAGTTTGATTTTTTTTTTTAATTAAAGGGGCCATCCCTTGGCTCACTTCTTAAACAACCCTCATCAATGAATTGGAATTTCCTCAAAATGAAAACTCAGAAAGGCCTTAGCTTAAAAAGACCAAGGTCTCCCACTGCATTCTGGGCCATCTCCAGTTGTCCTGATCTATATCTGGCCACTGGACCCAGATGGCTCCCAAGGAGAAAGTGAGGCTGGTAACTTTGCAGTGCCCTCCCTCACTTAAATCCGATTCACTTGTAAGTCATAGCATCATCTTCCTGATGTCATGGTCCTCTTCCAGAACGAAGAATAAACCACACACAGCACTTTATGTGTAAGATACACTGTCCCTTTAGGATAAATGGTATACTTTAGTGCTTAAAAAGGGCAGAAAACATAACTGTTTTTTTTTAAAGAAAAAATATTAACTGTCAAAGTATGTAAGATATTGCCAATGCTGCAGCTCAATATTCTGATAGCTAAAACAGGTAGGAAAAGAACTTTGATTTACTAAAACTGTTAATATATGTTTATTCAGAAACCATTTTCAAAGAGCATTTTAGCAATTTTGGACTGAAAATGAACTATGGCATAAATGAAAAGGTTTAAATACCTCTTTGTGTGGGAACAGTTTGATTTTATAAGAGGCAAAGAAAGATCTATTTCTTACTGAGAACTGAAGAAATGAGCATATGAAAAAAATGAGTATAAAGAAACAGTGGACCAGCCTGGATTATGGCTAAAACTTTTAAAAAGGAAAAGAAAAGAAATTTTATACACACATACAAACATTTAGAGGCTGAGGTATAAATTTTTATTCATAGAGGAAGTCTGAGGTGAAAGGGGAGCCCCTAAGAAGAGTCAGGAGGATCCTCATCTAAGCCCTAGAAATAGACAGTTAAGAATTTGAGAGAAGACTCTGACACAGCAAGCTGAGAAGAACTGAAGAGGCAACACTGGAGCAGAGAAGAGGCTCCATTCGTGCTCTCGCAATGAGAAGTAGTCAGTTGACACAAGGCTTCTGCTGAGTTATTCCTAATTGGTGGGAGAGAAAACTGACTTCGCTGTCACCAGCTGGTGCTGTCTGGAACTGAAGGGAAGTGAAGCTTTTAATAAATGCCAGCTGCTCTTTGCCTTCACCTCTAAATTAAGAAGGAAAGGCAGAAGAGGCTTTACAGCAGTCTGTATCCTGGTATTTAGGCTTGTTTCTGGCTTAAAGAATAAACCCGAGAGCTGTGTTGATGGGAGCCCCACCAGCATTTGGATGAGTGAAACATTTGGCTGATCTGGTCTGCACAGCCTAGTGATGGCCAGTTACATGAGTTTTACAGTTTTTAGGCTTAAAGAGAACTGTTATTCACGGAATATCTTTTAAAACTCTTTTAAAAGTGAAAATGTCCATTAGTTCTTTAGTCACAGAATACTTCTCTAAGCTTTCTTGGGGAAAATAATATGCTTTTCTAAATACACGTAATGGCTTCCCACAAGCTCTTTGGCTTGGCATTTGAGGCCATTTAAAAAAAATACATTCTAACCTACTTTACTTCCCCTTCATATGCCCTGTATTCTATCTAAACTATACTACTCTGCATGCCTTAAATATGATCCACTCTTCTTTCTTCTATCTCCTAAACCTGAAACATTCTACCAGTTAAAATCACCCTTTCTTTCAAGTGCCACGCTCTTTATGTGGCTTTCCTTCTCTAAAATACTCAGGTAAAAGGGATCCCTCCTTTCTCTAAGCTCTCATGGCACTGTTCTTTTTCTTTGAATTTTCACATTCTACACTAATGGATCAGAAGTTCCTTGAAAAAAAGGGATTATTTCTTAGTGCCCACAAAAAGACTTTCTATATAGTACATATTCAATATGTTGGTGGAATTATAAATTATCATAAGAAAAAGTAATTTACATAAAAGTTCACTTACATTTTCCTTCTTAGCAATATACTGAAGAACTAATCCCAACACTTCTGCTGCAGCTGCATACACTTCTTTATACTTTACAAAAGACATGTTGTTGACCAAAGCTTGAAAGTACCTACAGATTACAAATAGAGGAAGCAAATTTGTATAAAATCATTCAACTAGTTTGCTATGATCCAAACTACACATGAAATGAAGTACTATAAGCTTTTCATCACAACCCAGAAAGGAGAACTGAAAATAAATTTTCAATGAGGATGCTAGTCCAAGGTGCAATGGTATCAAAACACCAAGAAAATCCTGGACATTATTCAAGAAAGCTTTTGGAAATATTAATCTATTATTACGTAAAAGCTATGATGCAACTGTATATGGAAAACTGTGTGAAGTACATCTTTACTTCAATGGATCTATGTATTCATTAATATAGGTAGTCCATCTAAAGAGAGTACCATTAGTGAAGATTGTAAACTCTCCACACATTCTTATTCTGTGATTCTTATTCATGTTTTTTCATAAACTCTCCAGAGATGATCCATCCAAAATGCTAAAGCCTTCCTTCAGTTTCCTTAGTATTTTGGACATGCCATTATGGTACTAAGGCTGCCCATCAGTAGATCTTTTTTGCAATGTGCCTAGCTCACCTCCTTTCCTAGTCATAATTATCTCTGATGAAACTGGAAGGACAAAAAAAATGGACAAAAGAGCAAAACTATCTACAAAGATTTTTGTAACTAACTGTTTTCACATCAAAACTGTGCCATTGAAGAACCATCACAACTTGTATCACAATCTTGGTTATATTAATAATAGATGAAAATAGCACTGAAGAAAAATTAAGAGAAAGCAGTTGGACTAGATCAAATGTACCAGGAGGAGGCCTATAATGAAGTGCTACAATTATGAGGGCAGTGAGAGACTGATTCTCAAGGTATCAGAGGATACAGAAAAAATAGCAAAAATGTGGGACCAAAAAAAAAAAGTATCTGAGAAAACACTAATAATACCTCTCTTCTCTTATATATAAAACTTTTACGTATGTTGAAACCTTTAATTAGGAGGACAGGAGTTGGGAGTAAGAGGAAGACTGTGAGCCATCTATCAAAATGATTAAGAAAAGAGGTTGTTACATAAGGACCATTTTATGAAGTACCCAGGTACCATGCATTCTCAATTCTTTTAACATCCACTCATGAATCCCTGGACTTTTCCACCGCCTGCCTAGAGCCCTCCAATTGCTGATTTTCTGCCCATAACCAACAAAACTAATTCCTACAAAATAAAATTCCCAGAAATATTTCCCATATAATTACAACACAATCCTTCATACTAAATGTCCTTCTTAAATCATTAAAAAAGCATAGTTTTTATTGACCTGGATTCTGGTCCCTGGCATTGAAATTTTAAATAAAAAGCTTTACTAGATTTTGCTCAATCTGGCTCAACTACATTTTAACATCAATGCGAAAAGATGTGATTCTCACCTTGTACTTTCTATACCACTTTTTGAATCATAGGGAGGTAAGTTATTTGCCATTATGATTCCTAATAACTGAATTCCTACAGAATTGTCTTTTGAGTTGGGGTCTCTATTGGAAAACTTTTCAAATATTATCCTGAAACACAAGAACAAAAGGAAAAAAAACTATATATAAATGGTCCATTAAGTTGTAAATTAACATTGATAAAAATACTTTTGAAAAGTATACACCAGAAAATTCAGAGACCTATGGAACCTTTCCCTATGAAATTCTATAATTTTATTGTTTTTCCTTCACATCCTTCTCACATACATTGTTTTTGTTTTGTTGTTCAGTTGTGTGCGACTCTTTATGACCTCATGGACCACACTGTCCATGGGATTTTCTTAGCAAAGATACTGGAGAGTTGCACTCCATCAGAGTGGCTTGTTATTTCCCTCTCCAGTGGATTGGGGCAAATAGAGATTATGTACAGCTAGTAAATGTCTGAGGCCACATCTGAACTCGAGTCTTCCTGACTCCAGGCCTAGTGCTCTATCCACTGAACTATCTGGCTGCCTCTATCATCCATTACTTTATGACTGACTTTTCATTTATTTGCATTCAGGTTAATCTAGTGTTTTGCTATTGATACATTTGAATATGTTCTTTCTTCCCTTTTCTCTACCTGTCCCCTCAAATTTATCTCTAAATTTCATTTAATTATTTTATTAAAATTAAGATGCTTTTAGAACTGTTTCACTCTTAGAATTATGTACTTTTAAAATTATTCTAAGGGTATCAAATAGCAAAATACAATGGGATAAAATGGATAGAATATAAAAGTAATGAAGGGGCAGCTAGGTGGCACAGCAGATAGAGTACCGACCCTGAAGTCAGGAGGACCTGAATTCAAATCCAGCCTCAAACCAAACACTTGACACTTACTAGCTGTGTGGCCCTGGGCAATTCATTAAACCCCAATTACCTAAAAATTAAAAAAAAAAATTTTAAATAGTAACAAGTCTTATTATAATTTTCTCAATTGATTAACTTAAATGATGTTAATAAAATCCAAATCATAGCTAAAATAATGTATTACCATACATAATCAAACTAAGTCCATGTGTATTTAAGTGTCTGAACACACAAAAAGACACTATATTTACCTAAACTTGTAGAGTTTATAAAAAGAAAATCAAATAATATGGAATAAAAGCAATCAGGATTGAGATTTAGCTCAACCAATATCCTGTTCAATACAACTAAATTTTATGGTTTATTATCTGTCCCTTCCACTCAAACATAAATGTTTATAAAACAATTACCTTTTAAGAAATGTACCTTCCTAGCAATTAGTTTTTAAACATCAGTTTGTGGGGTTTTTTTTTAAGAAAGCCTCCTGCTAACTTCATACCTGTATGGTATAGATAAGCAATCCTTCCAGCATTCAACAACAGTTTTTATGATTTCAAGGTTGTGCCTAAACACAGCTCTTTTTGGGTGAAAGACGTGTTTCATCAAGAACTGAAGTAATCTATTTGCCAGCAGTTCCTCTTTAGGAACACCCTGAAATATATGGAAATTATATTGTCATATGTAAACTTAAAATATTTAATAAAATACTAAAATATTTTAATAAAAATGCAAAAGTCAATTCATAAATGAATTTTCTCCAAATTCATGAATCTTTGGAATAATGAAATAAAAATTACCATTAGCCATCAAAAAACATTAAATTGTGTCCTGTACACATTACAAAGGCATATACTTTAAAGTGTTTAAAACTTTTCTCGTTCTGAAAGGAGTATGCTTCATTTATCTGAAAAATTCAGTCTTCAGGAACATATAATTCTCCAATGATACTGAATAAATGAGGCATCACTGTAGTTGAGAAATGCTTTGCAAACTTCAAATACCACATAAATGTTAACAATTATTATTTTTATTTTATTTTTGTTGAAAAAAGCTAACAACAAAAATGTTTTTGATGTCAAAACAATTAAATTTAAAATTTTGAAATCTCTTAGGACTAAGTTATTCACTTTTAAAATATTTACCCATTTTGCAAAATGCTAACAATACGGAAGCGTATTTGATAAAATGGATAAATTACATGCTATTAGGTATTTGTAAAAATATTGAAATAATTCAATTATGTATAAAATCATTACTTTGGGTGTAGCGATGCTTGTCCACGAAAGAACAACTACTACTATCTCTACCACCATATAGTGAATCCCCTCTCCTCCGTTATTTTCAGAAACAACCAGCTGTAGCAAAGGATTAAGCCAGTGTTTTGCATATGGCCGGAACACCTAGACAAAAAATTTAAAACCAAAATAAAAGGGTTATTTTTTAAAAAGCAATACTGAATTTTGAACACCTGTTCCAACAGTTAACTTTTTATATTCAAATCCGAACTAGGTCCAAAATATAGTCAATTCAAGAAAATAAATTCGGCTAAAAAGATTCTTTATTCAATCTATATCTAAGTCCTTAAAACCATAGATGAATGATAACAGTTTACTTTTTTATGCAATACTATTGCTGGGGTAACTTCTACAGAGATTAAAATAAAGTAACCCACAGGAATCCTTCTTCACCTGAATGACATGCAGACCTAGTTTGTGGTTCTAAATGACTTCGGTATGTTTCAAAAATTTAAACTCAAATCCAAAGGATGAACTGTTGCCACCCCTGAATAAGAGAAAAAAGGTGTCATGGAACCTGAGAGAAATTCCAAAAGAACACCTTATAAAGGGTTCTAGAAATGACAATATCTTCAAGTAATTTCCCTAGATAACTACTTTTAAGAGGATAGTAAAATGCTTTGGCTTTGCAAGCCTGAAAGTGCCATATAACTATTAGCAATTATTATTATTAAAGATTCTATATTAATGAAAACCACTGAGTTTTGTTGCCAGCCAAGTACTCTGTCTGTGTGTATTCTAAACATCATATTGCTCAGAGTAGTAAAAATGCAAGCATCAAAATTTACACAGAATGATCATCTTTTTTTTTTTTTGGTATAGACCTGTGAGAAGAATTCCAAGTGTGCTAAATTCTTCCAAAGATAAAAAGGGACTATATTCCAGAAATAGTTTATTGAGTATTGTGACTACTTTTCTTTCACAAACAATTCTTTGGAGGAGGAGGTTGGAAGAAGAGGAACCAGTAATGGGGTTACAAACACGAGAAAAAAGGGTTAAAAAATAAGAAAAGAGTGGCAGATAGCTCAGAAAATATGAGATCTTTTTTTCTGTTCTGAATGCATAAAAGAAATGCTTATCTTATTTAGTGTGTTTAAATTCACTACTAAATAATGAAACGAAAAATAAAAAAATTACACATAACATTACTTACTTCTTCAGTATTTATTATGAGTTTAGCTAAGAAGAGACGAATGTTTAGTGGTGTTGATGGATTTTCCAATTTACTATGAAGAAACTTCATCCATGGAGGAAGATTTGTTGGCTCTGAACCCTGAAACAATATAAATATGCATATATGTGTATATGTGTACACACACACACACACAGTACAAAGAGCATTCACTAGCACTGGAATCAGAGGAACTGGGTTCAATCCAATCTTACTTCTAAAGCTAACTACTTATAATACCCTAGGCAAATCACTTAATCTCACAAGGCCTCATTTTCTTTATCTGTACAATGAGGGTTAGATTAGATGCCTTCTGATGTTCCTTCCACCTCCAGCTACACGATTCCCATGTACACTCAAAATTATATAGATAAAGAAAAAAGACTGAAACTACCTGTTTATACTATATACAATTACTTTGAAATGAGGTAACTAAGAATTTATTTATCCAGAACTTATTTTTCAACATAACCTCAACAAACAAAATAAATGAAAAGGATGTGGGAATGAAATAATACCTCTTCTATGTGAGGTGTGATATGATTTCTCTGCATATGCTTAATCAGGGCTGTCATGGTTGTCATACACTCATGCTGATTTAGTTCATCCATTTCTAACTCCATTACATCATCCTGGACTGTAGAGTCAATACGTTCCTATAGAAAAATAAGAAATCAAGAGATTGCTATATTATGTTTTCAACTTCAATGTATATGCCATTCTTTAAAGAACGCACAAAATAAACCCTCAGTACAATAATATTTTGGAGGAACTACTGAATATTATGAGATTTCTGGTTTTAAGAATATAATAGGCAAATTCCTGATCCTTCTTTGCTTCCAAACTCATTTCCTTAAAGCACCATTTTCTTATTAACTCTAGCCTAATCCACTGATTCCTTTTGCGTTCTTGCCTCCTATGCCTAAATATCCATTTATATAAATATTCGCTGTACTCCACAAGACTGTAAACAATCTGACATCAGGGACCAGCACATTCTATTTCAGTTTTTCAGGACTGACAGGCTTTCCTCTTAGGCTATTAACTTAGGGAAGAGAGAAATGCAAAAGAGGAACAGCTAGATAATAACACACAGAGCAAATTTAGGCAAAGGTTTTTTTTAAAGATTTTTAAAGAATTTTATAGCCTGAAAACACTAAAAACTACCTGAAAATCTTAGGAAGTCTTGGAGAATGCTGAAAAAATGTCTGACCTTTAAGAATTATTCAAGTACTAAAGCAGAAATAAGCAACCTTGTGAGGAAGTTGATTTATTGAAGACACCTACTCTATTCCAATCAGTATCAATCAATTTGATATGATTTTAAGTTCTGTTTATTTGGCCCCAGAGCTGTGAGTTGTAAATTATATCACTTGTGTAATCCCGGGAAGCTGGCTGAAGATGCTCCACTCTTGTTTTTCCTCATCATGGTGACCCAAGCCCAGTGTTGTGGAGGTGAGTCAACTACATGGAAAGTCCCCCAGATTATTTTTGTGCCCCTGGACCATTCTCTCTTGTCCAACATGAGCAGAAGCCCATCTTATGACCATCGTTTGACCATCTACTCAGTGGAAATATTCCTTGCTTTGCCCAACTCGTGACTTTGCTGATATATCGTTTTGCTTATTTTAGGCTATGTGTCATATATCAACCAATGAAATTATTCTGTACCTGGTATAGCTGTTCTGGAATGTTTACATATCTAACCCTATAAAAGCAGGGCCCTGGAAGAAGGAGGCATATCAGATCATCGTGAGGATGATCTGAGGTTCACTTCATTGGAGGGTACCATGGACCCTTTAATAAAGTGCCATTGGCTCAGAGCTCTGCCTCAGTTTCTCTTACTGTAGGCTGGATAATTTTTTATCACCACACTTGCACAAGTGGGATGTTGACATGCTGCCCCTAAGTTTCTGGTTATCTGAGTATTGTGGCAGTGACCACGAGTAGGTAAGAGTTTTCAGAACATTTTCCTGCTCAAAACTATCTCCCCATACATTCATTTCGGTTGGCAAGTTCATCTTAAAAACAAAACAAAACAAACAACACTATTGTTGAAGGGTTCAGATCCTGATTTATTCACATCTTACCTACTTTAGATCAAATAAGTGGGCTAAGATGCAAAAGTTTGCATCTAAAAAGAGGCCATTTGGAGTATAGCAAACTTCGATTCGATTGAAGACAACTGAGGCATTTTTGGAGGCAGCCTGGAGGATGGGAAAGAGGTGTATGCGCGCACACATACACACACACAAATTCTCAAAAATAAAGTATTTTCAACGATACATTAAAGACCCTAGTGATACCTAGGCATGTGACTATTATCTTCTGCTTAAAGCATAAGTAATATACCCTTTTAACCAAATTTTAGTTCAAAGTCTTCTTTCTGCTCTCAAAATAAATATACTGTAGCACGAAAGGAAGCATACTGGGAGATAATTACAGAGGGAATGCCCTAGCACTAAGGAAGACCATGAAAGACTTCCTTCAGAAGGCAGAATTTTAGGTGATGCTTGACGGAAGGCAAGAAATCAGTGAGATGGGAAATAAAGAGCAAAGAATCCCCAAAATGGGAGGCAGGCAGTGAAAATGCCTGGAGTTTGGAAGTGGAGTGCTGAGTGTGAGTGAGAAGAGCAAGGAGACCTGTGTCACTGGACTGCAGTACATGCAGAAAAGAGTAAAGTATAAGAAGTGTGGGAAATTGGGTATCGAAACTTTTTCAACCAACACAGATCACAACCCACCTTATCACTTAGAAGAGAAGTCCTAAACAGCAGCCTGAAGTACAGAGGGATTAAGAAACTCATTTAGTGTCACACAGCCAAGCAGTAGCAGATGGAGAAACTTGCCTAGTCCTAACTAAGCCCAGCATTCTATCCACAATACTATCTGGTCTCTGGCTAACGCGCACACGCATATGTTTCCCATTGCACGTGTATAAAAAGAATCATGTACTAAATTTCACATCATATACTAAGCATACTTAAACTAATTTTTCTCCAGAAATATATTTCAAAATGTTATTACCCGTCTCCGGAAATGAACAACAGTAGCTTTAGAATCTTGGGTACTGTATGAATAGCTCTGTACTCCAGTAGAAAAGTCAAATTGACTCATTTCCTCACTCAGACTACTGTCTGCCATATACGACAATGAAGACAAATAATGAGGCCCCTCTTTAAAAAAAAAAAGAAAAAGGGGAAAAAAAGCATGAATGAATAAAAAAAGCATTTACCATGACAGAAGTGAAGGAAAAAAATCTATCTTTGCCTAAAAGTATCATTAGCAAAGAACTACTTTGTATTGCACATATGGATTTGTAGGTCATTCTAGGACCTAGTGTAGAGAATATGTTTTTGCCAAGATTTCAAAAAATGTTTGTAATAAAAATAAACCATTAACAAATATGTCATGATAATTATTTTACAGATGAAGAAAGTGAGGCAAACAGGGTTAAGTGACTTGGTCAGGCTCACATAGCTAGTAAGGGTCTGACACCGAATTTGAACTCAGATTTTCCTGACGCAGGCCTGGTGATCTATCCACTTCACCATCTACCTGCTCTAATTCATTCTTAGATGGACAAATTAATTGATTTTATCACTTTCAAAATTGTCATTTTGCACACCACATAAGGAAACATTCAATTAATTAAACTTTCACCTGACCCAATGAGTATAGACTTACTGAACAGAACCAATAATTCCTTATTCTGTCTAAAGAACATGTCCTACTTATGAAGTCTTATCCCATGGAATTTTTGGCCTCCTACTTGGCCACTTATGTTTCTGTGGGAATGACTTGAAAAATATTCCTCTTTTCAAATGTCATATCCAAGCATTACGTATTCTATGTATAATTTTTAACATTAGCAGTACTTTCCTCCTGACAAAGAACAGATTTAATATGAAGAATGAAACAAACATTTTTGGATATGGTCAATATGGGAATTTTTTTTTGCTGGATTATGTATATTCATATTTGTTACAAGAGTTTTGTTTTACTTTTTCTTCCCTCAAAGAGTAAAGTGAAAGGAAGGGAAAATAAATGCCTAACTGAAAAAAAAAACACATTAATTTAAAAAGTATTAGCAGGAGCTACTTTTTCACTGTTTCTCACCTGGATCTCCATTTGCTGCATCTCTGGCTTCTTTTCTAATAGCAATATATCTTCTCTTTCTTTCCATAGGGACCTGTAAGACAAAGAAAATGAAAACATCTAAACTTTGGCCAGGACGCTTTTTGATATTTTCCAAACTTCAGATTTTATCTCCTTCCTCGATGTATTCAAACAGATGACTCCCTATGCTTTGAATACACATCACGTACAATCTCAGAGGCCATTCAGTCAACTTGTACCTAAAAAAATATTCCCTCTACAACATACCCAACAAGGAATCTTCTATGCTTTCCTTCAAGACCTCTCTGAAAGAGCCCAGTAGTTGTTAAGGCAGTTCATTCCACTTTTGGGTAGTTCTAATTGCTAGGAAGTATTTCCTTACATTTACATTTTGAAATACAAAATTTACTTCTTTGTAACTTTTCTAGCCATTGCTTTATTTTTTTGCCCTCAAATCATTAATATCTGTCCTAATTGTGGCACCTAAGACTGAACAAAGCATTCCAAATGCAGTCTCATTATAAAAGGGGACAGTGGGAGAGCTGGTGCAATGGGAGAGCACCAGACTCAGATTCACCAAATTGGAACTCAAATCCTTTTTTTGGGACCTTGGGCAAGAATGAGAAGGCACAGAGGAGTTTTAAATTACACTGGTGGAGGGAATTCTCACACCAATGAAGTCAAAGATCCACCAAAGTACCACAAGTAGGAGAAAGGACTGAACATGAATCAGCACCATAACTTCTCAAGTTGTTTTTTGTCCAAATGCCTAACATCATTTTATCTTGTTATCATTTGGTCCTTCTCCTAAATATCAAATGAAGGGAAAAAGTCAATTGAGAATTTTGATAAATTGGGTTCCAATTAAATTGCAAAATGATTAAAAAAATGCTCATCAATATTTTAAAAGCTACACTGAATGTAGAAAGTCTTTCCTTACCTCAACTTCTACAGGAAAAGTATAGCAATGTTTCAGGTCTACCAAGTTTTCCAAAATAAGCAAGTTCTGCAAAAACAAAGAATAAATAGAAATATGCAGTATGAACAACATGACAAGTAACAGAACTGTGACAATCTTTTCATTAAAGCTATGTAAAGCCAACAGACAGTATTTGACTACAAGAAGACATTTTCCAACAATGCTATCAGGGCCGTAAGAGAGAAAAATCATAGCTATAACAATCACGTATTTAAATTCATCCATATCCACCCAGAAATACTATACAAGAAATCTGATCATCTGACATACAGTTTTCAATTAGTTTAATGTAATTCCTCAAATCTGACATAAATAACAATGTTAGCAATAGTAAATTCCTCCTGAAAGGGCCTACCTTTTCTGGTTTTTCAGTAAACAGAAAGCCCTGGTAAAATTTCATTTCACTGAATACACGGCAGAGAATTGCAATGGCACAGTTATATGCAGCACAATGGTAATGTCTTCTCTTCTCCAGTAACTGAGTCTCACCTGCCATATTTTCTGTAAATGCATCATAACACAATCTGTAAAATACACCCAAAATTATGATTAATTTTCCATTTGAACCAAACACTATGACTTAATGATATATCTTAGCCTCAAATGTCACTAGTTTTCAATTCCATTAGACACTCCTATATTCAGTCAATCTCATAACAAGTTGATATTGCTTTGAAAAACACTGTATTTGTTACAAATTCATATATAATTATCTTAAATTACATAAAATTAGCACATTATTCAACTTTATATTGTACTACAAATAATAGTTCTAAAAGCCTGTCTCAAGCTACAGGAGAAAAGAATCACAAAAAATTAAAAGTGAATGCGATTCTTTATGAAAGATCATGATTGAGTGAAAAATCTCTGCTTCTCACGAATAAATATATCCAAGTTTACTAATAACAAAAATTAAGAACTATATCACCGAAAATGTCAGCATTTACATTTTATTATCAGATATATAAATTTAACATCTCTTCACAGTATATGTCAAAAGGATATATATAAATTATAAAAGGGCTTAAGTAAAAACTTACTTAATAAGTGTCTTTGTGAGTTCATTTCCTTCTACAATGGAAGAACCATGGAAAACTTGATTAATTCTAGATTCTTTGGAGTGAACATCATCTTTCGGGAGACGAGAATATAATACCTCAAGCATCTTATAATAGCCCAACTTTTTGGTGACTTGAGTATCAAAGGTAGATTCACTAAACTAAAAAAATTGAACACAAAAATCACCATCTTGTCATATAACTTTCTAGCAGTCATTATCTCACTAATAAGATAAACATTAATACTTCTAGCAATACCAGTACCTTTCTGTTCCTCTTTCAGAATATATGTGTGTTTACACACAAACATACACCATTTAAGAAGCAATGCTTATTAAAAGTACTAATATAAAAATTCTTAATGCAATTGTCACATAACTGATTAGTTAGTTGTACCAAGGCCAAAAATTTAGATATAAGTAATTAGACATTATATAGGTAGCATCATAAATTTCAGGGTGTCCAGATACTTAGGCCCGAGTAGCAGTATGGAAAGAATGCTGGACTTGGTGTGGGGAAAAATGTGGGCAAGTCTTGACTCTGATATTATTTGTGTCACTGGCTAGTCATTTTTCTGAACCTCTCGTTCTTCAACTATAAAATGTGAATATTTGTACATGTACTATCTACTTCACCGGATTAAGGAAAGCACTTTGCAAACCCTAAAACACTATAGAAACCGGAGCTATTATTAAGTACATGTGGCTGTGTACAAGAAATAAAAACTGAAAAAAGTGAAACCACAGGTAACTTTGTTCATAATTATTTTCACATGAAGTTGTACTGTACAGGACTCTGAAGAATTAAACTAGTTAATGTTAAGATTGTACTCATGTTTACAGTTTGTCATTTCGGTGTTTACCAAGTATTTGGAAATACACACAGACACTCACAGACCCTTTCAGAATGGAGTTAGTGGACAATACAGAAACTGTTTCTTAGCAGAAAACATTAACAGTATAATTAATCAGTATATTGTTCTGAACAACATTAGTCTAGGTGATCTATATTTTAAACACAAGCAACATTTAATTTATTAAATATGTGGTACCTTTATAAATCTGGACTTCAGTACATCAAGGGCTTCCACTATAATACTACTAAAGAATTCCCGCAAAGCAGCCAAGCTGCAATGCCACAAAAGAGTCAGAAGACAGCGATCCACAATTGCCAGGCGGGTCATATTTGAAAGATCATCTTTCTGGAACATTCTGTGCACAATATCCAGTAGAGCTACTTGTGTGGCACAACTACTCCTGAGAAAAACAAGAATTTTGGGCTCTTCCTATTATCAACCAAAAAGTGAACTTGATAAGGTACAAAACTGACCAAAATGACAAAGCAGAAGCCATTTAATACATAATAAATGGAATGAAAACAGAGCCATTATCATCCACCTCCTAAATCACTGTTGTTCCTCTCCTTGTCTTCACCCCCATATTCCTTCTTCCTTTCTAAAGTGGAAGAAGCTGAGGAAACCACATTAAGAAAAATTGTCAATAATCCAGGAATAAGACTGTGATGGCAAAGATAGTTTTCCATTCACCATCATCACATTATATTATTATGTGTTCAACCTGTGTATTCCACTGTGTCCAGATGAGATTGGGAAAGACTTACATATACTCCCATCAATAAAAGGTGGAAATTAAAATTTAAAAATGTGGATATGTATGAATCACCTTGTCACACACATGAGGCTATTCTGCACCACAACACTGCTGACCATTTAAGTAAAGATGTCCGTAGGCAATGCTGCCACTTAGTGATCAGAACTTAGAAACATTTTGACCAAAATATCTATTTTTGCTTCAGCAGTTAACATAGGCATTTATGCACATACCATGTCTATCACTTTTCTTCTGTCTTTCATCCCTCATAGCTCTATTAAATACACTTCAAGCAATCTTTCACATAGCCTCTTCATTAACACTCTTTCTTCTTCCTCCTTCCTTCTAAATCTTACCAGGGGCAGGAAACCTGCGGCCTCAAGGCCACATGTGGGCCTCTAGGTCCTCAAGTGTGGCCCTCTGACTGAACCCAAACTTGAATGGATATGATCCTCCTAGGTTCTCAAAGGCTAAGCCAGTAGAATAAGTGCTTTGGCAGGTCCTATAAATCTAGAAAGGATTCAACTGCCAAGTCCAAGGATAAACTTCATCTCTATTATCCAAAGACCAGCCTCATTAAGGTCAGTGAAGTTCTTTATAAGTTGAATCACAAGACGATTTTTTTTTTATTATGGCACCTACTAAGTTTTGTAAGTCATCTACTAAGTTATAAATACATCACTGAACCAGCAGAAGGAGAACCCATGGTTATTAAATTACAGACTTAAGGACTAAAATATCATCATCATCATCATAAGAGTTCAAGTTTAAATAGTAAATCTAAACATTTAGAAAAATGTTTTCATATACATTATATATTCTTTGGTCCTCACAATAGCCCAGTGGAAGGGATGGTTCACTATTATTTCACATTACAGAAGAGACAACAGTAGTGTTCTGGGGAAAAAACTGCATCTTAGAGACCGAAAACAGGTGTTTTGACCCAGCTCAGTCGCTTACTAGCTATGTGACCTCGGGGCAAGTCATTTTATCTTTCTGAGTTTCCTCACCTGCAAAATGGAAAAAATATTTGCATTATGTCATCTCACAGGGCCACTATAAAAATCAAATTTGATACAATATGTATAAATAAACTCTAAATTATCTGTATGCACCTCATAAATTCAAAAATAATTTACCTTCTAGAAATCCTTTGGAAAGTAGTTTGAAACAATTCTTCTATTACATGCTTCTGGTCTCGACAAAGAATTTCTGTCATGAATTGCAATAACATAGGGCTCTGGGATAATTCCAATGCATCTAGAAACTGAGAAAATAAATTTTAGTCATAATATTACTATTTCTTTTTGATATGTGCGTGACTAATGAAGAAATAATTGTTTTAGGATTTCATTTTACATATTTTCCATTCACTCTTGACTATATATTCTATATCCTAATTAGAACTATCTTTTATTATAAAGTCACTATCTGAGTAAACAGACAAGAAAAGACAAAAAACTGGCCTTTATTACACACAATTTACATGTGTTAATAAACCAATATTATGATATGCAAACAAGCATTTCATTTGAGTATAGTGTCAAACAAAAAATATTTGTGAAGGACCTAAAAACAAAAGAAAGTAAAAGTTTGAAAACTATTTTACAATGACCCAGGAAAAGCATGTGTGTATATGTATATATTTACGTATGTATATGTACATACGTGCCAACATACGTATATATAAAAATGGTGAAGAATAGTTATATAGATATATTTTATTGGTGGGAGGTAGAGACAGGCCTGCAGAATGTATCCAGGTGGAGGAAATCCCAATAAACAAACCACCCTGCTAATATAAAACAGCAATTTATTTGTTACTCACAATTTTTGAAAATTGCCTTGGGACAGTGTGTCCACGATCACAGCAAATAAATAACTTTATTTTTATGTAAATATGAAGCCAGTAAGGATCAGAGGTAATGCTGAAACCCAAGACTTCTTGATTTCAAGGCTAACCACCAATTCACTATATAACAAGCTCTTTTTTCGTAACTTTTTTTTTTAATTTTAATTAACAAAAATCTATTTTTTCCGTCTCCTTCATGGTTGTTCTTCAAGTTAATTCTATTTCTTAATGTTTCAAGTTGTTTGTTTTTACAACATTACAGCTAACATGTAAATTGTTCCCCTAGTCTTGCTTACTTCATTCTGCATCAGTTCAAATCTTCCCAAGTTTCTCTGAAACCATTCCCCCTTCATCATTTGTTACAACACAACTGTATTTAATTATATTCATATACCATAATTTGTTCAGTCCTTCCCCAACTCTGCCATCTGCTACAAATGCTTTATGCATACAAGTTCTTTTTCTCTTTCTCTGATCTCTCCGGGGTATTTACCTAATAGTATTTTGCTATATGAAAGGTTAGGCACAATTTACTGACTTTTTCACACAGTTCCAAATTGTGCACCTCTACCAATAGTGCATTACTATACCTATTTTCCCAGTGCCTTCAATATTTGTCATTTTCTTTCCTTTTTTTTTGGTCAACTTTGCCAATCGAAGCAGTGTAAGGTTTCTTAGAGTTACTTTAATTTGCCTTATTCTAATTACTAGTGATCTGAAATATTTTTCATATGGCTACACAATGCTTAGACTTCTACCTTAGAAAATGCCTATTCATATCCTCTGACCATTTATCAATAGGGGAATGGTTGTTATTCTTACAAATTTGAATCAGTTCCTTGAATATCTTGAAAATAATACCCTTAGCAGAAAAACTACCCATTACTAATCTTACTTAATAAAAACCATCTTAAAATACTGAAACTTGCTTTCAGAATTATTCCAACTTTTAGAATTAATCAGTTATTCTTCTAATCACAGTAAAATGTCTTTCTATTTTGTGACATTTGCATTAATCATCTCATTTTTGTTCTTAAAAATAGGAAAGGAACTGAATAAATGATTAACAATCGATATTTCAGATTTATACAACTACGTTCATTACTTAACCTTTTTTGTGCAGTCTACATAGTTGTTGTACTTCAGAGTTCCGTAGACAAACTCATGAGATGTCATAGGGAAATTGGAAGCCACAAGCTTTTCAAGAGCAAGCTTCAGGTCTTCAAGTCTTTCCCCAGTAAGATTGGTAAAGAAGGGAAGAATGATCAAAGCTTGACCCTGTTAAGGAAACATCAGCAATAACAGCCACATGAGATTGTACTTAAAGAGGCCAACAGTCTATTAAAAAGCTTATTTACTAAAAGTAACTAAAATAAGAGCTCAAATGAAATTATCTCAGTATAATGCTTTAATTTTATTGCAAGGGCAAAACCTGAATCAATGCTTCAATCTCAGCCTTCTTTCTTTTAGGTCACTAAAATCTTGGCAAACCCCATAGGAGACTATGAATATATGTGTGTGTGTGTGTGTGTGTGTGTGTGTGTGTGTGTGTGTTGTGTGTGTGTGTGTGTGTGTACACACATATATACACATACAAACATACATATATACACACATACACAAACATGTATACACATACACATACAAACATACATGCACACAACCATATATAGAGTATAATTATTCTATAAACTCACCGGATATTTTCTATTAATCCATCCAGACATTATATTAGTCTGTATAGATCTATGACATTAAGGAGGGAGTCAAGCCTGCACCTTTAGAGCCAGTTCAGAGCTGCCCCATACCGGGGCAGAATACACCCTATCTTCCTCACTGAGGCTGAAAAGCACTCAAGTGGGGAAGCTGAAAAGTAGATGTCTTGCATGATTGCCAAAGTTCTCTCTCCAAGACCATAAGAATTTTTCTTTCTCTACATCATCTTATAAAAATTCATGTAAAAGAAAAAAACATAACTTGCCTTTAAATTCAGACCCAACTTTGGATCATCTAATAAACTGGTATATGTGGTGAAGACGTCCAAGAAAGCTCCATGATTTATACTAAAAGATACAGATGAGTCTATCTGAAGGGATTAAAAATCAACAACAATAATTTGGACAGTTTCTATACTTTCCCAAAAGACTATTACTTTCTCTACATTTCCCCCATATTTTAAATTTCACAAATGGAATATAATTCTTTAGGCTTTAATTATTTTTTCTAAAATATTTTACAAAGTAAGATAAAACAGAAAGCACTCTAAAAAGCAAAACTCACTCCACAAATACAAGATCCAGAATATCCTATGGTAGAATGAAAATGACAAATACTGCTATTACCAAACCAAAATTTTAAAATGCAGTTAATCATAACCTATCTTCATTACACCAACATTTTAAGAAACCTCAGAAAGAAACTGCTTAATACACACATGGAGACAATTGTAAATACAAGAGCAATTTAAAAATAACTGCCAAATACCTGTAGAATTTTAGCCATCAGAGTCAAAACTGCCATTTTGCTTTCTGGAGCAGAATCTTTCGCCCACCATGTATCAAGTTTCTTCCAGTTTTGAAGAATTGTTGCCACTAATTTCATTCCTTGTTGCTTCCGTACAGCTCGATCCCGGAAGCTCTCATCTAACATACCATTCAAAATGGCACCCACCTGAAATGAAAAGTTTTCTTTTACACTCACTGAGTGACATCTTTTAACACATCATCATTTTTATGGAGTATTTTTGTCTCCTGAGACTGACAAAAAATGCCCCAAAATTGTTTAATTTTGCATAAGCCAAAAAAATTTTTTTTTATGCCATGGCTACTTACAGTCAAATATATTCTAGGTTGATAAAGAAGTTACTACTAATGACAGTCAGAAAACAATCTTCTGCAACAGACACTAACAGGTAATGTTACTGCTATGCTTAGAAAAGAAGACACAAATTTTAGGGAATTGATCTACTCTACCTTAATAGGGTAGGTAAGGTAAATACACAAACAGAAATAGTGTACATTTTCATTTTTTTAAAAAGTTCATTTTTTTTTAACTAAAATATTAATCTTGCCCCAATAATTAGCCTGCTCAGGGCAGTGCATGATACCAAAAACCTGGCATAAACTAAATATTCTAGAAAACGAAGCACCATGAAGAATTAGGGAGTCAAAAAACGGATGAGACCTAGAAATTACCAAAAAGAGGTTTCAACCTCCACTAGTGCTTTTTTTTTTAATGACAAGATATTCTGGGTAATTTGTGAAAATTTCTATATATAATTATTCAAAGAAAATGATTCAATACCATTTTGGCATTATCCACAGATGATTTCATAAGCTGTAATATAGCAGTATCAAGATTTTTGAGTAGTTCAGTGTTGATGACTTCTGAGAATAGGCTATAGAAATATTCTCCATGGAAGAAGCTGATTAGATTCTTCTGGGATGTTCCCGAGAGTGGCACAGAGAGTACCACTGTATTCAACAGAAGATTCACCAGCTCTTCACACTGCGAAAAGTAAGAAAAGTTGTAATTTATCCTCATTTTAAAATATAATTTAGAAAAAATATCTTTAAATAGTTGGTATTTTTGAAGCAGAAAACAAGTCAGTACTAAAGAAATTAAATGTTCGAGGTAATATAATTCTTGACCTTTTCCTTTTGAAAAAATTTCTATTTTATCATCTAGCTGGTAATTCTAGACAAAAATGACAGAGGGATCCTTTCAGCCACTGATATATACTTTCATTTATAATAAATATACTGAGGAACACTGAGTCCAATCTCTATGAAAGAACCTGAATTCTGAAATTCAGTCACCTTAAATATCACATATATGACACTCCTAAAGAGAATGTGGACCCATTTTGTCCAAAGAAAAGAGTTGCCATATTTCAAGTCTTTGGAAATGAACCTCAAAGAATATAATTTCATTTCTATTCTGCATAATGTAAGTTTGGAAAGAGTTTTAAATTCCCATGTAGCCCCACTTCATTCAACTTCCCCCATTAACCCTCAGACCCTTCCCTTCACCTTTCCAAATGTTGGCATAGAGATGAAAAGATCTTAAGAAAAATTTTAGGTGAGGGGGCGGTGGTGTTAAGGAATCTCTATGTTCTCTCAGGGGTTTTTTCCCCAAAGAAAATGTTTCATAAAGTTTTCATATATTGCTACATACTCCTTTACTCCATTAAAAAGTATGCAATGGGAAGAGTTTTATGTAAAATCATTTTAAATTAGTTAATATGACTCATACAGGAAAAAAACACACAAATAACTTTAAAAACAAGAAAGCTGAGAGGCAGGATGCCAAAGCAGATACAGAAATGGACCAGAGTCAGAAAGACGAGAGTTCAAGCTGTTTGACCCTGTCCAAGTCACTTAATCTTAGTGTCCCAGGTACCCAGCCTGGTACCTTCCTTTCCTTCCAGTCTTCTCACATATCACAGCCCTCGCTGCAGACTGGCCTACTTGAGATTCCTCACATTCTTTCATCTCCTATCTCCAAAAGTTTGAAGCAGTTATCTCTCATCCCTGGAATTCACTGTCTCCTTACCTTGGCCTCCTGGCTCTAAGTTCAATGCTCATTTTGCTACACAATGTAGTGGCCAGCAAGTCTAAAAGTCTCTTTACATTTGGAGGGATGCTGCTACTACTAAAAATTTTTATATTCTGTATATTAGTGTTCGTGCGCAAGAAAACACTAAACTACATTTTTCTCTTTTCTTTCCACTAAAAAAAATTAATTACATCTAATTAAATCTAATTACAATATAATTAGAGCTGTAGAAATTTTTTTAAAATTTTCAATTACTATCAAATGAAATAATTATTCTGAAATAAAAACAATTATACTCAAATTCCATATTTAAAAAGTTATTTTCAATAAGTTTATGGATTATTTTTTTCTTTATCAACTCTTTCTGAAAACAGTGTTTTCTCTATCTGCTTAACACTATGAAGTGTACTAAATTATTTAGTCAATCAAAAAGGATTTATTAAGAGCTTACCATGTGGCAGGCATAGTGATAAGTGCTGGGGACTTAAGGACAAAAACAAAATTCCTTCCCTCAAGAAGATCACAATATATTCCAATGGAGGAGATATTCAAATAGCTATGACTATAAAATACATATACAATATTAGTAGAGGGTAATCTCAAAGAGAAGGCACTAGAAGCTGAAGGGAGGGGGCCACTAGAGAAGAACTTTTCCAGAAGGTGGGATTTGAATTGAGTCTTAAAGGAAAACATCCCAGGCATGTAAGACAGCCAATGAAAAGGCACAGAGTGGAAGATGTAGTGCCACGATTGAGAAACAGAAAGTTGGCCAGCAAGTATGGCTAAATATTAGATGGAAAGAGGGGAGAAAAGTATGAGGAGAAAAGAAAGGCAGAAAGGGCTAGGTGTGAAGAACTTTAAGTGACAAGAGATTTTATATTTAATCCCGGAAGTAACAGGGAAACAATGACTGAAATATAGTGAGTAGGAGGGTGAACAGTCAGATTTTTACTTTAGGAAAATCACATACAACTGAGCAGAAGAGACACCAGAGTGGAAAGAGACTTAAGACAGGTAAAGGGGTGCAGTACGGTACTGTCTTTGTGATTGGAAAGGGATGCATATGAGATGTTGTGAAGGTTGAAATAACAAAACTTGGGGGCAGCCAGGTGGTGCAGTGGATGGAGCACCAGCCCTAGAATCAGGACCTGAGTTCAAATCCGGCCTCAGACACTTGACACTTACTAGTTGTGTGACCCTGAGCAAGTCATTTCACCCCACTGCCTAGTTTTAAACAAAAAAGAAAAGAAAAGAAATAACAAAACTTGGAAACTTACTAGATGTGAATGTGAGTGAGAGAGTGAGGATGACACCAAGGTTGTGAGCCTCAGTGAACAGTAAAATGGTGGTACCCTCAATAGCAAAAGGAAAGTTAGGAAGGGTGGAGGGTGTGGGGGTAAAGATAATGAGTTCTGTTGTGGATATGCTGAGTTTGAGAGGTCCACAGGACATTCAGTTAAAGATGTCTAAAGAGGGAGTTGGTGATATGAGACTGGAACTTAGATGAGAAACTAGAAGTAGATACACAGATATGTGAATCACCTGCACAGATACACTCACTGAATCCGTGTGAGCTAATGAGAGAGTATAGAGGGAGAAGAAAAATCTGTTTATTACACAATTTATTCTTTCTTTTTAAAAAGTTTTTAGTCTACTCGTAAACTGGTAATAATTAACAGACCTTTATTCCTTTAAGTTGATAAGCTTGTAGACTCAGTTGCATCAAAAAAAGGGAATGTTTAAAGGTAAATTTGAAATTACTATTTTAATAACAAAATTAAGTAAAAGTTACAAAGTTTAAAAAATAATGATGTTTAAAGGTAAATTTGGTTTTATTTTAATAAGATACTTTTAAATTTAATATACCAAGCATGATAAATTATGGAACAAATAAAGTTATGAACAATGAAATTTCATGTTCCTGTAAAGACATTTTAGACGTGACAGGAAAAGAAAAAAAGTACTTGAGATATTTTTCTTTACCAAAAAATTTCCAATTTTACTAACAGAAAACAACAAAAAAGGCAAAATGCTTATTTTCTCTTCCATGTTCTAAAATTTTTTCATGAAAATCTGTATCTCTACTCTGGCAACCCTAAACACTACTTGAAGTTGGATAGCACAGGTTTTGGCAAGGAGACAAGAGCATGAAGAACAGAACATATATCATATTACACAGGACTGGGAAAGCAAACACTTGACCTAAATTAAGTAATTTAGGACTATCTTTGTAAGAAGTAGTCACAGAACTCACAACAAATACAACATTTCTCTGGTGTTTTGAGATCTTCTGAAATAAACCAGAGTAAGATTTAAGTTCCCAGCCTCATATCAAAGACAACCATTTTCTGAAGGATTAGGGATATTCATTCCTACAGTAGTCATTTAGCACCAACTACTAAATGAAGTGCTAAATTCTACAAACAGAAGGAAAATGTGAGGTTACATATTTCTATAACTGACACACTGCATCACAACTTTTTTTTCTCCTACCAATCCTCCAAAAGCAAAAGCCAACTCCAGAAGTCCACTTGCCAATCGTTTACTACTGGTTTCTAATGAGGGAAGGGCAGTCCTTTCATCTCCAGGGGCAATGCCTTTATAAACAACAGACAGGAGCTTAGAGCCAATTGGATGGGGCAGATTTGTAGCCTAAAATAAAGAGATATTCAATAATAAAATATTAGGCAATATTACAGCTATAAAACTTTTCCTAAATAAAGTCCATAAAAAAGTATTTTGTTTTAGGTTTCAACATATAAATTGATAAGGGATAATAACAAACAGTTCTCAAGGGAAAAATCTAAGTTATCGATAAACTTGTATGAAAAAGTACCCCAAATCACCAATAAGAAAAAGGCAAATTAAACACACTGATGTTCAATCTTACATCCACCAGACTGGCAAAGATGAGAGAAAAAGAAATTGATAATTGCTGGGAAGGCTATGGGAGGACAAGCACACTAACACACTGTTGGTGCAGCTTTGAATTGGTCCAAATGTTCTAGAAAGCAATTTGAAACTATACCAAAAGTCAATATAACTGTGCATATATCCTTTGACCCAGAGATACCATTATAAGAGTATACACCTCAAGGAGATCAAAGAAATTTAAAAAGGTCTCATATGTACAAAAATATCATAATAGTTTTCTGTTTTGGCAAAAAAACTGGAAATCAAGTTTTCTCATTAAGTAGAAAATGGTTGAACCAACTATGGTCTAAGTGTAATGGTTATAACATTCTTATGGTACAGGAATGCAATGGATTATTGTGCTACAAGAAATTATGAAGGGGACAGGATATGAGAACCCTGGGAAGACTTGTATGAACTGATCCAGAGTGAAATGAGTAAAATCAGGAGCTATATTTATATGATGATGACAGCACTATAAAGGAAAACAGATTTAAAAGACTTAAGAACATTAATCAATGCTGTAACTAACCATGACTCCAGAAAAATGGTAACTAAACATGTCTGACACTTCTAAGTAGAGAGGTGAACTATAGATGTATAGATGTGTAGGTATAGAATGAGCATACATTTTCAGATACAATTAATATAACATTTTTTTTACTCGACTGTACTTATTACAAGGGAGGACGCAAAGGGTAGGTAGTGATAATTATACAAAATGAAAAGAATGTCAATGAAACATTTAAAAAATATAAATGAGAGTAAAATTAAGTTCAGGACACACAGGCAAGCAAGACATTTAATGGTTAAAACCACATTAAACTTTATATATTTAAAATACTCAAGGTTTGATATATACCCCTCCATTTATGATCTTCCTTACACGTGGAAATATTATTTGTTGATGATAGTCTAATAATAAATTTTTAAAGGATATATATCTTGTTCTTCATGAATAAATGTTTTTTTACTCTGCAAGATGTTGGACTTGGTAATGTAAACAGTTATATTTTCTAGGGTCAATTTAGCCCACATTGGCTAATTCTACACACACTATTATAGATCTTTTTTTAAAATTATTTATTACTAACTTCCTAATTCTGTAGGTGAACACAGAATATTATAAAGAAAATCTATAGAAGTCAACTGGTGATTTAACACAAATAATTTCAGAGAAAACCATTTGCAAAAATTCAAGTTTCTTTTAAACTTTACTTTCATTTTAAAATAAATTCAAGTTATCTGTTTGGGAGCGTATACCTGTGTCACTAACATGATAAAATGACAATACCTTAAATATTTTTGCAACTCAAAATATACAGAGTTCTCTGCATATTAAAGGTTCTTGACAAATAGTACAAATGAACACAAGAACTCAATATATTCAGGGTAAAAGACATATAAATAATTTACTTTCCATGAAAATGTTTACCTGAGACTCTGCTGTAGAATGCAAAAGACCTGCTTTATGGAGCTGTTTACATGCTGACAGGATAGAAACCAGATTAGCTCTATCAAATCGAGCATCTGGATTGTATAAATCAACAGCACAAATGACTTCAATGCTGGCCAGGTAAGAGAAAAGGAAAACAAAACAAAATTAGTTTGATCTCAATAAATTCTATCAACACAGAAAAACTGCTATATGAATTCATTTAAAAGTGTAACTATTGGTTACTTGGTACCTTTCTACTAGTACTGGAATCAGATCATGGGTAGTACAGCATGATCCTAATGCTTCTGAGACAGCTTGGCTAAATCAGACATAGCTAAAGTTTTGACATGTATCTTATTATCTATGATTAGTTCTAGGCTTTCAATGTGGGCTCTGAATTCATAAGCAAATTTTATTAGTTAACATTCATTAATTCAACAGACTGAATACTACATGTAAGTCTTCAGACTTATCTTCAATAATTACATGATCTAATAAGAGTCATAAGACACATTAAAAAATAGTAAAAAATACACATGGCTTAGGTGGAGGACTAGATATTTTCTCTGATTCACATCACATGACCTCTCCAAAATAGGAATTATACAGCCTAAGATACCAAAAGCCCTGATGAGCTAACAGCAGAGAATGTTAATTTCCTAACCCTAACTCAGCACCCCTTCCTACCCTACCCTTCATGGTCCTTGGAAAACCAAAAGCCAGAAGCTTGCTAGGCTGGGACGGCAGTGAAGCTCTACTACACAGGAGTTCAGTCAAAAAACTGAGGAAAAGAGAGCCTTGAGGAAGGACACCTGTGTACACAGGACTGTGTAAAGCTCCATTCCATATAAAGGAAAGAATGCAGGATCCAGCTAGGGCTAATACAATCCTTACAGAAATCATTTGGGGCAGAGACTGAGGCTGGAGAAATGTGAAATCACACAGCTGGGAGGTGGCTGGGAAATCACAATCAAAAAGGAAGGAGTTTTAAAGTGAGCAAAAGGGTGCCAGAGGGGGAGAAGAGTGAAATTATCAAAGATCTTGATAAAAAAAAAAAACTCAGGCAAAGACCTTGAGCAAAAGGAGATAAACCAATGGTGAAGATATTAATAAGAGAATGGAACAGATGGTCTCAAGATAAGCTAAAAGAGGACAAATATCTGTGAGTAAATGTTGCAAGACAAGGGAAACGAATTGACACCTTTGGAATCCCAAGAGAGCATGGAACCATAGCAGGATGTTCCTGAATGTCTTAGACTAGAGATAAGAATTGCAATATTAGAATTTATGGCCTACACAACAGAAATAATTGTCAGAACAGAATACCTTGAATCTACTCACTAAAGAAACAAAAGAAGGGACAACTGTTGCAAATGCAAACATACAGAAGGGAACAATCTTAAAGGGGAAGAGTGAAAAGTACAAATGTTAAAAGAAGAAATGATCACCTTACAAGAAAAACATATTGATCCCAAAGACAAGATGCAGAGAGACAACCTAAGAATTACAGATCTCTCAGGAAAACATGACAAGTCAAAAAACCCAAATGCTATAATGCAAGAAACAATACAAGAAAACTGCCCACGATGTCTAAAACAGAAAACAAATATCTATCAAAAGACCCCAAAAATCTTTAGGAAAAACAATGCTGTCTTGCAAATTACAAGACACACAGTCTTTAAATTTTATAATTCCAATAATGACAATAAATTTTCCAAGCAGCGAGGAAAAGAGGTCATCAAATATAAAGAAAAGTCAATTAACACAAGACTATTATACACTCACTAGGAACTGCAAAGAGGAATGGAATAATGTGTTCTGAAAAGCAAGGAGCAATGTGTTCAAGTTGCAACCCAAGGTGACATACCCTGCAATCCTAAGCCTAACCGTTAATGAAATGGATGGACATTCAATAAAAAAAACATTTGAAGCATTCCTAGAAAGAAAATCAGACCTCAACAGATTATGTGCTTTGCAAACAACAGACATACAAGAAAGGTAAAGAAATATAATAACCAAGGACAGCAATAAAATAACAACAGAGTTACTACTGAACGACCATAGCAAAGGCCAAAGGTTAATAATGAACTAAACAATCAGGGACATAGGAAAATTCCTACCATGGGGGAATATCCTCTCTATAACCATTAGGAATTCATATTTTCAAGAGTGAGGTACAATAGAAAAAGGGGGTCAAGAGCGACCTCTGAAAGTTAATAAAACAAGAACTGCTATGAGGTAACCAGACCCAAAATAAGGTACCTTTCATGCTTTAATATCATGAGGAATATAGACACTAAAAAAAACTAAGTATAAGGACCAAAGAATGAAAGTCTAGAATAGAGAGAAGGGGAAGATAAATAATGAAGAGAACAAAGGAATGAAATCTCTTTTTAGAAAAAAGGAGGGAAAAATGAAATTTTTTAAAATTAAGAACAAAACAAGTTGAAGGGGAGTAGAGAGGAAGGAGGAGTAACAGAGAAAAAAAAGAACAGAAGAATGAAATAACTAGATAAGAGGAAGAAAGAAAAAGTTAAGCAAAACTCCAGGGAAAAAAGGTAACAGGAAGCAAAGAGTGGTGATTTGAAGGTGAAGGAAAGAGAGTTGGTGGGAATAAAGCTGCCTTGATATAGATTAAAAATAACTGAAGAGACAAAGCATTGTGTTTATAAAGGAACAAGAAGAGAGGAGGAAGGGGGAGGGGGAAAGGGATCCAATTTTGGTGGGAAAAGATACAAAGTGTCTTGGAGGTTTATAGGAAATAAAAATTACTTTGAGCTGGGGAAATGGAGGCAGAAATCAGGATAGGCTTCTGAAAAGCATTAATATATGAAAGGAGCCTTTGAAGACTGGCTAAGAATTGGAACTTGGAGCAGAAGATATGAGAGTATATAAGTGGTTCAGTTTTGCTGGAATGCATGTTGTATGAAAGGAAGTAGTGGGAAATAAAATCATAAAGGTAACATCAGTTCTACTATAATACTTGTTTTGAAAACATGAATTTGTTCCAACTCAATGGATAAATTACACTTCATAATAATTCAAAAGCTGCCATTATTCTGATGGCAAGAAATCCACAAGAACTTCAGGTCCTTGTTAAGATAAAGGGCCATATTTATTTTATAACTTCTGGTGAAATAGGAGCTGTAGGTGGAAGAAGGCTGGTCCATTATGTCATCCTCGTGATCTTTCCCCCACTCCCCAAAATTTTATAAGTCTAGGCCCACAGGAAACTGGCCTTAGGCAGAGTAGCAGCTGGAGACACTTCACTGCCACTACTTATGGCTGTATTAACTTATTTCTTCACCATTTAATACGCATAAAACTGAGCTACCATTTTTATTACGTTCCTATCTTTTTTTTAACATGTCATTGATGAAGCTACTGAGCACTGTGTCCCATCTCCATTCTCCCCACAAACCTCTGTTTTTTATTGCTCAATTGTACACAGCTGGTACTTTTTTGAGAAACCCATAAGTCAGTTATAGCAGAATTGACTGTACAATAGTAGCAAATCATGGAAGGTCCTGAATGCTAGGAAAAATACTGTAATTTTTTATTTGATGAGAAAGCCATTTTGAGTGAGCAGAGTTTATGTGATAAAAAGTACATTTTTTAGGAAGAATAATGTGGCATTGGCACATATGCTCCCCTGGAAATAAGCAGTGACTAGAGGGAGACACTCTAAATTGCAACAGTTTAAGCCAATGTTCTCCAAAGAGAGGGCAGAGGCTTAACTTCATGGGATAAGTAACCAGCCAACTCAAGGCTATGGCCGTGGGGTGCAACCCAGCTTCTCCAAACAGCTAACTATAGGACTTGTCTCCAACACAATCAAAACCTATCCTTATTCCCACAGGCTCCCTCAACTCTGCCCCATTCCTCTACTGTGCAATCTCCCAACCTTTACCTTGCTAAGCCAGGCAAAATTCTCTAAAGATACATATAGTCCAACCACTACCTCTCGTGCCCATAGCATTAGCAGTAACATATTACTGAGAAAACTCTACCATCCCTACAGCCTATCCATCCCCTATCTCCCAAACAACTTCTGGTTTATGCAGTTCCCTTCAGAGGACAGGACTGGTGGGTAATAGTCCTGCCTCCCCTGTTTTTTGTTCTTGGAGGGCCAGAATAAGTTAAAAAGAAGGAAAAGTTGTAATCTACATCACAGAATTCATTAAATTATCTTCACCCACTCCCATTTGTCTTCCAAACTTCTGTTATCACTGCAAAGGGCACCAATCTCCTTCCGGTAAGCCAAGTTCACAACTGCAGTGCCATCTTCAACATCTCACTCTCCACACTACCTATCCAATCAGTTGCCAAATCCTTTCATTCATTTCTACCTCCACAACACCTATTTTATCTGTCTCCTTCCTTCTACTTGAACTTCTTATTCTACAACCATGATGCTACATAAGACCCTCATCCAACAAGCTACTAACTGGTATCCTTGTCTCAAAGTCTCTCTCCTCTTTACACAACTACCAACACGATTTTCCTAAAATGGAGGCCTAATCAGGTCTCTCCTCTATACAAAACATTATGATGGTTCCCTATTGATTCTAAGGATTAAAAATTATCTCATTTTTATCCTTTTCTTTCAAATTCCTATTTTTTGTGTAAGCTTCATAATATACACAATTATTAGTACAGTTGTACATATATGTAATTTATAAATAAGTAATTACACACATTGAGGATGTGTTCTCAAAATTTTTTTACTCAAAAAAATTTGGAGACTACTAGTATAATAGAAAGGTAATAAAAGACCAAATAAGCAGGGAAATGGAATGAGGTCAATATAAAAATAATCTGAGCAGAGGAAGAACTGACAAGATTTACCTTTTCATTAGCTATGGGAGAAAAGGGAGAAAGAAAAATCTAAGATGATAACAGAAGTTTTAAGCCAAACTGCACCATGAACTGTACCTTGAACAGAAATATCTAACTCAGAAAGAACAGGTTTTAGGAGGACAATGAATTTGGTTTTGACCTTTTTAGTTGAATGTACTGGTGAAACATCCAGGCTGAAGACGCATGGTAAAAAGTAGGAAATAATTTATCCTAGTGTTCAAATAACTCATTTGAGAAAAAAACATTGAAAATGACACTCCTCCTCATCTCTGGTCAGTATCATTAAATAATTTTTACTGCAAGGTTGCATTAACAAAGTTACGATTTTTAATTTAAATGCCTACCTTTGTGGAGTTATTCTTTTCTTTATGTTGATTTCTAGAGATTCCTTATATGGAGATTTTTTTAAGGCTTTCATAAGGTTCACACAGACATTGGGAAGATTATTCATTACTTGTACATCAGCTATGTTAAAGCCAATACTTGATGGATCACACAATGTTTTGACTAAGAGTTCCATAAAGTAAGTGTTAAGTAAATCCTTCTCAAGGAGCTGTAAAAATGATTCAAATCAATAAGCTGTTTCAGTCAACAGTTATTAATATCCTTCTATAATACCATAACCTCATTAACTTCATATTTGCAAAACTGGGCTAAGGGTCTTTCTAAGATCACTGGATCATAAAATATAACAAAGGATAGAATGATGAGAGAAAACTAAATATTCTGAGACATTAGGTTTCTTTTTACTCCAAGAAATGTATATAATATGCAAGCTTCATTTTATTCATTTTATTTTTCCTTTCAGCTAATGATTAGATGCTAAAAGGCAACCCAAGAAATACTAAATAAAAATCTGTATTTAATAGGTAATTTGTAAATATCACTTTAAGCACAATTATTTAATAGAAATGAAAAAAAAATCCAAAGGACTATTAAAAGTGATCCAAATTGTGTTCATCTACTACATCCACCTCAATCATTCGGTGATACAACTGAGTTTGCTCTGTTACAACAGCTAATCCCCTTTCACCACTGCTTTTTTCTTATAGCCCTGAAGGCAATTCCAAAAGATGAGTTCCAAAAATAGTTTGGGCAATGGCAGCATTACTGGAATAAAGGCATGGCCTCCTAAGCTGACTACTTTGAATGATAACCTTTTGAATGTATAAATCCCAGTATTTGTCTTTTAAACATCTCTCTACTTTTTAGTTTATGTGCAGAATTCTGGTTTTCACAAAACTAGCAATGATCAAAACCATAGCATGAGATATCCTCCTGCAATATTACTTTTGACCAATTCCTAGCAGCTTGATCCTCGCCTCCTGCAATATCCTACAATTTTCTTTATTGTTTGGTTAATTACTTTAGCTTTTTTTTAAACCAATATGTTTAATAATCTTAAACCTGGAATATACTACACAACAAGCATGATAAATAAAATGACTATTATAGAGGTTATTGATTAAACAGATTGCTTTTTGAAGTTCCTACCTTCCAGACATCCTGACAAGTATTTAGAAGCATTGAGGAAAATTCCATAATTCTGACCACAATTGTACATTTGCTGTAATTATATTCTTCTCTTTCTTGTGGGCTGAACACATTGCCTTTCATGCCAGTGCCAAAGCATTTTTCTGCTGCTCTAATATCATGAAGAGCAATATTTTTCAAGAAAAAGCCCACAGCTTTCAAAAACGAAGACTTTGCTTTTGTACCTAGAAATAATTACATAAGATAGACAATTATTACACAATTCTCTAGTTTAAAACAAGTACAAGCACTTTATTCTAAAACCAAAAGAGCCTTCACAGAAAGGTACAATAAAATGAGTACTAAATTAGAAGGGCTGTCACAATTTAAGACACTGCTAAGTTGGTGAGTGTCCCAAGGATAACCAGGATGATGAAAGGGTTTTGAATTCATGCCATACAAGTATCAGTTGAAGGAACTAGGGATGTTTAGCCTGATGAAGAGAGGAGGGAGTAGGGGTATAAGGAAGGGGACAGGGAAAAGGAAGGGGACATATTTCAGCGATCTTTAATTACATGAAAGATTGTCACGTGGAAGTATGATTAGATTTGTTCTACTTGGCTTCAAAGAAAGTTGCCAGAAGCAAGGTGCAGAAGTTGCAAAGAGAACAATTTAGGTCAGTGGTCAGAAAAAACTTCCTAACAATGAGAGCTATCCATCAGTGGAATGAGCTGCCTCAGGTTTCCCTTCACTGGGTATGGGATGTGGGGGTAAGGGGCTGTCTTTAAGCAGAAGATGGGCAATCACTCCTACGTGTTGTAGTGGAGATTTTTTTAGGAGACACGAGGAGAAACCAGATGGCTGTTGAGATTCCTTTCACTTCTAAAATTCTATGCTTCTGTAATGGCCCAATAAAAGCTGGAAATGTAAAGCTTTCACTTATCCTCCAAACAGTATTCAATTTCTGATTCTACAGTAAAAATGTAAATTATAAGTTTCATGAAGAACTAAAAATATGTATTTAAAAGTACCATAAAGACAAAGCAATTTTCTAGCTTTGGACTTCAGACTATTAAATTTCTTTTTAAAAATGAAAATGCAAATACCTCCTGCTAGTTAAGTGACAACATAACATACTAGTAAGAGCAAGAAAGGTACATTAACGCAGTGGATAGAGCACTAGCCCTGAAGTCAGGAGAACGTGAATTCAAATCTGGCCTCAGACACTTGACACTTACTGGCTGTGTGACCTGGGCAAGTCACTTAACCCCACTGACTAACCAAAACAAACAAACAAACAAAAAAGGTACATTAAGAAGTCATTGAAGAATTTTAAATGCAAAGTGCTCAGAAAGCCTAATGATTCTTAATTTTATAAACATGAAGTCCTCTGCCTAAATGAAGTTACTATCTTTCAAATGGGGTACCCTTTCAACCTGAGACAACAGTGATTCTTCAACATTTTGGTCTCTGGATAATTGTAAATAAAAGACCCTAAAGACCATTTTATCCTACCAGTTCTCACAAGCCAGATTTTAGAAGGACCCTTTAATCTACTTCTCTCTCAGCCATGTGTTCCTTGTTATATGTATAGAAAAAGAAGACAAAGAAAAGGGGTCAAAATAGATTGTGTAGGAGGAAAGAGAAGGGAGAAAAAAAAAGACCTTCGGGATAAAACTCCATTCAATTCCACTTTACTGCCTTCTACATTCCTACTCCATAGAAAGTCCATTTCGTTCAAAAATAAATGAGATCATTCAAAATAAACAACCTGTCTCTTTTCCCCTTTCTTCCAGTACTGTTTGAACGATTCACCTAGGCATCAATATGTCAAATTCTTTGATTCACCTAGACACCAGGATGTTCCGTACTGTATATATTTTCAGACCATGGACAATGAATGAACAGTGGCCACACACAGAGACCACAATTCTACCAAAATTAACCCTATCATTTTTGAAAAGCATAAGACATTTGAAGCTGCAAGCAAATTAAAACATAAAACTACAGAAAACAGGAAAAAAATTAAAGGGCCCCAATACATGCTTTAATGTTATACAAATTAAAACTTTGAAAACATAACATCAGAAAGTTAAACCAGCACACTACTCATAAATCCCTCTAATTCCTAATACCCTACTAATTTCTTTAAGGATCTGTGATTTCACTGGTATGGGAACTCAGTACCAATTAGATCCAAAACCTTTTTGCCTTAGAAGATTTTTTTTTTGAGTTAACACGGCCAAAAAACTGACCACCAGGTGTCCAACCCTCTCACAAGATGCTTTCCCAAACTTAGCTATCTTAGACATGTGTCCAGTTCACTGACAAGCCTTTACCTGAAGCTTCCAGGTTGGCAGCACAAGCCAGAGGCACTACTCTGCTAGAATTCTTTGGAATTCTTATTCTGTGTTTTCTAAGTCCATGTTGTCTAAGCCTCTGCAGTAGGACTAAAATGGAGCAAAAAATTTCCCAGAGTAAAAATCGAAAATTACAGCACAAATTTTACCTACCTAATATTTCTTGTGCTTTGACAGCTCTCTCTTCAATAAATGTATTATAACACTCCAAAGCTGCTAAAAGCATATCCATCCACTGCACAACAGCTCTTAAAGAAAAGGGTCCTTGCAAATCAAAGAGGGTAGGTTGAGCCAAGATTCCTGACAAATGATCACTAACAATACCTGCTCCTTCAAATCTATTTATGAGGAAAGAAATGTCTTCTTTTTTGAGAATGTCAGTCAACCAACAAGATGGAGATCTGTTGCCTTAAAAAAAAAAAAAGAAACAAGGTTTAATATTACCAAAATCAGAACATTTTACTTGGAACCAAATTTTGTTTTTGTAATCAAATCATTATGACCAACAAAAGGAGCAAAAGAATAGGAATAAAAATTTTAATATACTTGGAATATAAAACTAATCAGAAGAGATCTTATTTTGGGTTTTATAATATTTCACATAAATTTTCAGGCCTAAGGCCATAAATATATTACCTTATCACGATAACTTTCTATATACACATCTCTTTCTATATAAATGTATCTTTCATTTTTGTTGTTATTGTTCCCGTTACTTCACACAGTGCAAGTAACTCAAGGAAAATAAAAGCCTTCTACCAATTCAAATGGCCATCTGCTTTATAACTTAAAGTGTTGCTTAGGACACTAAAAGGTTAGAATCACACAACCAGGAACGTCAGAAATAGGGTTTCAACCAAGGTCTTCCTAGCTCCAAAGGCTATACATCTATACCCATACAATTAAAATCTTACCATACATAGTGTCAACAAAGGGAGCACGGCAGAGTAGAATGAAGGTAAACCTCGGCTGTGGCATTTGATACTGATGACCACCCTCTTTCCTCTCTGGCTTTTTATGATACTCTTCTTTCTTGGTTCTCCTACCCTTCAGACCACTCCTCCAACTCCCTGCTCCATCATCTATATACCAGATTAAAAGTAGTAAACCCCACAACCCTATCTTGGGCCTTTCTTCTCTTTTCTCTATAGATGACCTCATCAGCTCCAATGAGTTCAACTAACATTTGTATGCAGACAACTTCCAGAACTCACTCACTCACTCTCTTTTTCTCCCTCTCGGTATGTATGTATGTGTGTATATATCATATAATTATATAATATACACAATATTACATAATTTTATATCATATAATTATATATAATAATTATAACATATAATTATACTGTATAATTTTCTATATATGGGGGGGTATAAAAGAACACTACCACCTTCCCTCCAAGCTCCCAGGTGCACAACCTTAGAATTATTCTTGGTGGCTGCTCACTTCCTCTCATTCCACATATCTATTCAGTTGCCTGGTCCTGTTTTTCTATTTCCACATCTCTCACATTCCAATCCCTTCTGTCCACTCACATGGCCTTGATGGTTGCAATAGCCTCCTAATTGTTCTTTCACCTTTCTAATCCATCCTCCATACAGGTACCAAAATTATACTCCTACAAATATAAGCTGGACCACATCACTCCTTTATCAATCAACTCCAATAGCTCTCTATTGCCTCTCAGATCAAATGTAAACTCTTCTATTTGGTATTTAAAGCCCTTTATAAGCTTGCTTTCACATGTCTTTCCAGTCTTTTTAAAAAATACTTCCACTCAGACTCTGTGGTCCTGTCACACTGGTCTTTCTGACTGCTACACAATGGCCACATATCATCTCTGTCCTTTTGCAAGCACTGTCTGGAAAATACTCTCTCCTTACTTCCACCTCTAGAAATCAACAATTTCCTTCAAAGCTGAGCTCAAATGTCATCTCCTACATGAGGCTTTTCCGGAAGCCCCCAGTAGTTGGTGCCTTCCCTCTCCACCCCATCCCCCACCCTCACCAATTACATAATCTCCCTCAATAGAATAAGTTCCACAGGTGCAGGGGCTGTTTCATTTGTCTTTCTATCCCCAGTGTCTGGCATACAGAAGGTACTTAATAAATACTCTGTGGCTATTTATTAGTATGACTTGGGTTCTTGTCCTGCCTCTGAAGCACAGTAGCCAAGCGATCCTGAGCAACGCACTTTAACCAATGAAGGAAATTTCCACATCAATTCTCCATACAGATGAAATCACAGGACCACCCCAAAACAAAATACAGACTATAACAGTTACTACAAACTTAGGAAAATATTCTACCAAAAGTCATTATTTCAAGTACTTAAAGCCTTCTAAAAAAGACTATATCCTTTTGTAACAATTGTCAGAGACATAATTTATATGTTAACTCAAAAGTTTTACTTTTTAGTAAATTATATTTTTAAAGATATTTTAATACTCTGCTACCTCCCAAATAGAAACAGAACAAAAAAATTCTAAAAGACCTCTACTTAGCATATTTGACAAGATCAAAGCATTCTGACTCTGGGGAGTAATATACAATATATGTTTACACATACATAAGCATATACATGTATACAAACACATATATGATTTTTCTCAACTTTGGAACAGGGAGATTGAAGGGTCACTGACTCATAAGGGATTAAAAGAAACAGTGAGTCAAATAAATAAAAAGCAACTTAATATAGCATTTTGAGTTTTTTAAAATAAATTTTATATTTCTTATTCAGTCAGGTTTTTAAATTGACAAGAAATTAAAGTTGCATCCAATATATACAATTTTTAAAATTTTAATTATTTCAGTTCTCTATTCTAACCAGTGAACACAAAGGGAGGAGGAAGAAAGAGAGAAAAAAATCTGGACAGAGCTTCCAGCTAAGAGGACTACCTGAAAGAGGCAGCCTGCCCTACTCCCATGTATCTACTGTAGCCAAACACTGAAGTTCTCACTGGACTGAATAATGATCAAGAAATTCAAGAAGCAACTACACCCTGGAACTACACAAGAGGTCAATCAGAAGCCCAAAGGCAATAATGAAGTTCCCCTTAGACTTCAGCACAGCGGTAGCCTTCCAGACAACCAAAGACTGCCAGAGACACAAACAGCCTGCAAAGTTCTGTGTTTGGAAACCCCAAGAGTAAGGGCTTCACTGAGAAAGCCATCTGGGAGACCTTGGAGAGGTAGACATCAGTGTCCACTGAAGTGACAAACAACACAATGCCACAGTGCTCAAACCAGGACAAGTTTAAGGTCCCTAACATGGGAGAGTCCTGAAGATCTAGGCAGGCCTAACCTAAGGAGGTAAAGGTCTATGTAAAAATCCAAGGGACCCAAGACAATAACACTTCACAGAAAAGCAAAGCAGAAAGTAAAGCTCGGCCCTAGTACAAAGTTGGGGAATAATAAAGTTAGAGAGATAAGTAAATTAAAAACAAAAAACCACCCACCAGTACAAAAAAATTATCGCAATTCAAATTCCATAACCACTACAACCAGAGACTCAAGAAAAAAGTGGATTTTCTACAAAGATTACATGAACAGAAGAAATAAAAGCATTTTTAAAGAAAAAATTAAGAGAGGCAAGTGACAAAAGGAAGAATTAGAAGGATCATAAAAAGCTTAGAAAGAAAGTGGCAAATCTTACCCAAATAAAAGACTCTCTGAAAACTCAGAGATGAAAAAGAAATCAATTACCCCATGAGAGAGCAAGAATTAATAGAACAAAAAGATTGGGGAAAAAAATGGAAGAAAATTTAAGCTATAGCTGATATCAAAAACAACTGACCTGGAAAGGATAACTTAAGGAATCAAGGAAAGATAATTTAAGAATCATTAGGCTTCCTGAAAACCATAATTAAAAAAAAAGCCTGGGTACTATATTTCTAGAGATCAGAAATGAAAACATTATAGGTCTATCGGAACCAGTGGACAAAAGTTTCCAAAAGTTTCAAAATTTCTACCATTTGCCTCCTGAAAGGAACCCTCCCACCAAAAAAATCCTAGAAAGTGATAATCAAAATCCAGCGTTTCAACCTCAAAGAAAAAGACAGCAAAAATTCAAAAAGATGCAGTTCAAGTATGAAAGAACTACATTCCGGATGATATAAAATCTTGCATCATCTACTAAAAAACATAAGAGATCTTTGAATTCAATATTGAAAAGGCAAAAGATGAAGGATTACTATCAAGAATAACTTATCTTGCAAACCTGAGTATAACTCTATAGATAAAAAAAAATGGACCTCAAATAGAAGGGACTTTCAAGGATTTCTAAAGAAAAGACCACAGCTGTGTAGGGATTTAAAACACAAACACGAAATCCCAGAGAAACCTAAAAGACAGTCATCTGAATAACTGGAAGGTGCTGTATGACTATATAGAGCTAATATTCTAATAAGGGAGAAGAAATAACTGTCCCTCCAGAATTTTAACATTTTCAAAGGTTATTGAGAGAGTTCAATAAGAAAAATATAGGATCTGAGAATGGATTGGTTCTGTTCTAAGGGTTTTAAGAGAGGGGTAAAAAGAAAGATAAAAGGAAAAGAAATACATGAGTTTAGAGAGAAGGAAATCAGAGATGGAATTTGCAATTTATCATAATTGGAGAATGTAAAAAATATATATAAATACAAAGGAAGTTGTGGGAGGAACTGGCATCAGATGAACCTTTATCTGAAAGTGTTTATAAAGGAAGGTTGAACACAAATACACACATATACAGTTTGATGTAGAAAAAAAATCAAACTTAACAGAAAAATAAGCAGGGATAGAAAGGAGGGAGAAATGGGGAATTAAGAAGAAAGATAATATGTGGGAGAGAATAGTTACAAGCAAAATAAACTTCCAGATGATTAAGGAAGACTATAAGGAAGTAAAAAAAAAAATTAGTCTCAATAGAGATGCCTTAGATTGCCTCTTAGACAACTGGGGAACAGCTGAATAAACTGTGTTATATGAATGTAATAGAATATTACTGCACCACAAGGAATTATGCAAGAGAAAATTTGAGAGAATCCTGGGTAGTACAAATTAATGCAGAGTGAAGTGAGCAGAATTAGAACAATTTGTACAAGGATAACTTCATAATGGAAAACAACTATGAAAGACTGAAGAACTATGATCAAAAGAGGGAGGAAAAAAGGAACAAGCATTTCCATGGCACCCACTGTGAGTCAGGCACTGGGCTAAGTGCTTCACAAACATTATCTCATTTGATCCTCACAGCAACCCTGCAAGGGAGATGCTGTTATTATGACCATTTTACAATTGGGGACACTGAGGCAAACAAAGGTTTAAGTGACTTCCCTAGGGTCACACAGCTAGTAAATGTCTGTGGCAGGATTTTAACTCAGGTGTGCCAGACTCCAGGCCCAGCACTCTATCCACTTCACCACCTAACTGCCTACAGCAATGATCAACCATGTTTCCAGCAGACTTATGATAAAGAATGTCAACTACTTTCTGAGAGAGAGGTAACAAATATAATATGCAGAGAGAATCATTTCTGGACATGACCCTTCACAACGTGAATTCATTGTTCTTCACCAGGCTTATTGTTTTATTTTTTTCTCTTGTTTTTTAATTGGAGGTGAGGGGAATAAGGAAGGGAAGAGTTAGCCATAATGATGCAACAAAAAGGGGGGGAAATAACATTTTTTAAATACACAAAAGAAAACAGAAGAAAGCTCAGAAAGAAGTATAGATAAGCAGTACAGCTTTAGAAACAATATGTACAATTTATGAAATCTTGTGTTTAAAAAAAGCAAGCAAGATGAACTGGAAATTCACATTTTTACACAGAATCAACTTTCTATGTTCTGTTTCATGTGTGCCAATTCTCCTTTTTCTTGCTGAAGTTCACAATTTTAAAAAATTTTTTTAAATTTTGGGGAAAGGATAGAGAAGAAGAATGGCAGGGGGAGGGGGGGAGCCAAGATGGGGGAGTGAAAGCAGCAACTTGCTTGAGCTCTCCTCCAAACCCCTCCAAATACCTATAACAATGGCTCTAAATAAATTCTAAGGCAGCTTAACCCACAAAAAAACAGAGTGAAACAAATTTCCAGCCCAAGACAACCTGGATGATTGATCAGAAAGGTATATCCCGCTGGGCTGGGAGTGCAGCACGGCGTGGGTGCACAGGCCCCAGCAAACCTGGCGCAGGTCTCAGAGGACTGAATCGTGGGCAGCTGTGGTGGTTTCCAGACTCTTCAATCCATGAATGCCAAAGACAACTTAGAAGGTCAGTGGGAAAAGTTGCTGTGGTGCTGAGAGAGGAAGGCAGGGTCTCAGCTCTACTCCCCAAGAGCATGGCCCTGGAGTGGGCAGCTGCGTCCCGAGCTTCCAGCCCACAGACTGAGGGGGAATTGAGTGGCTGATCAGAGGGGGATGGCAGGGATCTCTCTGCTGGTGCTGAGGCAGGAATCTCTTGCTTTGCCTGTGCTTGGATCTGAGTCACAGTTCTGGATAGGGGTCCTGGGGTGAGAAGGAACGCTGGCACGGTAGAGCTTGTAGTGGCTGTGGACAGGAAACCTTCCTCGCAGTTCCAGGACAGAAAGGAGTGCTTGTGGTCACTAATAGACCACAGCACAGGCCAGGAAAGGAGTAAACACCTCTCCCCTTATCATACCACCTGACAAGAACTGAAAACTTACGGGTCCCTACAAATATCTCTGAAAACAGCTATATAAATCCTCGAAGCTTGGGACAGTACATTCCCAACGCTGGAAGCATACTCTTACCTTAACAAAGAGTTTAAAACTCAAGTGATTGGCCCGGATCATGAGCAAACAATGCAAAACAAGTCAGATCACAGAATCTTTCTTTGGTGACAAAGAAGATCAAAACATACAACCAGAAAAAGACAACAAAGTCAGAGCTCCTACATCCAAAGCCTCCAAGAAAAATATGAATCAGTCCAGGCCTTGGAAGAGCTCAAAAGGATTTTGAGAAGCAAGTAAGAGAAGTAGAGGAAAAACTGGAAAGAGAAATGAAAGTGATGCAAGAAAATCATGAAAAACAAGTCAACAGCTTGCTAAAGGAGACCCAAAAAAATACTGAAGAAAATAACACCTTAAAAAATAGCCTAACCCAAATGGCAAAAGAGGTCCAAAAAGCCAATGAGGAGAAGAATGCCCTAAAAAGCAAAATTGGCCAAATGGAAAAGGAAGTCCAAAAGATTACTGAAGAAAATACTTCCTCAAAAATTAGAATAAGAGCAATTGCAGGCTAGTGACTTTATGAGAAATCAAGACACTGTAAAACAAATCCAAAAGAATGAAAAATTAGAAAACAATGTGAAATATCTCATTGGAAAAACAACTGACCTGGAAAATAGATCCAGGAGAGAGAATTTAAAAATTATTGGACTATCTGAAAGCCATGATCAAAAAAAGAGCCTAGACATCATCTTTCAAGAAATTATCAAGGAAAACTGCCCTGATATAGTAGAACCAGAGGGCAAAATAGAAATTGAAAGAATCCACTGATCTCCTCCTGAAAGAGATCCCCAAAGGAAAACTCCTAGGAATATTGTAGCCAAATTCCAGAGTTCCCAGGTCAAGGAGAAAATATTACAAGCTGCCAGAAGGAAACAATTCAAGTACTGTGGAAACACAATCAGGATAACACAAGATTTAGCAGCTTCTACATTAAAGGACCACAGGGCATGGAATATAATATTCCGGAGGGCAAAGGAGATAGGATTACAACCAAGAATCACCTACCCAGCAAAACTGAGTATAATCCTGCAGGGGAAAAAACGGTCATTCAGTGAAACAGAGGACTTTCAAGCATTCTTGATGAAAAGACCAGAGCTAAATAGAAAATTGACTTTCAAATATAAGACTCAAGTGGAACATGAAGAGGTAAACAGGAAAGAGAAATCATAAGAGACTTATTAAGGTTGAACTGTTTACATTCCTGCATGGAAAGATGATATTTATAACTCATGAGACCTTTGTCAGTATTAGGGTAGTTGGAGGAAAAAAATTATATGTATGTATAGGTAGATAGGCAGATAGAAGGGATGACCACAGGGTGAGTTGAAGATTAAGGGGTTATATCCGGAGAATAAAATTAAGGGATGAGAGAGGATTATATTTGGAGAAGAAGAAAGGGAGAGGTAGAATGGGGTAAATTATCTCGCAAAAAAAAAACAGAAAAGAAAATGCTCTTACAGTGGAGGGGAAATGGAAGAAGGTGAGAGGGAATGAGTGAATCTTATTCTCATAGGATTTGGCTTAAGGAGGGAATAACATACACATTCAATTGCGTATGGAAATCTGTCTTACCCTACAGGAAATTAAGGGGGAAGGGGACAAGAGAGCAGGCAGATGATAGAGAGGAGGGCAGATTGGGAAAGGGGGTAATCAGAAGGAAATACTTCTGAAGAGGGACAGGGTCAAAAGAAAGAATAGAATAAATGGGGGGGCAGGATAGGATTAAGTGAAATAGAGTTAGTTTTTCACAACATGTCTACTATGGAAGTGTTTTGCATAACTGCACATGTATAACCTATATTGAGTTGCTTGCCTTTTCAATGAGGGTAGGTGGGCAGGGAGGAAGGGAGAAGACTTGAAACCTAAAGTTTTAAAAACATATGTTAAAAAAAAAAGTTTTCACATGCTACTGGGAAATAAGAAATACAGGAAATGAGGTACAGAAGTCTGTCGCGCCCTACAGGAAAATAGAAGGGGAAGGGGATAAGAGAAGGGGGGAGAGATAGAAGAGAGGACAGACTAGGGGAAGGGACATTCAGAATGCATGCCATCTTGGGGTGGGAGGAGGGGCAAGATGGGGTGAAAATTTGGAACTCAAATCCGGCCTCAGACACATGACACTTAATGGTTGCGTGACCCTGGGCAAGTCACTTAATCCCATTGCCTAGCTAAAAAAAAAAAATTATAAAAAAAAGAGTAAGACTCTTTAGTGGTAAATATCTAGGCAGTTAAGGATATCACATGTTGAAACAGTAGAGTACAGTCACATTTATGTCACTGTGTATTAAAAATAGAATATAATGTTGAATACTGTATTATCAGAGTAGTTTTACTTTTTAAAATAAAATTAAATGGACTTTAAAAAATGAAAACTGTGGTAGAATTAAAAAATCAAACTATTTAATAAAAAAAGTTATAAAATTCAAAATAATTTCCTCAATATCATCATTCAACAGCAGCCATTTATGCAACTATTTAATACCAGCTCTTTTTAGTTAATAGACTTTTAAAAAAAGCACACACTAAATACTAATATGCTACATACCACTCAACTGAAATAAAAGCAAAGTTTTTCTCATATAAACCTCAACCTCTGCATAAATTAGCATTTTATAACACAACATTGATTATGGTACCTGGAAGCAAAGGAACAAATTTATAAAACAGTTCTATGGACTTGTGTCTGCATTCTGTCTGGGGGCGTCCACATTGTGCCAAAAGCCACTTGACGAGATCCAATAAACATAGTGTTTGAACAGGTGGAAATCCGCTAAAATAACAAGACAATAATTACAAATTAGTAGACATTACTCACACTACAAATTTTACCATAAAACCCATGTTAACATGTTTCAAAACCCAAAAAGCACACCACCACCACCACCACCACAACTAACATTTACATAGTGCTTACTATATGTCAGGCATTATGCGAAGGGCTTTAAAATTTATTATCTCATTTGATCCTCACAACAACCTTGCATGGTAGGTGCTATTATTATCATCCTCATTTTGCAGATGAGGAAACTAAGGCAAACAAGCTAATGGCCTTGGTCCAAGATCACACAGCAAATAAGTATCTGGGCTGAATTTGAACTAAGGTCTTCCTGACTCGTGGCCCAGAGTTCTTATCCAATGAAGCATCTTACCCTCTTCTGACTCCCTGCCTTTTCACTGGCCATTTCTCATGCCTAGAATGCCCTCCCTCTGCCTCCTATTTCCTTCAATATTTGACTCAACTCTTATCTTCTGTAGGAGGCCTTTCCAAGTTTTTCCCACTGCTAGTGCCTTCCCCTTCAGACTACCTTCTATTTGAACTATATATTGCATATGCATAATTTTTTGCATGTTTTCTTCCCCATTAGATTATGAGCTCCTGAAGGGAGGGTCTATGTTTCTGCCTTTTTTTTTTTGTAACCCTAGTGATTAGAAAAGAGCCAGGCATACAACAAGCACTCAGTGAATGCTTGTTCACTGACTGACTTCTGTCAGTCTCTTCTCCCCAAATATCACGTTAAGCTGAGAGCATCATGACTTTTCATCTGGACTACTGAAATAGCCTATTAATTGGTATCTCATTAGGTAATCTCTCTCCTCTCCAATTCATCCTTCACACAGCTACCAAAATAATCTAAGGCATGGACCTGTCACCATGCCTCACCACTGGTCAAAAAAACCTTTACTGACTTCCCACTGCCTCAAAGACTAATTAGAAGCCTCTTGGCCTTCAAAGCTTTCCAAAGCCTAATTTCTTGTCACAGTTTTCCTCTATTACTGCCCTTTACACATGCTGTGTTCTAGCCAAATTGCCCCACCAAGCTTTTCCTCAAACTTGGCTTCGTTTTATTTCTGTCTCCACATCTGTGTGTAGCTGGTGCCCCATCCTCACTTCTAGCACTTAAAATCTACCTCTGACACAGTCTTTCCTGACTCCCTCCAGTGATTGGTGTTTTATTCAATTTGGTTTGTATTGATTTATGCACAAGTTTCATTAAAATGTGAGCTCCCTGAAAGGCAGGCCCTTCTATTTTTTTGTCTTTATATCATCAGTACATAAGCACCCTGTAAGCACTTAAATGTTTGTTGAATTAAATTCAGTTGAATTATTAAGCTATTTCTTTCACTCTTGTCAAATTCTGTAATTGTTAGTACTGTACAATAAGGGAATAGGGATGGGCAAAAAGAGAAAGAATCTCCTCTCCAAAAGGTCCAATAAACTTGAAACCAAGTATTTCACACCATAAACCATGTAATCCTTTCTAATTTTATGTTTAAAAAAAAGGCTAGAGCAGAAAAACAGAACAGTACCAACCGAGGTAGGCGCCGTTTTTTGGGCTTATTTAAGTTGATGTGCTTCTTTTCAATTATGCGCGTCAGGTGATCAATAGCATCACAACACTGTTGAATTGTACCTGTTCTCAAAAAAAAATTGAACTACATGCATAAAAATGATTTAAATAGGAATTTTATTATACCAACTGAAATTCTAGTCTTGAAGGAACCTCAGAACTCATCTACCTCATTTTACAGATGAAGAAAATGAGTTCCAGTTAAGTTAACAGAATTGGCCCCAAATCACAGAGGCTGTAGGTGACAGAGGCAGGAGAGGAACTAAGCCTTCTGATTACAAATCCAACTCTTTTTGTCACACCACTGTCTCCCTATCAATCTTCCATGTATCATTATTAAAGGGCAAAAAGTATCCTTTTCCCATAGATTTTAATATTTCTCAGACCTCAAAATGTTTTCAACAAATGTATAATCTCTACGTCCATTGTTCAATCAAAACACCACAGACTGTCAAAAAAGAGTATATTCTACTGCTGGTGAGAATTGAGACCAATAGAAAGGCATTTCGGCTATTTTATGTGGACAACATTTCACTTATCAAGTGAAATATCAATATTCTAGAGCTATGATGTAAAAACAATAACAATAATAGCTAGCATTTAAGTAACTCTTTAAGGTTTGCAAGGCATTTTGCAGATAAGATCATTTGACCCTCCCAACAATTCTTTGTTACTTGTATTATCCCCATTTTATAGATGAGGAAACTGAGGCAGACAGAGGTCAAGTAACTTGGCCAGAGTCATATGGGTAGCAATTGTCTCTGAAGCTCAATTTTAACTTAATATGTCGAATGGGGAGAGACACAGGCTTCTCAGTGATCACAAAACCTGTGCAATGACATTTTAATAACCTTAGGCCAGACTCTACTAACTTAAAATTATATGTGCATTTTAAATAATAACAATATTTAATAAGCTCATCAATTCTTCCCAAATTAAACTAAAGCATATAAGCAAATATGGAGGAAAATGGAGAGAAAAGACAGATTTAGTAGAAGCCCTTCACAACCCTCGCTGCCTTCCTCTGGATATTATTCAGCTTGCCAGTGTATTTCTAAAAATAAGTCTTCCAGTGGCCTATCCAAGGCAGAACACGGTAAGATTATTACCTCTCAGACCTAAGATCTTTTTAGCTTTTTTGGCTGCTGTGTTAAATGGCTGACTTCTACTGAGCTGTAGTCCACTACAATTCCTTGATATTCACAAACTGCCTTATCATTTATCACCCAAACTCTAAATAGGAATTAACAGGTTCACTCTTTTATCAAGTGTCAATTTTTTTTTAACATGTTCTATAAAAGATACTATTTTATCAACTTTTTAAAAAAATTTAGGTCTCCCTAGTTTATTTCAATAATATTGTACATTTTCTGGTTTTTCTGAGCAAGAACAGAATCTTACTCAATGTGACAATCACTATGAACACATGGGAATTTTCATTAAGCTAACAAAGGATTCTACTGCATTCTGGCCTTAATTAAAGTCTCCAACTGACATTTTCCCACAGCAAATACACTAGCTAGTTGTTAGCACTATATTAGGCTTTTGGCATTGAAGCCTGTTAAGAATTATGAATACATAAAATGTGCATATAAAATATTTAGATTTATTTTATTTTTATCTTTCCTATTCTTCAAGACTTAAAATTACAGTACAGTATAGATTATATTATTTTTAATTAGACTGAAATATTGATTGTGGCAAATAGATATAAATGTATAAGAGGTCACTGATGTTATTAGTGATTAAGAACATTCAGACCCAACCTGATGAAATACTGTTAAGCCACAGAAGGTAAAGCATAAAAATAACACCTTGGAAATGGGCTTAGGTATCTTGGTGGGTGAATAAGATTCTCCTTTTAGCAATCAGAGCAATCTAGGCATAATAAAAGATAAAGGCACGAGAAAAAAAAAAACTTTATGTTCAACTTAGTGAAAAAGAACCATAATATTTCACAACTGCAAAAAACTTTAGTATCACTAGACCAATCCCTTCATTTGCAGGTGAAGGCTTAGAGAGGTTAACTTATTATAGCTCATTAATATTATGAGTTTCTCTTCCATTTGCTATATTTTTTCTTGTTTTTTTATATTGGTCAGTTCCTTGTTCCCCTTCTCTGGAAGAGAGACCCAAGTTCACTGATTTGATTACAGATATCTGTTTTGTACCTTGCACATATGAAGTATTGTGTGGAATACAAGGTGTAAATACATAAAATATGTGCCCTATGTTACTCCATTAAGATACTGCACATGGATGAAATTTTCTGAAGCTTTGGCAAGTGCTATATTTTTTTTACTTTATCCGTTAAAAAAAAAAAACTTCCTAAAGTCTCTTGCTGATTAAACAGAGGCTTCTCACCACAAGTTTAACCACTTCTTTTGATTGAAGATTTCTTCTGGCCAAAACAGCTTATTTAACTGTCTCATAAAGCATAAAGGGGCTATACTCTCTCTCCATTGTTAGAGGGAATAGAACTAAGTTTGCATTCACAAGCTTAAGACAATATTTCATTTTTAAAGTGCTACCTTATGAAAGATTTTTGTTACACTGAAAATACTCAATAGAGTATTAAAATACAAAAAAATTAAATACAACTTACCTAAAGATTTCTCATCTGCATGAGTTAAGGCCAAACTTTCCATATAAATGACTAAGGCTTCAAAGACGAACTGTTCTACAAGGGCCTCCTCTTCTCTGTAAAATAAAAAATTGGAATATAGTAAATAAGAAATATGAAGAGGCCCAAAAGTAAAACAATTTTAAATGTATGTTAAAAAATTAGTAAGATAAAAAGGCATAGCTCTGCAGCTGAAGTATTTCTCCACCAGTAAAAATTTCAAAATCAGGCCGTAAGACTAAGCCCCAATTACAAAAGGATGCATCAAACAATGGCAAAATAAGCTTAAGAGCTTGCAAAGTGAACTGACATAGGCATCTGATATAATCTTCCCAACAACCCCATGAAGAAGAAAGTTCAAAAAGATGCTTTTTTTTTGCCTTAATAAATGTCTGTACTTTTCAGCCATTTAACATTATGGGGTGTACATCTACCTTAAAATCAAGGAAGGACATTTGTTTCAGAGTTTAAAAGAGACACAGTCCTATTGAACTCTTAGCCCAGGTCGTTACCCTTCTGCAATGTTTCTTCAAGAAAAATGTGCTGACATGTCAGCTCCACAGACCATCCTCTTTGAGGAATTAAAGTTGAAAGTGACCCAAAGAGTAATGGTGATATGCATGGCTAGTATGTGTTATTAGAGATATTATTAAAGGGATGTATGACAAGAAAAGAAAGTGAGCCAATCTCATGTAGAGAATGGTGTCCACTGGTACCCATACAATAATGTAAAGATTGAGAAGGACCCCATATGTTTGGAGAGCACTTTATGGGGTAAGCACACAAACAAGAGTTACATAGGATGAAGAGTGGATTCATTGCAATCTCTCCTGATAAGAGCAAAGCTATCCATTAAAGAAATAAAGAAACTAAGGTAGAAATCTCAAAAGACAATTAAGACAAAAATGAGCATAAAATTTAATATATAAGATAGATTACATAGTAAGAAAAAATAAACCTCATTCAATAAAATTAATGAGGTTTGAAAATATGTTACCACCCCAAAACATTAAGTAAAAGCTAGCATTTTGGCTAAGGACTCTAACAATACAAGATTTTTGAAATCCCTTGACATATTTGCTGTTTTTCATTATAACTTGGCTACAAAGGTCAAGAGGGATTTATTTATCCTGCCTTTTTTTAAAATCCTAGTCTATGACAGGGTTTTCACCAAGAACAGGCAGACCAACAGTAGAGAGCATTCTCTGAACTACAAACTCCTACAGTGTCTGGCACAGTGCTGTCCCTGCTACATAAAACTGGAAATGGTACCCATCTAATGCACAGTGTTTTCCCCACAACTTTCTTCCTTCTTAAGAGGACTTTTTAAAAAAATTTTCTTGTATTCCCAGTACTTAGCACACTATATGCCTGGCACACAGAAGGCACTTAATAAACTGAAAGCACTTGTTGATTGGCCAAATGACATCATGGTCTCTCCATTTTGATAACTCAATTAATTCTACTTCAGGTAATCTCTTATTTACAACGATCTCCTTTAAATCTCTTCCTCCCCCCCCCGTTTTAATTTAAAAGAAAATTTTTAAGAATACTTTGTTTTAAAAGCCAAGATTGCCTTCTCACCCTCTCATTCCAATCCCCCTCCTTCCAAATTGAGAACATAAGAAAAATAAAACCCAATACAAACAAGTAGAATTAATCAAAACAGATTTTCATTTTGGCCAGGTCCAAAAAATTTTTGTTTCATTCTGCACTAAGTCCTTCACCTCTATCAGGAAGTAGGTAATACATTTGATTACTAATCTCTTAGAATCCTGGTTGATCATTATGTTGATACAAGTTCAGCACAATGGTATTCCATCATGTTTATATACCATAACTTGTTCATGTATTCCCTAGACATGTATTCTAGACACCCGTTCAGATTCTCATTCTTTGCCACTTCAAAAAGAGGTATAAACTTTTTGTACATCCTTAGTTTGTTTTGCATTGGACTAATTCCTCCCTAAATTTACCCTCCCTTTAATTCCCTCTTTTCCCTTCTCCCCTTTCTCTCCTGTTTCCCTGTTGAAATGTATTTCTGTACCTAACTCATGTGTGTGTGTGTGTGTGTGTGTGTGTGTGTGTGTATTCATCCGTCCCCACCATCCCCTCCTCGTTTGTAGAGATGTCTGCTTGTACACCCTGATTATGCGGGATAATTTTCCTAGTTTCCCTTTCTCATCCCCCCTCAGTGTATTCCTTTACCACTCTCTATTCTGAAGGTCATCAGAACAGAACTCTAATTAGACTCCATGAGCCTTGATGATGACAGATTTCAGAAGTGACACATCTAACATTTTCCCATAACTGAATGTAAGCAGTTAATCCTTATTTAGTCCTTTATCATTGTTCTGTCATTCACCTTTACGTGCTTCTCTTCATTCCTGTGTTTGAACTCCAGAGTTTCTTTACAGCTGTTTTTTTTTCCAATAGGAATACTTAGAAGTCCTGTATTTCATTAAAGTTCCATTTTTTTCCTCCTGTACTCTATTTTGCTGGGTAAGTTATTGTTGGCTGTAAGCCCACAGACTACGTATTCTGGAATATTACATTCCAACCTATGCACTTCATTTTAGTGGTGGCTGAAAAATCATGCATGATCCTGACTGGCTCTTCAGAATTAGAATTTTCTCTCTGGCTGCTTGGAGTCTTTTGTCTTTGACCTAGAGGATCTGGATTTTGGCTATGATGTTACTGGGAGTTTTCATCTGGGGGATTTTTTCATAAGATGACCAGGAGAGTCTATTTTCACTTTGCTCTCTGTTTCGAGGAGATTTGGATAGTTGTTTTGTCTTTTTTAAGATTTCTTGAAATATGTCTAGGTTCTTTTTTTGGTTATGACATTCAGGCAGTTAAGGTATTTTAAAATTTTTTTCTCCTCAATCTGTTTCCCAGGTCAGTTGTTTTTGCTATGAGATACCATACACCTTCTTCTATTTTTCAGCCTTTTGACTTTGTTTGATATTTCTTGTTGCCTCATGAAGTCATTAGTTTCTATTTGGTCCATTTTAACTTTCAAGGAGTTTGTTGCTTTGGCAAGATTCTGTAGTTCTGGTGCCAAGCTGTTAATTCTTTTTCCAATTCTTTCTTCCATAGCTCTCATTTCTTTTCCCATTTTTTCCCTCAAGAGTTCTCATTCCACTTATGAAAACATTTATAAATTTTTTTTAACTCTTAGCTTTATCTCTCCTAGGAATTTAGCCCAAACTTTATTTTTCTCTGAAGCTTTGCTTATAGATGTTTTGGAGCCATTCTCTTCTTTTGGTTTTGTGCCTTGAGCATCCCTACCATCATAATATCTCATTATGGTGAGATTCTTTTTGTTTGCCTATTTTCCCAGTCTACTTCCTTTACTTCAAACTTGATGCTAGGTCTGGGCTCTCCCACAATTCTAGAGGGAAAGTCTGGTCTGGGGCTGTTGCTGCTTTCTTAGAGAATATAGTGCCTACTATGTGCTAAGAACCATACTAATATTTGTAAAATATTACAAATATTACACTGATTTGATCCTCACAAAATCCCTTAGAGGTAAGTGCTATTGTCACCCCCATTTTACAGTCGAGGAAAACAAAGCCGACAGAGGTAAAATGACTTACGCAGGGTCACGCAACCATTAAGTGTCTGAGAACAGATTTGAACTCAGGTTTTCCTGACACCAGGCGAAATGCTCTAACTACTGCACCACCAGCTAGTGGCACTACCTGAGAGGTGAAGGACTCAATGTACGGAATGAGACATGTTTTTTTTGGACATGATCAATGTGGAAATTTGTTTGGTTTGACTATATAATTAGTAAAAAGGTTTTGGTTTGTGTTTGGGTTTGTAGATTTCTGTTGATTATATATATATGTATGGGTGTGTGTATGTATGTATGTATATATACACATACATGTGTTTTCGAAAAACAACATATTCGAGAGAGAGAGAATGTGTGTACATGTGTGTATAAATAAATGACCAAGTTTGACCCCATCAAGAAAGTCAAAGAGGAGCCCAGCTGAGAAGACACTTTGAATTCTTCTTCAAAGAGGGAAAGGATTATGAATATAAAACACTAAAACGAATGTCAGAATTTTTAAATGTGTTGGTTACTTTTTCTGAACCATTTTTTTCCTCTTTTTTATTCTTTATTAAACTACTGGGTTCTCTAGGGGAGGGAGATACATTAGCAAATGTAGACGTAAAGACAAGAAATATCAGTATTTATTTTTTAAAAGTATGGATGTGTATAACAGTCACACATAATACATAATTAAGTATAACATAACACACATCAATAATGTATAATATAGTCAAATAGTCAAACATATATTCCCTGTTCAAAATTAATTTACTAATCCCAAATCACACTAATTATTTAAATACAGAAAAGATAATGTTCAATTTTTGTTCACTTACCTAAATTCTCTATAGATATTGTTAAAAGCAAGTGCGGCTCCTAGTCTCTTGAAAGCACTGGGGTGAAGTGCAAAGCTGTACAGACGCTTAAAGAGTGATTTAGTGTTCACAGGACTTCTCTCTTGCTGCTGAGGTGGTGTTTGCTTAATGGACCATTTTAAGAACTCTCTAACACACTGACCACAAAAATCTCGCAAGGTACTGTCAACAGGATCCACTATGCCATCCTAAAACAAGAGGCAAATCACTGTGTTGTAAACTTTTATTTCTATGTCATAGGATTACTGTTTTAGTATCATAAGTAACTTTAGAAATCCCTAAATCCAATCCCCTTACTTTACAGATGAGGAAACTGAGGTCCAGAGAAGCGTGACTCTTGCTTAGGGTCACAAAGCTAGTAAGTATCCAAGTCAGGAGCCAAACTGAGGTCTTCTTGACTCCAAATTAAATGCTCTATCCATTACACTATGCTGCTTCACATATAGGACTATTATAAAGATTCTGTGTTTGCCAGAAAAAAATGAAGTTAAATAATTATTCATACATAAATTTTTGTCATAAACAAAAACAATGCAGCTAAAATTAAAAGAGGTACATAAATATGAAAAAATCTTTCCAGCAAATCTTTCTGATAAAGGTTTCATTTCTAAGATATATACAGAACTCATTCAACATTAGAGCCATTCACCAAGTGATAAACTGTCAAAGGATATATACAGGCAGTTTTCATGGAAGAAATCCAGGCTTTCAATAGCCATATGAAAAAAATACTCTAAATCACTAATAATTAGAAAAATACAAATTAATTTAACTCTGAAGTTCTGCCTCATACCAATCAGATTTGCAAAGTGGACAAAAAAGGAAAATGACAAATGCTAGAGGGGCTGTAGGAAAAGAGGTAAATCAACACTGCTGGTAGAGATATGAACTAATTCAATCGTTCTGAAAAGGAATTGGAACTGTGCCCCAAAAGCTATTAATGGAGCATACTCTTTGATTCAGTGAAACAACTAATAGGTCTTACATACCAAAGAGATAAAAAGAAATCTGTAAGAGAATAGGTAAAGATATATCTATACTGTATTTAAAACAGCTGTGAAAGGAAAAGAATCATAGCTGTGTTTCTGGAGAAAAACACAAGGTTTAGGAGTATTACAAAGCTGATACACAAAGTAAAATAACTAGAATAACTGTGTAAAAATAGAGTACCTCTATTTGGACACAAAAATGAATAGTCTGGAGTAGGGGTGGGGAAACTTCAGCTTCAAGGACACACGTGGTCTGGAGTATACATATAAAAAGGGGAAATATCTAAAAGAACTAATCAGCTTAATACACAAGAAATAAAATAAATCATGGCATTAAAAGTAGACCTGCCTCTTTGATCATGCAATGCCCACAGCTTAAATTAATTACTCAAAAATCAAGAAAATGGCAGAGGATTATGGAAGCTAAACAAATTCATGTTTTAACAAGCAAATGTCAAGAAATAATGCTAAGAGGGTTAAGAAGGTCATGGGAGGCCTTCTGGTGAGATGGCAAAGTTAGGAGCTCCAAATGAATGCAGCTGTCTTTACCACCAATTCAAAAACAATAATAAATAAATATATCAAATGAAATAAAAGAGAAAAAAAATTAGAAATAAAAATAAATTCTGTCTTGGCGATCCCCATAGAACATTTTAGAGAAATAGCAAAGGCTGCACTGTCAGCTCTGTGATCCATCTATTCATTACCCATCCCTACCCTTAGCACACTAAAGGCACCTCATATTGTTTTGCTATTTGTTATTTTTCTCTAAATGCAACATATCCCTACTATACTTTAAGTCAGGTATGGTAAACCTGTGGCCTTCTAGGTCTTTGGGTGCAGCCTTTTGACTTGAGTCCAAGTTTTACAGAACAAATCGTCTTATTAAGGGGATTTGTTCTGTGAAGTTTGGATTCAGTCAAAGGGTCACACTTGAGGGCCACATGTGGTGTTAAGGCTGCAGGCTCCCCACCACTGCTTTAAGTTCTGTGAGTAAAAGAACTTTGTTTTTACTAAATTTATTTTTTCTAATGCCTCACACAATATTATAAATATAAAAAGTTTTAATAAATGTTTGGCTAACTTAATTATTGAGCAACAGGTATATGACTAGAATGTTTATGTTTATTGGACTAGACGTACATGAAGAGTAAAGGATATCTGACACACAGCCAGTGGGCTTCATAGCATCCATGTAATATCAATTGCTCTAAAGGATATTCTCCCTCCTCCACTCCTATCCTGGTGAGACTAAGTGGACACTGCACAGAGAACTTACAGAAGGATATGGAGAGGAGTCACACCCATTACATTACGATCTTGAGAGCAGGGGTTTTCACATCTTTTTTTTTGCAGCCTTGGTGCTCAGCAGAGCCTGGCACACAGTTCGTGCTTAATAAATGTTTACTGACTCTGACTCCTGACAGTAGAAAATGTGAACGGGTTGCAATCTGCACTGTGGGAAGGAGTACCCACGTCAATTAGATAGCTCCATCGAAGTAAACTACCTTTTATAATTTTTAAAAATCTAGGATCCTAAATCACAAGATTTGGAGCTAGAAAGATGTTTAGACCATCTGGTTAACTTTACAGATGATGAAACTGAGGCTCATAAAGGTTGAATTCATTGACCAAATTTACACAGGCAATGAACAACAGAACCCAGGTGTTCTGAACTCAAGGCTAGCAACTTTTCTATTTTAAAAACTACTCTTCTGAAAAAGAGCATAAAAGAATGAGAGTAAGAGCCAGAGCAACAGCAAAAGTATGTGAACGCACAGAGAGCTCCAATCTCAGAACCATCTTTCGATTCCCACCCTGATACATATGGATTGTGTGATCTTTAACTTAATGTCTTAATGTCTGGGCACTCTCTCAGAGAAGAAGCAGGTAGGGTGGAAACCTGAAATGACAGAAGGTTTTTCATCCAGGAATTCCCTAGTCCAATGAAATCACAGGTTCTGTTCCTATCTCTAATATTCCTCCTCCACTCCTCCCTTTCCCTTGTCCTCTCTCTCCATTCTTCTCTCTCTTTCCCATCCCTCCCTCTCTCTTTCTCTGTACAATATATACACATACACATACACACACACACACACAGACACACACAAACTTAAAGGGAAACAAATTCCTCTGAAACTGTCTAGTACTGTCTGCAAGCAGCAGCAAGAAATTGAAAGAGTCATGGACTTATCCAACCGAAGGATTAAATGATCTGATTACAATGGATCACTAAAAATAACTGTATATGTTGACCAAATGATTAATCAACAAGCATTTATTAAGCATCTATCACACACCAGCCATAGTGCTAGTTGCTGGGGACACAAAGACAAAAACGAAGCGATTATTGCCCTCAAGGAATTTATATTCTCTCAAGGAAACAACAAATGTGTACACATGTGTGTATGAATACACAAAATTTATTCAAAGTAAAAAGAAGGCAATTTCGGGGAGGGAGTTAATAGCAGCTGTGATCAGGAAGGCTGTCCTCTAGGAAGTGGCGCTTAAGGGAAGCTTGGAAGAAAGGCAAACATTCTAAATCATTTACTCTCATGGCCTCCAAGGCGTCATTCACTTCTCAACACCTCAAACTCTGACTTCCAGGCTCATTCCACTGAAACTGGTCTCTCCAATTATCAGCGATGATAATTCTTTGCATCACAGTACCACAGGCTTTTGGGAGCTGTGACATATACGTGGATGATGGATTGGAGTGGGAGAAACTTTGGGGAAAGTTTCTTGTCCAGAACTCTGCATCACTTCTTGGCCATTCCCAAACCATACCTGCTTATAGTCCTGCCATCATCTTCATCCCTCTCCAACCAAAACCTTGGACTCTGCCCTTGAGATTCTGATATGTAAATGTTCACATTATCATGCCCAGAAACAGACCACTTCTCCACCATGCAGGCATCCTCTTCTCCTCTTTCTTGCTCCCTTTTACTTTTTTCCCCCCCAAACTCCTTCACAGCACGGACTCTCTTAAATGCTTATATTTCTAACTTTAGCACAATGCCTGGCACACAGTAAACATTTAAGAAATGCTTTATCATTCATTCTTTCATACAGACCAATTAGGGGGCTCTTGCAATAGTTCAATCGAAAGGTGATAAGGGCCTGAACTAAGGTGGTGACAGTGTGAGTGAAGCAAAAGGGATGAGAGATGCTGTGGCCTTGGAATTTTTAAGACTGGGCAACTGAAGTAAGAGGGTATTTTGGGTGATGAAGAGTTGAGGACAAGTCCCAAGTTGCAAACCTTGGTTAATGGAAGAACAGAAGTGTCCTTAACAGAAGTTGAGAAATTAGGTAAAAGAGTGGGCTTAAGGGAGAGATGAGTTCCACTTTAGACATGTTGAGGCTTTTTATTTTTCTGAGAAAAGTCAACAGTTTTAAGTTATCTTTTGACTTGACCTAGGTTAAGCCTTAGCCTACTTGTGAATATTTTCTTGCCACACAGGAAAACTTTTAAATTTTACCAACAAGGCATTTTGACTCATTAAAATATATTTTAACGCCTTAAACAAAATAAAATATTTTAAAACCCATATCACCTAATTAGAAATTAGTTTAAAAAATTATTTTGTTCTCTTTAACGATCTATTTGTTAAAAGTCCAAATATACACTCTATGTTATTGGCCAACAGAAAAAGCAGAGAAATCAATCACCACCTACCAGAATGGTTTCTAGTAACGTCACTGTGTCCTGACTTTCAAACTTCTTGTTGTTGGTGAACCAGTGAATCATTTGCATGACAAGTGGTTCATACAGCTGCCGTGTCACCTAGGTCATAACATTATAAACATTCATTAGATACACCTGTATCTCTTTCTTTTCAAATTAGAGTAGCTTATCTGACATTCCAAATAGGGCAGACTATTACTATATCATCACAGCAATATGCAGTCCAGAAATCATACAATTACAACATTTTAGAAGTCATTTCATCCAACCCTTAACTGAAGCACAAAACCTTTCTACAACATTCTTGACAAGTTATACAGCCTCTATTTAAAGACTCATAGTGACAGGGAGCTCACTACCATAAAAGGCAAGTTACTCCATTTTTACACAGTTCTCATTTTCAGAATGTTGTCATTTAAACAGAGCTAGAGTACAAGGGATAATTTCCACCACCCTGTAATTCTACGCAGCAGCTCTAGTTCTGCTCTAAAAAGTCTAAGAGAATAAATCCAGTTCCACATGAACATGCTATTGAAGACAGCTTTCATGCTCCTAAATCTTTAGCCTAATTTCTTCAATAACTCCTCAGATGGCAGGATTTTCTGCTTATTGTATTATGCTGGACAAATTCCAGTTTGTCACTGTCCCTCACAAAATGTTGAACAGAACGCTCTAGGTGTGATCTGGATACTAGACTTTTTACTAATGCAGCTTAACTACTACTACTTTTTTGCCAACTACATCACTAAGGCTGTAATGTAGCAAAAACTTCTCTCTTTTTCACAATGATTACAACTTGGGCATACCATACGCATTCTATACTTATTCTATTAATTTTCCAACCCTGAACACATGATCTGATTTTTACTGCTATTTAACTGAACTTCAGGAAGATTCAGTACCTTGGTTTTGCCTGTCAACATATTTTTGGATATTGATTCTAACATTCAAGAAATTAATTATCCCTCCCCACTGCAAATTGGTAAGTGAGATGTCTATAACTTTACCTAAGTCACTGAGTTTTTAAAAACTGAACAACATGTGATCAAGGACAGCAAGCTATGTGGATTAGCTGGAGACAAATTTTCAATCAATTAAAATGGTTTACTCCAGGGTGAAGGAGATTCAAGAATCAACTCAGTTCATGGGAAACAACATTCACTAGGTATGACCATGTGACACTCTACATAATTACATACTATTGCCCAGCCTGTATTTTTCCTATCTTGTTCCACTACAAAATCATTAGAGAGTTTGTCAAATGCTCTGACAAAATTCAGTTATATTTCCAATATTTCTCCGATCTACTAGTCCAGCAAAAGCATCAAAAAGATAAGGTTAGTCAGGCATGCTTTGTTCTTAGTAATGTAGGGATCACTACTTCCATTTATAAGTACTCACAAAACAATCAAATGTAATAAAATGTTTTAGAATTTTGGTGGGGATCAATGTCAAATCAAATTACGATTCCAAGTCTACTGTTCCCCCTTTGTGAAAACTGGGACTTATTTATACATTTCTAGTTTTCCAGCACAGTCTCAAATTTTTTTCACAATTCCCTAAAGATCATAGACCACTTTAATAATTACATCTCATGAGTTCTGCAGGAAGCTGGGATAGCATCTGTTCAGGCAAGAATTTTGAATTTAGAGCAACTAAGTGATCTCTTACTATCCCCTCAAAATATGAGCTTCAACTTTCTGTGGGATATGTTTATTCTTTTAGTCATATATTGAAAAGATGGAAACAAATGAGAAGTTGAGTTTTTTTCTGTCAACCAAAAATATTATATGATTCTCCCTGAGAAATATTTCTTTCTTGTTCTTTTTAATGCTGAAAACATTGTGCTGTACTTTGCATTTTTCATGAGCCTCAGTTCAATCTTAAACTTAGCCTTCCTAACATTGTTTACAGGTTTGTACCACTCTTTTATTTACTTCCTGGTTTATTACTCTCCTTCAAACTTTTATATGTGTCATTTCAAAATCTGAACTCTAGAGATTAAGTGCCTATAGTTAACTACATGAATCTTTTTTACATTCTCATCAAGATTGCTTAAAAACGTTTCTGAAAGCCTTCTTCTTGAGCTATCTTCCCTTTGAGAATTTCAGGCAATGGTATAATCCCTGAACCTTTACACTCTAACTGTAGAAAATGTAAGTGGTAGCTGCTGAAGCAATTTTTAACAGAGAAATAAATTTATCTAAAGATTACCTGTCACTTTCCTTTTTCTGATTCAGAGCTACACTGAATAGGAATCTCCCTATCTACTTATTCTTTTCTCCTTCCCTTAAAATCCAGGGAAGCTACTTTAAGGTGATTACTGGTCACAAAAAAGTAAGTATCTCCACTACACTCTAATAACATGACAGAAAAAATCTCAAATATTGCTCCTATGCTTGTAAAAAGAAAAGAGAAAGTCTATTTCCAATTAGATATTTTTTCTTTCCAAAGGTGATCACCACTACTCCTTTAAAAGTCTTACATTCTAGACGTTTATCTTAATCTCATTTCAAAAATCCACTGTATTTTAACATTCAAAAACGCATTTTAAAAAAATGACTTTTCATTATTTTAGTTTACATAAATAAATTAGACATGAAGATATCACTCTGTTCATACATTAGTTTCATACTATAACCCAAAGTTAAAAATAATTAATCTATTTACCTGATCTACATCACAGGCAAGTCGAAGTAGCACAGGAAATGTTTTCTTATATAGCTGATGCATGGGTGGGGAACCCAGCTTTCTTCAGGTATTTGAGATGCTTTTCCCAACATAAACATAACCATGCTATGTAACAGTTCACAGGCTGCAATCTAATATAAGAAAAACAGTTATCAAAATTGTGTATATCAGTATTAGGTCAAATGAAAAATGTTTATAGCATTTTGTAAAAATAGGGCTTAAAATAAAACCCAAAGAAAATAAAGTAAAACCAAAATTTAAAAATGCAACAGATGAGTACTATTTGACTCAAATACAAATTAATTTGAGGAGACACTTGTGAAAACATAGAGCTTCTCCCTTTGTTCACTTCATAGATATGTTTCTGCCCAAACAGTAAAATATCTAAATTTAAAAGCTTTAAAAAGGACAAAGACATTAATTTTATTTTTAGTATATTACACTTATGGTTAATAAATGCTAACATATTCCTTGTTCATAAGAAACAACATTAATCTAGAATATATATCTGTTCATTTTTGGTTACTAGGGAAGCTGAATCATAAAAGACATATAACATAGCCAGGACAATAAATAATGTTTTAAATTTGAGGTTATCTGCCTTTTCAGTTGTCTTGCATAAAAAACTGTCTCTATATTAATAATTTGCATATGTCCTTTGCATACTATATTTCTATCATAAAGGGTTTTTGATAGTCACATATCAAAGGATCTGTAATCTCAATGACATGAAAATTCCCTTCAATTACAAAAGTTACAACTCACTTATAACTGCCCAACTTATGTAAATTTTATCCATGTCCTCCCATAAACTGCAAGAGATGAGAGAGCCAATCTGGTGGGAAGACCCCCCACCCACTATAAATACAACCAGAAAACAAAATTTCTCTTAATTATTTGCCAGCCACTTTTCTTACATGTTTTCCCTTTCAACTGTTTTTACAATTTGATTTTTATTATCATTTTGGAGAGGTAGAATAATGTGTTTTCAGACAGATGCACAGATAAAAATAAAACAATTATTATAATGGAGTGGCTGAAACAGATTCCCCTTCCTAAATGCTTGCTTGTGACTCTTAAGAAAAAGTCTTTTAAAAATTACAGTCATTAAAATCTCACTTAAAATGATATCACTGAAACAAAAAAAATGAAAATACTTTAGTTTTTCTGTCACTAGACGAAAGAGCCAGTTCTGTGACCCGAGGCAAAAATACATCCAAATATATTACAGGCTTCATTTCTGCAAATGGTACTGCAAAGCTCAGTTTCTTCTCTGAATCCCATGCCAAACACTTCTTCATAATTTCATCTGAGGAAGCAGCTATTAAAAAATTTAAGAAAAATAATTTATATTCATAATCTTTCTAACACTGAAAAAGGATTATACACTTAAGAAGTTAAAAAGGAGAACATCAGAAGGAACTTGAATGAGTACAAAAAGGGCAGTATAACATTATTTTGTAGGATAAAAGTCTAAAATTTAACTTTACACTGGGATCTGAATACTGTTTTTGATATTATTACTATTTCAATGGTAAGCACTTTTAGGTGGTAAATTTATCTCAACAAGATGTGTTAAAATTCAATATTGCTGGCAGCTTACTACACTTTCAGAATAAGAGCTAGAATATTTGGGAAAAACTTTTTCTAAACTTTCAAAATATTTATCAAATATCACATATAACTATGAAGTTCAAATTTTTAAAAGAGATGCTTATTATATGAACATAGTACTTCCTACCAAAAACGACAAACAATAATTTCCTCAAATGTCAAGGAGAGGTTTTAAAAAGCTGATTGAAATTCTTAAGTTAACCAGAATCAGTAAAGAAACCAGAGTGAACTGTTTTCATTTGATTCTGTGTAAAAAACCAAAAACTAGGAAGGACATATGACAGAATCAGCCTAAAAATCACTGATACAATTTGTTACATAATATCTTTCATGCAAGCAATCAAAGCATTTGACAAACTAATAGCCATAATTTTAAGAGTATGTACATGTATGTAGCATAAATAAATTTAGAAGAATTCTTTGAAATTAAATATACCTGGAAGCAACTTAACAGGTTTACCTGTAACAAGATTCCTATTTATTTGTCCTCCCAGAGATCCAAGCACTCGAATCACTCGAGCTCTCACAGCTTCCAAGGACATCTCTTCATCCTTTCATGTTTGCACAAAGATTAGTAGAGGTAATTTTGTAACCATTTAAAAATCTATTAGGGACTTGGCTTTTAAAAGAGAAATAAAATAATTTTTCTAACAGTGATAATACTTTGAGCTCCTTTTACGAGCCATATATAATTGATATGTAATATCTTAGCATAGGAGACACAACACTATTTAAGATGCACCAAAAAATCAGCTTCCAGATGTCCGAGACCAATGTATCCTTCAATATGAAAGCTTCATCTTCAATTTTTGGCATCAGAGGTGGTGTATCACCACAGAAATATATTAATAGCTGCTAAATTCAAAACAAGGTCAAAGTATTTCATTCTGTAGAATGTAAACTCCTTGAGGGCAGTTTTTTCCCCCTTTGTATCCCTGTTCTTAGCACAGTGTCTGGCACATTATAAATGTTTGTAAAACGAATGAAAATGAAAAAGTTTACAGGATGGGTATTAGTCATATAAGAAGTCTGCAAATCTCTTAGTTAAGGGCTGCCATCTTCTAGTACTAGCTTCATGTTCTTTAGCATTATAGGCTCTGGATTTTGCAGGATTTAAAATTTTAAATGGATAACACCTTTTACATCAATTCTTTCTATAACATTTTCAACTACCTATCTATAAGATAGTCTCTTAGGTGCAAAACATTTTTAAAACAACGACCATCAGGATAGTTAGCCAAGGAATCTTTATATATGAGTGAGTTTTGGGACCATAATTTCAAATACATAAAAGATGAAAACTAGCTAATTAAAACAGAAAGTCACATTACATTCTCAATCACAATCCATTACATTATGGAAGTAAGGAGAGCAAATGCACTGAAAAAATAACCAAAATAGTAGTTATTGTACAGTATAATCTTATTACTATAACTTCACTAAAATAATTACTATATTGAATTATTCAATCTACTTAGTATATAAGTAAAGATTTAAAATTTATATTTTAGTTATTTTTTTCAATCTGAGATTACCACCAACTCTTACGTTCCAGTCACTGAAGCGTGAAGTAGAAAAAAATAGTTTACTTACTGATAAGATGGTCTTTGATTTTTTTAGATGCTTTACTACAACCTTATTAAACCCTTTCTGGGCTGCACGAGAAAGCACTGTGATTTCCCCATTATCTCTGTTATCATCTAATCAAGAAAAGAAAAATTCATTATGAATAAACACTTAATATACTTACTACCCTTTTTTAAAAGCCTGCAAATTCCAAGCTTAATTTGCAATTTTAAAAGTAATTTCCTTATTTAAATTTCAAATGAGTACAAATCTTTTTCATCAAATTAGTAAACCAAAATATTCAAAAAAAAGAGATGGCCAAACATTTATTACATTTTCTACCAGAAACATTTATTTTTAAAAAAAGAACTTTTTTGCACACTGTATACTTATTGCTCTTTCTACAATGTAAATTCTAAAATGTTCACCAATTTTGAAAAATTTAATGTGGTTTCTTAATCATTATTATGCTAACAAGCATAATTTGAACTTTCTCTCCAAATCTGAACTTTCATATATTACAATGAAACACAACTAATAACTTAAATCTTTCTTGATACACTGTGAAGGGATATTGAAGGCATGACAACAACTGATCACAAGAAATTTATAAATCTTTCTTTTAGTGAGTCTCACAAATAATATTCATCCATGGCAATATGCGTTTAATATGAGCAATGTTTCAAAAATAAAGTCACTATCTTCTCTTTATTTGGTGGTCTCAATTCCCACATAATATATTGTGATAATCCCTTTTCTATTTGTTAATGAATCTGACTCTTTCAACTATTTTCTCCTATCAAATATAATGCTTTTCTCTCTTTATTTCAAATAGGCATTGCCATCCATTTCCTTTCTAAATATTTATTTTCACTTGGAAAAATCCCACTAAGCCTACTTCCCTCTCCTACAAATGACTTTTTTTCCTTTAAATCTCTTCTCAAACCTTTTTTCTTCCATAACACCTATTTTCAGTCTCACATTATTAAGGTTCAAATAAAATAAACCGACTAGGTCACCTATACAAAATGTAACAAACAATAACAAAAAATAACAGCAATCAAAACTAACTAGGTAGAAGTTCAACAAAATTATTACTGATAGCTTTCATAGGTCAACTTCTTTCATTCATTCCTTCAACTAAACAACTGTTTGAATGATGCCAGTATAGTGCAAATAGTATCAGCTCCTATCTATACAACAGTTCATATTATACAGAATGCTTTAATGACATAAGAATCATGGAACCTAAGGTCTAGTTCATTCTGGCTCTAGTTGCATGTGGGCCCCAGTTTCCTCATCTGTACAATGAGACAGGTAGAGCAAATGGTCTTAGGTCTCTTCAAATTACAGTAGCACAAAAAAATTCATGAAGTCTCTAATTCTATTATGTACTAGGCACAATGGTAGATGATGGTTCACCATGGTTCAATAGTTCTGACTGCTGAAATTACAATTTGTTATATCTTAAATTAAGACATGAGTGAATGAATGGCTTTTCCTCAGATTTTTCTCAAATTATATTATATTATAAATAATAGAATTTAATAGATGAAAAAGAACTTAGAAAAAACATGGTCTAACCCCTTCATTTTCAATATAAGGAAGTACCAAAAAGAGGAAATTATTTGCCCCATGTCAAATGGCTAGGTAAGAGACACATATTCAAGATATTTAGGGAATTAATATAAAGAACAAATGCCATTCCCCAATATGAAAGGGTCAAAAGATATGAATAGTCAGTTCTTAAAAGAAGAAATATAAACTACCAACAATAATGTTTCATTATGACTAGTAAGAAAAATGTCCATTAAAATAATTTTGAAGCTTCATCTCACAATAAATAATCAATGACAAAAGATGATAATAAACTTTAGGGAGAAGCAGTAGGAAAACAGGAATGTTAAGACATTGTTGGAAGAACCGTGAATTTTTTCAACTGCTCTAGAAAAAATTTTGAATTATATTCAAAAAGTCACTGAACTATGTATAACCTTTTGACCCAGTGATAAAGCTACTAGTTGCACATATCCTAAAGAGGTGAAAGAAGAAAAAAAGGCTTCAGGTATATGAAAACTTTTAAAAACACTTCTATGGCAGCAAAGAGCCAAAAACCAAGTGGATATCCATTAATTGGGTGTATAGCTAAATAAATTCTGGAGAACAAAGGTAATGAAATGCTATTGCACTGTAAGAAATGGCAAACATACAGAATTCAAGAAAATTTACGTTACTTGTAGAAACTGATAAAAAAATAGAGCAGTGCCAACAGACCACTTGATTCAGTGACCACAAATCTGCACAATACAGTGAAAAGCAGCATATTTAGAGTAGAAGCTCATGTACAAATCCTGGCTCTACTTACTCTGTGTGGCCTTTGTCAAATCAACTTAACCTCTCTGTAACTTAATGTTCTCACCTATAAAATAAGGGTGGTTGGAGCATATCATCTTTATCTTCCCAATATCCATAGATCCCAATCTATGATACCTGCTGTAAAGGAATATAATACTGAACAATATCAGAAATATGATCAAAATTGTGAATAATTTTGGCCTCAGTGGTGAAACATGCCTTCCATGCCACAAGAAGGGCAGTACAATGTAGGTTCTGGCCAATACACAGTAGACTACTGATAAAATGAGAAAATATCATCAATATGCTATTTCTTTTGCTATACCTATACTTCTTTGTTACAAGGGAGAGTTCTATTTTGGTAGGGGGGGCAGAATCAAGTCATTGGGAAGAGTCAGTGATATTTTAAAAATCATCAATGGAACATTTATTTTAAAAAACAAAAAGCTATCATTCTTGAAGTTCCTCCCACTAGTTCTAATTGTTCTTACACCATGACTAATGGGAAAATATGCTTAATATGAATGTATAAGTAGAGTCTATATGAGGTTGCACACCATTTTGGAGGGGGGGAAGTAGAGAGAGGGGTAGAAAATTTAAAACTCAAAACCTTATGGAAGTGAATGTTGAAAACTAAAAATTAATTATTCAAAACAAAAAAACTAGTTCATGATAGAGTCTAGCCTAGAACTTAAGTCTGCTGACTCCTAAGATACTAATTTTTCTACTATATTATGTTGCTTTGGGAAGAAGAAGCATTACATCTATCATTTTTCAGTACAGTGAAAAAAGAACATAATTTATACTCAAATTATCTGTTAGAAGAATGTTAAAAATTACTTTGTCACTAATAAATTTTCTTTTCTAATTTAAGTTTTACAAGTCATCAATTTTCCTTGACTTACCTGATAATGCTGAGGTTTTCAAGTAACTGTCAAGACAAGGTAAAATGTCTTTGTAATGTGGCTGGATTGTATGTTTTGGTACGTACAATGACCACTCTTCTAGGGCATTCAGGCCTACTTCTGCCAGTGGGGTATAACTCAGGCCCAATTTAAAAGCCATCTGCATATTAATATATACAACAAAGTAAATGTCACAGGGAACCAGTAAGAACTAAGGAAAAAAATTTAAAAATAAGAGCTAAAGAAACAGATCGGCTTTGATTTGAGAGGTAACCTACCAACCAGATCTTTTATCATGAAAATCTTATTAAGTTCTATATAGCAAAGAGAACATGCAAATGGTTAGAGTATAGCATAATGTTTAATATGGTTCTCTAAAGATTAGTAATCATTAAGGAAAATGTAATTTGACTTATAATATAGAGACCAACCTGTAATGCAGGAACATAAGCTTTAATATCCAGTTCAATGATGTCATGTGGCAAGCACAGTACAAAGTTCAAACAGGAGGCTAACAGTTCATCTTTATATTGCTTCATTTTTACTGATACCTTCAATAAAATGACAGTAATTATTCAAGTAATAATGTTTAAATAAACATAGGCTGTCATCTGAGGACATATTTAAAAGTAAATGGTTTTCCCATTTATGGCAGATTAGGAATTAGATTCTAGATCCTCTGCATAAGATATTAAACTATAAATTTAATACTGAATTATCATCACAACCCAAGTTACTTATAAGAAAAGCTGAAAGACAGCACCATAGCTAAAGGTAATCTGACAATTATAAGGGACAACTAACATCTTTAATATTTAGAGGATTTATAGTATATATGTTTTCACTACAGCCAATGATTTTTAGTATATTCTCACTTGGATTCAATAAGTGAATTTTAAAATAATCTACAGAACCCTGTCTTTGACTGTTATGGTTTTTTCTACATATTGTTAATTTTAAAATAATTCCTCACAAGATAGGAAAATAGCTCTTGAAAAATCTGTTAAGTTCAACAGTACTCCCTCCACCAAGGCAGCTCACAATAACTCAATGAATTTATGGCCACTGTAAGTTACTGTGGATGAAAAATTCATCACCATTGAGGCAATTTTGTTATAAACCTCTCCGAATCTAATTGAGTCTTCAGATGATAGATATCTATCACCAATCATATATCCGAAGCCTCTCCAACCTGCTAGAACCTTTGAGAAATCAGGGTCACTCTTTGTAACAATTAGACAGTTTAATATTTGTGTAAAACTTTTTAAAAAGTTACCTCTTTCCCAAACTTTGCAAATAACGCAAAACAAGAATACTTTTCAGGATCTTCAGGAGATTTTTTGTGACTCTTTGGGCTTAGTCCCTGTCAAAGTATAAAATCATGTCATACATAAATGAAATGATAACCTAGTAGTTATCAACTTGCAAGAAAATTATTGCATGGGACCCAATTCATTAAATGACTTAGTATAATAAATGATAAAATACAACTTCTGTTGGCTGAATAAGTATCTTGCACACGCATCTATTATCACTTTTGCATATACACTCCATTGTGATTAATAAAATATAAATTCATTTAAAAGTACTATTTAATTCATAGTAGCTTTCTACTGACTATTTTCTCGAACAACAAATATATAAGTTAACACAACTACTATCAGGAAGACGTCTGTGAACTTTTTAACATTTATGAAGGGATCGTCATACTCTGAAACACAGTACTATAACCCTGAAGTCAGCAACTTTTTTTAGAGAGGAATATGATTTTAATTTTCCCAAAGTGTAATCTAGATGAAGTATGCTATCCACCTCTTAATAAGAGAGGCAATACCTTGTGCAATGACTAACTTTGAGAGACTTAGCTCTTCTCAGCAATGCAAGGATCTAAGACATCTCCAAAAGAGGATCTAAGACATCTCCAAAAGTCTCATGCTAGAAAATGCTATCCACATCCAGAGAAAGAACTATGGAGTTTGAATGCAGATTGAAGCATACTATTTGCTTTTTTTTTTCTTCTGTTGAGTTTTGTTTCTTCCTTCTTGTGGTTTCTCCTACTGGTTTTAATTTTTCTTTGCAATATGACCAATGTGAAAATGTTTAATAGGAATTTTTATGTAGGGCCTATATCAGATTGCATGCTGTCTTGGGGAAGTAGGCAGGGAGGGAGAGGGAGAAAATTTAAAACTCAAAAGCTTATGGAAGTGAATGTTGAAAACTAAAAATATATTAATAAAAAAAACGAGAGAGGTGATAAACTCAGGGTAAAAAATGAGACTTTTTTGGACATGACTAATGAGGGAATTGTTTGGTTGACTATGCATTTTTGTCACAAAGGTTTTGTTTTTCTTTTCCCCACCCTCTCATCTGCTCTCCTGCTCCCCATTCCAATTGGGGAGTAGGGAAATAGGAGAGGAAAGAAAATAGATTTTTGTTCATTCAAAAAACGTTTAACTTAATTTTTTTTTAAGTTCAAGTTTTTTAAGGCTGGATAAAGAGCTCATAAGATCATATTTTTAGAGCTGAAGCAACCTTAAGGTTCCATGGTTCCAACATCGTTTCTTAGGACGAGGAAATTGAGGTCCAGAGATGTTAAGAAATTTGCCCAAGGTCTTGACCATACCACCACACTTACATACTGATCCTTCAAGTCACTGATCAATCTCTAGGAAGATGTAAGGTAGTAGAGCTGATTGTGAAAGGTGGAAAGATTAATAAGCATTTATTAAATACTTACTATGTGCCACTGTAGAGATTTTATTTCATGTAATCCTCAAAAACAGCCATGCAAAGGTAGGTGCTATTATCATTATTATTATTATTATTATTCCCTTTTTCCACAAGGAAACTGAGACAGAGGTTAAATGACTTGCCCAGGGTCATACAGCCAGTAAGTGTCTGAAAATGTATTTGAACTCAGGTCTTCCCAACTCCAGGCCCAGTGCTCTGCCAATCACCGTTTATTTCTTAAGTACCTACTATGTGCCAGGCACTGTCCTACATGCTGAGAAAACAAAAGTGAAACAGCCCCCGCACTCCAGGAGCTTACATCCTATTAAGAGAGGCAACATGTACATATACAAGTATATTCAGAATACATACAAAATTATTTTGGAAGGAAAGGCATTAGCACGAGAGGTCGTTAGGAGAAGCATCAGGTAAAAAGGTCACACTTACTGCAAAGCTTCTAGGAGGCTGAGGTGAGAAGACAGTGCATTCTGGACAAAGGCACAGATATGTGAAATGCAGTGTTGTGTATGAGGAACAAAGAAAAAGCCAGTGTGGCTCTGCCACAGAGTAGAAAAGGGAATAATATATAATCAGCCTGGAGTGGCATCCTAGAGGCAATAGAGAGCCACTGGAATTTACTAAACAAGGGGGTGACAAGGGGCAGCTAGGCAGCGCAGTGGATAGAGCACTGGCCCTGGAGTCAGGATGACCCGAGTTCAAATCCAGCCTCAGACACATAACACTTACTAGCTGTGTGCCCCTGGGCAAGACACTTAGCCCCATTGCCTAGCCCCCCCAACAAAGGGGGGGAGAATGACATGGTCAGACCTACATTTAAGGAAAATCACATTGGTAACTATGCAGAGAATAGACTGGTAAGGTAAAGACACTTAAGACAGGAAAATCACTTAGAAGACTACTGCAACAGTCCAAGTAAAAGGTGATGAGAATCTGAACAAAAAGGTGGTAGTGAGGTGAGAGGAGGCCAAACACAAGAGTTGTTACAGAAGTAAGAAATGACAAGGATGGCAACCAATTGTATATGTGGGGTGAAGGATAATGAGAATAATTAACCTAGCTGACTAGAAGAATGGTGATACCTCTAACAGAAAAAATTCAATTCCATAAACATTTATTAAGCACCTACTATATGCCAGCACTATGCTAAGCACTGAGATACAAAAAGAACCAAAAGCCAGCCTCTGTCCTCAAGGATCTACGGAGCGAGGGGGAGGGGGGGGAGCGCATAGAAGGAGTTTGGAAGAAAAGTAGGTTTGGGCAGTAGGAAAAGAGGAAAATAATGAGCTCTATTTTGAATATGTTAAGTAGGAGGGCAAGATGTCTATGGAAATTTGAAAAGTCCAAAAGGCAGAGGTAATGGATTCAAGATGCATAATGAGATACACATTACTGCATACAGACAATCTGGGATTTTTTTTTTTGCCTGACCATGTGTATTTGTTACAAGAGTCTTTTCTTTTCGCTTTTAAATTGGGAGGTGTGTAGGAGAGAAAACAAATGCCTATTAACTGAAAAACAAAATAAAATGTAGGAAGAAAAGGGGGCAGCTAAGTGGCACAGTGGCTAGAGCACTGGCCCTGGAGTAGGAGGACCTGAGTTCAAATCTCAGCCTCAGACACTTGACACTAGCTGTGTGATCCTGGGCAAGTCACTGAACCCTATTGCCTAGCCAAAATTAAAAAAAAAAAAAGACTCAACTAAAATGACTAAAATGTAGGAAGGAAAAAAAAAGAACCGTAAAGCTTCCTGTGGGCATGCACATTTTTCCTACTGCCTCTTTGTATTCCCAATACTTAGCACAGTGCTTGGAATATAAGAGACTAGAATATAATGGGTACCTGACTGATTAAACAACAAAAGAAAGAAAAATCTAATCAACAATTGGAGATATAGTAAAGGGAACTCAGCAGAGATAGTTGTCTAGTTGTCTAGGTGGTGCAGTGGATAGAGTTCCAGCCTTGGACTCAGGAGGACCTGAGTTCAAATGTGGCCTCAAGCACTTGACACTTACTAGTTGTGTGACCCTGGGAAAAGTCATTTAATTCTGATTGCCTCATGCAAAAAAAAATAAAGAAATAAAGAACTGGCTAGATATACAGATGCAAAGATGATAATTAAATCCATGGGAGCTGATAAGATCTTCAAGGGAGAGAGAAAAGAGGTCCCAGAAGAGAGCCCGGGATTCAGCCACAATTATGGGGCATGATACAAATAACATAGCAAAAGAGATGAAGGGAATTCAGAGAAGGAGGAGGAGTCCCAGGAGAAAAGAATGTCAAGAAAACCCAGAGGTGAGAGAACATTCAGCAGGAAAGGATGTAGGATTAGCTACCAGATGGGAAATTCTAATATAATCTTATATAACAGATCTATCACCTGTCTAGAGAAAAAAATCTACACCATAACACGCTGATAATTAATCACTGAGGAACATGACCCTGAAACCAAAATAAATCACTACATGCTGGTTATTATGCACAAATCATTAAGAGAGGATTGCTAAACTAAAAAAACAAAATGTGTGATAATTATATATTTTTTAAAACTGGACAAACACAAATTGGCTTATCAATGGAATAAACTCAGTAGAGATGCTTTAGAAAAACTGAAACCTAAGCACAAGCCCTCATTTTTGGTTTTTCATTGATGTGAACTTTTATTAAATTGAGTGCCAATGGATATGAATAGAACATATATAAAAATTTATGTTATTTGTAAAACAATAAAGTTTCCTATAATGTCTTACCTCAAAGTATCTTAATTTTTTGGCATTTCTTACTGCAACAGCAAGTAATTTGTAGAATCCACTAATGAGAGGTAACCGTGTAGACTGCAAAATCAACTCATACCCAAATGAGTATATCCACGGTTCAAAAAACTGAATGTGCTTCTCAGGAAGGATTTCTCTGCAAAAAAAATAAAGACATATATTTTAAAATGTATATGGGAATTTATTTCGCAAGTATTTTTTATCCAAATTTTGAAATTATAAGGGATATAAATTGAACAAATCTACTTATTTCATTATATAACAACTGATACTTCTAAGGGGAAGATGTTTGAGGAAATTATGTCACCCTTTCCTAAAAAGAAAAATGGCTTTCTGATACCAAAAGACTGTCCATTCAAATCTTCAAACTTTAGGCTGCTTTAAGTATATTAAACTGCTCATCATGATAATTTCCTGTATATCTTAATGACCAACCTTTTAAAATTGTTTTAAACATTCAGTACTCTTTTAGTTACAAAGCCCTGGATGTTTTTATAATTGTTACACTACATCATGGCCACTAATTATAGTAAGTTTCACACTTAAATAACTAGAGTTTAAAAAAAATACCTGCAAAACTCCACCAGATTAATGAAGGCAGTAAAATCTTTAGGTTTAGCAGGATGCAAGTTTGCAGCTGGATCTGAGGTTGGAATTACCCATACACCACTAGCTTCATTCTCATCCTGAAAAAATAATTATACCATTCATCCAACAAATATTTACTAACTGCTTACTATGTAGAAGGCCCCAAGAAAAACTGTTTGGGGGTGTGAGGGCATGACTAGACCTTTTCTGTCTAATGAGCTGTCTTTACCTTAGGTTAGCCTCCTCCTCCATTCCGCCCTGTCCCTTCTCTGGAAACGTGATATCTAAAAGCTTCTAGTTTTCTAGCTGAATGAAAACTCAAGGGTACTTCCATGTCATGAGTTATCAAAGCAGGGCTTCAGTAGGAAAATGTATCACTAGAGAACTTTTTGAAAGAGAAAAATAACATATCATCGAAAAGCTAAGAGTCAACCTTGTAACCACTACCATTTACTGATGAGGCAACAAAGGTCTATCAGCACTAACTGATTTGCCTATGGTCATATAAGTAGTAAATAGCAAGGGTAAGACACAATCTAAATATTCTGAGTCTCAGTACTCTTCTTCCTATTATGCCACAGCAGAAGAAAAACAATCTCTATACTGTGTCCTATCCTAGCAGATATAATCATTCCAATGTAACTAAACTTTAAAATACAAGTAAACAAGGCAAATCATCAAAATCATTTACTGTAAAGTACAATTACTCTTGAACTTAAAAACCTTTTCTGAGACTCAAGGACCATATCTGAGGTTCAAAGGAGTTGCCACTAAATAAAAATGTCATGTACCACAGATTAAGAGTCTATGTTTCTCTGGGTAAAAAGAATACATATTTATCAGAGGTATAATACAAGAAGTTAAGCCATTAATAACAAGAACCCTCCACCTGTGATAGAAGATAATATAATATGAAGCATTAAAAAATAAGCTCCATACTTTTAATGTATTTCTTTGTCTTAAACATACTTCTAATTATTATTACTCTGAATCAAATTAACCTTAATGCAGGTGTGTTAACTTTTTTTAAACTTCACCTCACCATGTCATGGTTAAATTTTTCCTTTGAATCTCCCAACTCCCAAGGCACTAATTTAAAATAGTATCTTTTCTTCTTTCTCCTCTTCAAAGTTGCCTGAGAAGAAAAGACCAAACCACTGGCACACTGCATTACCGACCTTGTAGGGTTGTTTAGAGAAAGTGCTTGGTAAGTCTTAAAGTGTTATGTGAATTCAAGCTGTTATTTATTATGTTAATTTTGTATTCTATGTTGCATTTTTCTACGCAAAACTTTCATCACATCTTAAGATCTGGATATTCAAAGAGCTTAAAATAACAACATTTATACAGCATTTTAAGGCGTGTGCAGGCTTTGTATATGTTACCTCACTTGATAAATCCATTTTACTCTTAAGGAGAATTATTTAGCATCATTTCCTGTTACTGTTAGAACTATCAGACAAATCTGTTGTTATTGAAAACTTTTTCACATTTTTGAACACACAGAACAACTACTTTTAAGCATTTAAATAATGGTTTTTTGCCACATTCAGCTGTGCTAAATCTAAGACTTCGTTCATACCAGGTATCTCCTAAGCTACTATAACTTACCAGCCACTGTGGTGTTTTCAAAGAGTTCATAATCTAAATATGTGGATTTTCCTCATTTATCAAATGAGATAACACATGCAAAACACTGCACACACTTTAAAGTGCTATGTAAATGCTGTTAATCTCTCTGAATATTCAGATATTATGATGTGATAAAAGTTTTCCACAGAAAAATGCAACATATAATACAAAATTAACATATAATAAATAATAGCCTGAATTCATATAGCACTTTAAGGTTTATCAAGCACTTTCCTTTACATAAACCCTACAACATAGGTGGTGCAAATATTACTGTCTCCATTTTATTTATGAGGAAACAAAGAGAGGTATCATTAGCAGCATGAAGGAATACGACAAGTTACAGAGGTAAGAGCATGGAATAGTTCTTACCTCCTGATCTCCGACATTCTGCTTTTCTAGTTTAAGATCTAATTTCTCAACAATCTTCAAAACTGACTTTATAAGTTCATCATACAGCAAACGATTCAGAGACTGAAGTGGTGAACTAACCAACAGAAATGTTTCATCTGCTAGAAGAGAGTCCTTTAGAATAAATAAAAATAAAAGGTCTGAACCTCAAAATGTATGGTATAAATACCATAGAAGTTTTCCAAAAATAAATAAAATGCATTTCCCTTATATAAATACTCAAACACTTTAATTGTAGAAATGGAAATAAGGTAAGTTAAACTATAACTTTTTAAAAATAGGATTAATTTTTTTTTGTTCTTTTTGAAATTTGTTATTTTAAATTTAGAATTATTCTAAATCATGTTATTCTAAAGCATCAATAAAAACAAGCACCCAAATTTTATAAAAATCAAACATAAATACAAACTCCAAATTATTTAAAATATGTTTAATTTAAATTTTTGTTATTTCTATTTAATTTAATAAAATAGTATCCTTACTTGATATGTCCCCTTTGGATCTAATTTTCTTATTTTTAATCCCTTCGAATTTTGTCAATATTCTATTACTTTCCACTAGTGAAATTTTCTAGCTAGGTAGCCTGGATATTGTCTTACATTAGTAGGAAATCATAACTACAATCATTTCTTCATTTTCCCTACTAGGCTATCACAACATAAAATACCAGAGTTTACTTCTTACAACAACTATGATATATTTGGAAGTCTTCAATGAGACAACACCTAGACCTCAGAATGTAAAGGAAATATTAATAGTGAAAATCTAGAATAGATAAAGGAATCAAGATAAATCTGGGGAGGCAGCAGAATGTGCATTAAGAAAGAAAAAGATAAAGCACTTACTATTTTAATACAGTACCCAGGTTGGCCAAAATACTTCATTAATCTTACTAATATTTATCTACAAGTTCAAAATTATTAAACAAATAAAGAATGCTGGACTCTTTATGATTTCAGTGCGATTTTTACCTTCATTTGATCACAGCTCAGTAGATTTCTGAAAAGCTCTAAATAATCCTTGTATGTAGGTACTCTCCATTTCCCTGTTCTAACCTCCCCTGATGTAGGATACTCTTCAGACTCAGAAACCTCTTTACCAAGGGCCTCCTAAAGAGAAAATTACATATTAGTGCCATTTGCTACAGTCATATAAATAAATAACATTACCAGCAACTATAAACATGTAATTGAACACAATCTCTTAGACAAAGACTTTCATAATACCATTGTGTACAATACAGAGATATGAAATAGATGACAGCTCTATTGGGAAGATAGGAAGAAGCTAAAGAAATCAATGCCACCTTGGGAGGAGGTCTTAGTGAAATAACCCAAGTGTTTATCCTTTGCCCTATTCTGTTCAACTTATTTTATCAACTGTTCAGATGAAGGCATAGATATCCTGCTTATTAACTTTGCAGATGACAAGGAACTAATAGCTAATACAATGGATGAGAGAATAAAGTTCAAAAAGATTTTTAAAAGCTAGAATGATAGGCTTTAACAAAATGCTAAATTTAAGTTCAAAAAAATCAATCACAACTATAAGTGGTATGAATAGAAAGTAGTTACCTGAAACACACCCACACACAAAACACAAAATAAGGATTTTAGTGGACTACAATGCAAGCTCAAAGTAAATCAACAGCACAATAACAGCCAAAAAGCTAATGCAACATTAGGCTATATACAGAAATACAACTCTGAAAGATTTAAGAATTAATATGAATGTAATGACTAACCATAACTCCAAAGGATGATGAAATACCTCCTGAAATAGGAGTTTAATTTACGGGTTTAAGGATTTATGAAGCAAAATCAAATGCATTTTTTCAACAAATGTATGGATTTAATTCAACTGACTCTTCTTATTTGTTGATTGGTTTTTTTTTTATTTGGGAGGAATTCTATAGGAAGAAGGGAGCTAGAAATTGGGTTGCCAAAAAAAAGGAAAAGGTCCCTGAAGCATTAAACAGAAGGAAGTTCAGAAGGAGACAAAGATAAGCAAGATAGCTTTGAAAGTAATATGTTGCCTGATAAAAAGACCAGAGTGCAATAGAAAATTTGATTTTCAAATACAAGACTCAAGAGAGACATAAAAAGGTGAACGGGACAGAAAGAAAACAACATGTTATTAATAAAGGCAAACTGTTTACATCCCTACAAGTGAAGATGACACTTGTAACCCTTGAGAACTGTATTGTTATTACACCATGTTAAAGGGGTGTACATAAAAGAGGTGGGTATAAGTTGACTTTGATGTAATGATAAAAAAAAATCTAATCAAGTGGGTTAAATGGATTCAAGTAAGTGGATTAATCTGATCTAAGAAAATGTACTGAGAAAGGAGGAGGCAGACAAGGGTAAATTATATTACAGGAAAAGGCACAAAAACCTATTACAGCAGAGGGAAAGAAGGGAGGGAGATGAGCATTATTTGAACCTTACTCTTGACCAAAAGCTGATGAGAAGGGAATAACATAATCAGTTAGGTACTAATATTGATAGACTTAAGCCTTCTCAGCAATACAGGGATCTAAGACATCTCCAAAGGCCTCATGATGGAAAATGCTATCTATGGAGTTTGACTGCAGATCGAAGCGTACTATTTGCTATTTTTTTTCTTCTGTTTTGTTTCCTCTTTTTGGTGGTTCCTCCTATTGGTTCTAATTCTTACTTAGAGCATCACCAATATGAAAATATGTTTAATAAGAATATATATGTATAGCCTATATCAAATTGCGCGCCATCTTGGGGAGGGAGGTGGGGAGAAAGGGGGAGAAAAATTTTAAAACCCAAAAGCTTATGGAAGTGATTGTTGATAAATCAAAATAAATTAATTTTAAAAAAATAAAAATATTAAAAAAAGAAAGTAATATGTTGAATTTATTATCTACTTGAAGGAAGAGCAAGCTGTACAGAAGGAGATATTTGCAATTGCATATATGGTCCTCTTTTTCTGTTTTGCTTTATAAATGAAAATGTGTGTTAAGTTTGGAATAAAAGGATACAACTCTTAAAAATTTTAAACTATCATAGTTTTTTAGACTTTGATATTGAAACACTGAAATTTTTTCAGACTTCTCCATAAAATGTACTATAAAGAGTTTAGCACACTTTTTCAAAATGTACCCTCTTACTTCATTAACCTCATTTCTCATTCTGATATGCCTCTTGGATGAAATATTCTCACGCACTGGTCAAGCATTTCCTAAAGACCATGTTTTTTGGGGAGGTCAAAATGTCTTTATAGTAAACATGAAGTTATGCTTGGTACTTTCCAACACATCACAAGTCTGCCCATTCTTCAAAATGTCATCTAATTTTTTTAGCCTAAATGATAGTTAATAATTAATAGAAGGCATCATATATAGTGCTAACACCAGCTTTAGTATCAAATGCTAAAAATCTCACAAACATATTTAACTGTTAGTTACCAAAACTTAAGAGGTGAAAAGGAGAACAGACTAGATTACTTTCATGAAACTGCAAAGCACTTTTACTAATTCCAAGCTTCCCATAAGCAGAGGATCATCTTTTCAACAAAAGTATTTTATCAATGTGGCTGTATGGCAGTGGGATCTAGAACATCCCTGCCTTTGAAAAACTAAAAATGAATGAGCCTCAGAGACCACTGAAAAGGGATATGGTGAGTGTAAGCAGGCTGCAACCTATAACCAATAAGCAAGTCTGAAGAACAGGAATAAAGGATGTCATTATGGAACAGTATGATCCAAAGAGAAACAAGCTGGTCATGTGGTAAGAGAAAAGGGATGACATGTGGATGGCTGGAGTGCTTCACTGGTACCCTCACAAAACCAAGAGAAAGCAAGGAAGACCTCCAGTACGTTGAGTGAGCCTCCTGTGCAGCAAACTTCTGGGAGAACATAAATGAGCAGAAAAGAAAATGTGGCAATCTGTATCATTGAGGGAACCCCCAAAATGATGACATCAAAGATCCATTCACATACTTGAAAGTTTCCAGAAACAAGTCTTTAAAAATATATGATTCACAATTTACCTTTCGAAGGATGACTGGTTTGGAACATACTCTGATTAAGCCCTGATGCACTTAAAAAAAAAATTCAAACAAAAATTAGTGAATACTTCAGAACATATATAATTAAAGTCAACAAACAAGACCATTTTTGAGATAGATTTATTTTATGATTTCACCTGAATCATCATCAACGTTTCAAATCAGAGGTTATATGTTCTTTTTGTTAACAATATTGGTCTGTTACAAGATTAAGCTCTGAGGGCAGAAACTCTTAGTTTAACTTTTCATCTCCTTATATTCTAGCACAGCACTTCTCAAACTGTGGGTCGTGACCCAGTTTAAGAAGTGCTAAAGGGAAAAAAAAAAAAGAAGTGCTAAAGGAGTTATGAGTGGAAAAAGTTCAAAAAGCCTAACCTAGCACACTGCTGTGCACACAGTAGGTATTTAATAAATATTTGTTGGTTAACTTGCATTCTATGAAATAGTAATAGATCCTTAAGCAAGAAACAGACTCTACCTCACTATAATGACAGGAGTAGAATCTGCTCAACAAATAACTAATGACACAAAAAAGAAGCTCCTAAATCGGGCAACTGGTTTGTTTTTTCGTTATTTAAAAAATATATACACACAGAGATATATAATTTCTCATAATCATAAAGAAGTTTAATTGTTAAAAAAAGAAAAATTAATATCCTAAACTTACCCACAGTACTAATAAAATTCCAGAGGACTGGTCCTTTTTCTGCCAAGGCGAGAAAAACTTTTACTATAGCTCGGCAACAGATTGTTTGCATTTTAATACTGTACTGTGGAAAACTGTCTATCTGCACCACTATCAGACGCTCAAGAACTGGAGTATATACCTCAGGAACCTAGAAGAGACAGAAGAATCTCAGCTAATAGGAAACAAAAATAAGTTAAGTAAAACAATTAGCTAAAGTCAAATAATCTAGATTCTATGGTAATTCAAGATGGGATTAACCAGATATAATTTTTACTCTGCTAGGTTTTGTGTCATTGTAGTTATTAAAAGCAAAATGAATGCTTCTGACAGCTCTTATTCTACTGAATGAATCAATTTTCTAAAAGAACCTGAAAGTTTACAAAAATTGCTTAGTGGGCACACGATGGCTATCTTCAAATATCTAAATGGCTGTCATTTGGAAGGGGATTAGATTTGTTCTACTTCGACTGAGAAGGCACAACTGCACATCAGCAATGATAAATATTTTACTTACTGTATCAAGGTGAAGTAAGATGCTTGCAATAGATTGGAGAAAACTTGGGAGCTGATACATGTGGTCCTCTACAGTATCTGTCTCAGTGAGGAACATTTGTTTACAGCGCTGAATGAGCTCAATATACATGAAGTCAACATCCTTTGCATTTATAGCTTTACAAGGCTTTAATGACAGAAAAAAACAAAATGTTACTACTGATTAACCTCACTACATTCTTGATGCTACAATACTTAATATACAATATAGAATAGTGAAACACATTACCTAACCTGAAGATTGACAAATTTAGTAACATATAGAAAGTCCTCACATTTAAACTCAGTTAACTCTTATTGATGGTGTACTTCCAAGATGGCGTATAAGAATTATGCTAAAGGAAATTTGGGTATTTTAAAATAGTCTTCTTTCTAGCGACACAAATTTATTTCTATAACCTCTCTTGAATTTTAACTTTTTGGCACAAATGTCGTGACCACAAACTACTACTTTAAAAAAAAAAGTATTTGAGCAGCTATATTCCTACTTATACTTCTACCATTATGAAAGAATGTTAAGGTAAGGCATACTCCTGCAAATAGCCCATATCCTCGAATGGCAATGGATAACTCCTTGCTAGTTGAATCCACATTTCTGATGATTCCATAGAACTGTTCTGTGAAGTACCGAAGTATGCTCTTGTGAGCTTCTGCATCTTTGGCCACCATTAAAGAAACCTGAAATTAGATAATTAACCAGTTATATTTTTTCAACTGGAATAGTATATCAACTCCAAATAAAAGATGTATACTCCAAAATGTATACAACTGCATTCATATTTATTTTGTAAGTGCTGTGTCATTATATTTATTCATTCCTAAGTTATACAATCACAGAATTGTAAAAACTAAGGGTTGGAAATCACCTCAACACATTATCTAATCCATCCCTTAAAACTCCTTTACAATAATCCTCAACAAGTAGTAACAAAGCCTATACATGAAGACTTTCAAAGATAGGGAGAGCTGATTACTTCTAGAGAAACCTACAATGTTTTTGGATGGCTCTAATTGTTAGAAATAACCATCTTTAAGTATGCCAAAATAAAATCAGTGTCCCTACAACTGCTACTCACTAGCCTTGTTCTACGGCTAACTAGAAAAGACTAGTTTCTTACACGTGACAACTATTCAAAGATAATACTTATGTTATCCCCTAAAAGTCTTCTCTTCTCCAAGATAAGTATTCCCAAAGCATCAACTAATTCTCATATAGCAATCTCACTTCATCATTGAAGAGATCTGTGACTTTATTGGCATGGGTGCTCTTTTCACATACAGAAATTATAACCTCTCTATACCTTAACAGATGATCTTCATGAGTTGCTGTGATGGATGACAAAGTCTCTCTGAACTTAGTTAGGCTGGCCTTCAGGTGACAGGCATAATTCATCACTAGCCTTAAAACTGAAACATTTCCAGCCATATCCATATTGCTACACCCACAACCTGTGCTCCATCAGCATAGCTTTCAAATATGCAGGATAACCTCCATGCTGAGATAAGGCACCGAAGAAAGGTTTGAGTGGAGGAACTATGCTTTAAATCTTAGTAATTGGTGGGAATTATGGGAAGCAGATTTCAGCTCAATATCAAGAACAACCTTCTTCAGAGCTATCCAAAAAACAGAATAGATTGTCCAAAGAGGCAGTGAATTCCCTTATCACTAAGGGTCTTAAAACAGAGGCTTGGTAATCATTTGTTGGGAGTGTGCTGAGAAATGTACTCATCATTTCATTAGGGATTGCACTATGACCTTTCCCACTCTGTTCCTAGGATAGTCACATACATGAGACAGCTAAAATGAGGGGAAAAGGGAGGGAAGGGGAGAAAAATTTAAAACTCAAAAGCTTATGGAAGTGATTGTTGATAATTCAAAATAATTTAAAAAATAAAATAAAATGAGGTGAAAAAATGAGTTTTGACTGAGAGGAATAGTAGGGAGAGGGAGGGAAGGGGAGAAAGAAGCATGGCACTCTGGGCATTAGGACAGGCCTGGATGAGCAGCCAGAATAGGGCCTCATCAGTGCACTGTTATCCTGTGGAAAGATAACAAACAGGAGGTGGAGAGAAAAAAAACAAATTTCACATATTTCAAAATTTGGGACAGATTTGCATCCAGGAAAGGGGTGAAGAAACAATTTTTTTCTCCCCTTCCCTCCTAAATATATGATTTCCAATCCCCCTTCTCAGGACACAGACTAACACTACTAGTATCATATAGCTACATTGAGAAGTTAAGTAGGTTTTTGTATGCTAGCCTCATAACCCTCTAAGTCTCAAGCACCTGGCCTAGAAAGGTACTTTTCTAATACAATCTATTCCTAAGCTGGCATGCTACCTCTACTGTTTCAATTTTCTTCACTAACTAGCTTGGTCACCAACAATGCTCCCATTGACTACCATATCACTGACCCTTTCAGTTAAGACTTTCAATAAAAACTGCCTAATCAATGATCACAGCACTATCTGAAGTCACAGCTTCCCTCCACCCTTTCCTTACCAACTGTATATAGGCCCAATCCAGATATCTAGAGGCCTAAATCCTGTGACCATTTCCTACAAAGACTTAAGTGTGGAAAAATAAAAATAAAAGCTGCCCAACAGCCTCAGCCTCAAGACTAGGTTGACTCACATGCATTCTGAGGGCCAATTCCATTAATTTTCAAATGACTTGACCAAGGCTAGACTCATACGCTGAGTTCGTCTGTCCTTCCCAGAGAAGACTGATGATAACGGGGTCCTAGACCTTCACTTATGTCCTAGTTCTCACCTTCATCTCTAGGCTGCCATCACATTCTGATACCTGATTCACTTCTACTCACTCAAGTACTGGTCCAACATTCCCATAGCCCAGTATAAGACAGAAGATAATGAAGGGGAAAAGCTTGTTCCACTAAAGTCAAAGAGCAAATGAAGCAAGCAAACTTTACTATGTAAACGTGCATTAGAACTTCTGCCTTTCCATTCTTGAGGCTTCACAGACATGGGCAATGGGAGAACAGAAACTGCGCCTCTTCATAAACAGGCCTGGGGCATCCCACCTGACCTCCACAGCTCCAGGCTTCACAGCTCCCTTGATTTCATACCAGGCCCCAGGTTATGCTTATACTTCAGACCCTGTACCTCATTCCTCATGAGGGATTCCTCTTCCCATCTAATATGGTCCAGATCCAGACCTGCCTCCTGGTAAGAGAATCTGATGCCACCCAGATTGGGGCTTAACTACTCTTTGAAGCAACTTTAAAAAGAGATGTCGAAGTTTCAGTACCTGTTTAAGAAAGGAATCTAAGGCTGAATGTGCAGCTTTCTTCAGTTCTCCATGTGTATGGCCACACCACTTTGACATTATTTCAAATAAGGAAATATAGTTGTCCAAAAGGCAGGTGCTAAACTGAGATGCATGTAAAGTGAATAAGCGCAAACCACCTGCAATTGGAGAGGAAAATGCAAATGTTATTTAAAATTAGAGGAAAATGTAAACTACTACACAAGGTCACTAGCTGGCCCCAGTAAAAAAAACAGTTGTTTGTTGTTTTTTTTTTAAGGTCAGTGATTTATTCAGTGTAAGAGGTTCCTGGGGAGGACATGTACCTGTCAATACAGATTGGCACCTGCTCTGTACCTTATAGTCTTGGAGAATTACCTGGGCTTGGAAGATGTAGTGATTCATCCAGATACATATGCATCAGACGGGGGACTTCAATCCCCAGACATTCCCTTAATCCAAGACCATCTCTCTAGCCTCTACACTAAACTGGATCTCTTTAATTTTTAGGGTCACCTCAAACTTCTATAGGCTTAAAATATAACTAATGAAAATACTAAATGCTCTCAGAGATAAATTCTAAAAGTAAAAAGGACGTGCTTCTGTTCAGCTTATGCCACTATTCTCTTAAAAGAAAAATACACAAGTATCAAATATCAAAGTGTAAGTGATGAGAGGTACAGATGACACTGGGTTCTACCTAGTACAGAAGAAATACAGAAACACCTCAAGCCTACTGTGAATTTTTTGGCCCTGTTACTATACCACCTACTTTATGCCAGTAGTATAAACCAAAGGCTGCAAAAAGACTTAACTTGGTTAAAGAGGTCAATTTACAATTGAATGAAAACCAGAATCTTACCTAAAGGCACAGCATATCTCTTCAGATCAACCTATTTAAAGCAAAAGATTTGCCATGAAGGTACTTTTTCCAACCACAATTAATTTAAATAACACAAAGTTACCAAAGTAACCTTAAATATCCTCCTACCTGAGGGCTGATGGCCTTCAGTGCAAAATCAAAAATTTCCTTTGACATCTGAGGATCTAAAAGAACAAGAGAAAACCTATGTCCAAACCACAATGAATGTTTTGAAATAGTATTTAATTTCTCTTATCTTTTCATTTCAAAGAGTTTTATAACTAAATAAGCAGTATTATCACTACTCTAGTTATTGGGTTGTTTGGTTATTTTTTAAATAGTGAGTACACAACTGCAAAGAAATTTATCAGATTATAAGAGGAGTTGACTGAAGTGATGATAGCTCCATCTCCTTAGTGGAGAATATCAAGAATGTTTCTAGGGCAAGCTAAAGAATCTAGGCTCTCATCCCTACATTATTATATATTGCCACAGGGAGAGTCATACCTCAGATTTCATCAGCAGAGAGAAAGGTACTACTTAAACAGTCCTGAACTCTAAAATTGCCCTTTCTGATCAATACTTTGCAATTAGCTTCCAACCACACCCACTTGACTGAAGGTACCCAGTTAAAGATCTTATAATCGCTAAATTTAAAGACAGACTTTCAGTCCTCATCTTCTCTGACCTCTGCAGCTTCCGAACCTGCTTACCTTCCACTCTTTTCATGGACATGCTCTATCTATTCCATTAGCTTCTGTGATACTGGCCTCTCCTCCTGATGTTCTTCCTACTTGCCTGACAGCACCTTCTTAGTTTCTTATTCTGGACCACCATCCATCTCCCACATCCTACCTATGTGGCAGCTCCTCTCTCCTTCTTCCCACCTCAACCACTCCCCCCCATTCTGTCCTGGATCCTTCATTTCTCTCTCTACAGTCTCTCTGCAGTTACCATTTCTACACAAATAATTCTTTAATCTATATATCCCACCCTAACTAACCTCTGTCCTCAATGGCAGCCCCACATTTACAACTGTCTGTCCCTTCAGCACTTCAAACTTGACATGTCCAAAACAGATTTTATTATCTTTCTCCCACACACCTCTCCTTCAATATTCTCTGTTTCTACTGAGGGTACCACAGTCCTTCCAGTTACCCATTTTTTACACCATCAGTTATCCTTGATTCTTCTCTCTCTCCAACACTCTTTATATCTAATTATTTGCCAAGTTCCATTGATTATATCTCCACATCTCTTGCAAACACCCCTCTCCTTTGTACTTAGACTGGCACTATCCTACGCAGGTCCACATCCTCTTTTATGTGAACTATTTATAATAACCTTCTAATTGGTCTCCCAGGTTCCCACCTCTTTATTCTCCAATCCATCTACCACACAGCTGCCCAAATGGCCTTTCTAAGCTACTCTAAAATTTCCAAAGGCTCTCTACAAATGCTAAGATAAAATGCAAAAACCTTAACCTAGCACTTAAAGCCTTCTACAATCTGCTTCCAATTTATCTTGTAGATTTCTTTTCATATGACTCCCTTTCACTCACTCTAGGTTCAAACCAAACTGGACTGCCAGCCAGCTATTGGCCAATTCAGCATTCTACCTTCTGTCCCTCTCACTTCACAAAAGCTGTTTCCCCAAACAATACTGTTTTAAGAACGACTGTGAGTGAATAAGTTATTTTGTCTATTATAAATACCCAAATTAACTATAAAAGACATATGAAGAAAGACGCTATCTGGGTCAGGAGAAAGAACTGATAAATAGATGTATAGAATAACTTTACACATATATACGTATTTGTATCTAATGGCAGCCATCTCTAGGGTACAGGGCAAGGGGAGGAGGGGGAAGGAAAAAAAAAGAAATTTACAGGATGATTTTGTTGTATACTTGAAAAGAATAGCAAGCCGCGCACAGCAGATATGCAATTTCACGTACAATTATCTTTTTTATTGTACTATGTTATGAAAAGCTTGTTTTATTCCATAAATTCAGAATAAAATTTAAAAAATAAAATGCACTCCCTCCATTTCTACTTCTTAGAAATCTTAGCTACTTATATCAAGGCTCAGCTTAAGTATCACCTCCCTTTTCTCAACTCCTTCCTCCACCTTCCCCCCACCCACCTTCTCCCCTCCTCAAATTACCTTATATTTATGTACTTATCTGTGCACTTGTATTCCCACTCGATCCTCCAACCCCACCCCCCCCCGGCCAAGCTCCTAATGCTTTTGTGGGGCATGGACTATTTTCTCTTTTTTGTGTTTCTTCAACCCCTTGCACATAGTACTGACTAAACTGGTGTTCAATTGAATGACACACCTTCATCCATAGATTTAGTGAAGTTATACATAAGTGACGACAATCCCTTCAGGCATCCTGCTACCACAGGGAGTTTGGGCTCTCTGGTTGTGGAAGTCATCTGGAAGCAAGGTTTTAAAAGCTTATTATTATAATGCAACCATGTTTTTGAAAAACAGGGTTACTCAAATTTCATGGTTTGCTATGTCTTACCTGTGTTTTTAGCTCACCCAAGAAAGCACGGAAGAGTTTTTCCGAGTTGTTCACCATAACACTAGGATGTACTTCTTCCCCTAAGACTCCCAGGAGCTCATATATCTTCTCTAATACTGGAAAACAAAATTTCAAATGAAAGCACATTTAAATAAATTGGCAACAAAAAAATGTGTAAATGTGAAGAAATGAGTCAAAAAATAAATTCAGTTTTACCCTAACAATCAAACTACAATAAGACATACAAATACACTTAGCTTGACACAACAGATTTATTCCTGAAAAGATCTGTCCAAATTAATTTTGGGGGAAAAAAATAAAATTATATTTTAAAAGCCCTGAAAAGTTTGTTAAAGGAATCTTTAGTTAAAACATCCCCAAGAAAAATAATTAAAAAGTGAATAATTATTCCTTAACTTTCTTATAAAGTTCAATTTAACAGAAATTTTAAAAATAAAATATATACTCCCTTACAAGAAATGTATGTATGGAAATGTGTGTGTGTGTAGGTATAGATATCCATAAATATATATGTATACATCTTCATAATGGTTATTAGAGCTAATTAAAGTATCTTAAACTCAGTAGGGGGAAAAAAAAGCCTCTCACCTGTATCTGCTATTTTTGTTTTCAAAGCAAGTTCTCCATAGAATTTGCTAAAGAGTTCTCCAAGGTGGAATTCTTCCAAATGTCTAGAACTTCGTAAAGTTTTGAGCAACTGAGAACACATAAAATAGCACTTTTAAAGAAAAGAATGGGGAATAAAAAGTAGAGACCATAATTTAGTCGAGTGGTAAAGAGTGCTGTGGCTCTGAGGAGGAACTAGAGATACAAGATGACATCATGAAAAGAGCACTTATTTTGAAGTTATTTATGTCTGACTTGCTATTTACTAGGTGAGTGACACTAGGAAAGTTCCAGGAATCTTATTTAGAACTGGAAGAGACCTTAGAAGTCACCTAGTCCAATTTACTCTAAATTTTATAGAGAAGAAAACTGAGGACTACATTAATTGACTTGCCCAGTGACACTGGTAACTAGTAGCAAAGCTAGATTTCAAACCAAGATCCTCCAGTTCTAAATTCAGTGCTTGAATGGCACTACTCAAGTAACTTAATCTCCTTGAGCCTCAGTCTCCTTATCTGTAAAATGAAGATAAGAATATGGTACCCTAGAGGAGCCCTGAAACTATCTACCTACTCAAGTATATATTCAATGGCAATTCAATTAATTAAAAAATATTTCTTAAGTGCCTATTATGTTCAAATATCTAAAACCAAAGCAGACCTCCCAAAAAGATGCAGAGAAGAGCAGAACCCCCTAGCTCTCCAACTGCTTGGATTCTGAGAGATAGTCATGGGAAGAATACTGGATTTGGAGTCAAAGACCTGGGTTCAAATTCTGGCTCTGCCACTTACTACCACCTACATGAGTTCTGACAAGTGACAACCTCTTTGGTTGTGGGTTCCAGTTTCTTCATCTATAAAATGACATGATTGGACTGGATGACCTCTGAGGATCTTAAACAGTTTTAATTCTATCCTATCTATTCCTCACAGATCACAAGGAAATACACAGGTAATTTTTGGAACCCCCAGTTGTTATTAAATATCAAATCAACCTTTCACTTACAGAGAGGTTAAGAAAAATAAAGTAATAATTAATTCATTCCCTTTTTACCTGTTCCCTTTACTCCACACTAACAGCCTATTTCTATTTAAGAGACTATTTCTACTTCTGCTGTTTTAAGGAACGTAGTAGAAGACAAGTTATCAAGGTGCTGAGGAATGGAAGACAGGAGAATGGAGATGCTTTCTGAATTGAACTTTCATTCAGGTTGCAATCTATTACTACAATGCTCTCCCCACCCCTCTAACCCAAACCAAAAAATCCACAAATTTTCTACTTCATAAATTATATGTATAGGACATAATATTAATACCCTTACAAATACAAGGATTACCTCAATAAGAAGCTCCAGGGCTGGAATCTTACATTTTGCAGCTTTATCTTTTGTGTAAACACTGGTACACAAGCTCTAGGTTTAAAATGAGACACCAAAACCATCAACAAGCTGGAGGAATCAAGATTCGGTGATGACTCAAATTAGGTCATAAGGAAAAGTTACATGAACTTACATTATGAATATACTTTTAACAACTAAAATATTGTATTTTAACATGCAGAACATGAGGCCCACAACAAACAGCCACAGTCAGTTCCTTGGTGCCACTGTGAAAAACAAAATATTGGACCAGATGGAAGATGGGTCTGACCTATTACAGAAATCACTACATACTTTTCCTCCAGATCAATTTGTGATCTAGCCAAAGAACAAAAGCATTTTAGTAGGATTTTTAGAACACACACGTGCGTGTGCATATATGTGTGTGCATGTGTGTCACGTCTCATATTTCATCTGCATAAAATTATATTCCATATGTCTTCAATAATAAAAAGATCACAGGGAAAAAAATTTTAAATGGTATGGTCACTGAATTTTTAATATAAGGATACCTAAGTGAGGAAATTTCCCAAACAGAAAAGCAAAAATGTAGGAAAAACAACTTATATTCCAGTTTTTTAGAAAACAAAATAATTTAAAATAGAGAGCAAATGTCAACCAATTTTTTTTTCTTACCTTAATTCCAAGACAGTAAGGTTCAATTTTCTGCCCAATTTTTTCTAAAAAAACGCATAAAAATTTTAAGGCTTCTTCTCTGCAATCCCGAAACTAGAATAAAAAAAAATCTGTATTTACTTTAAAGTGGAAAACTAAGAGCTTTTCCAATATAGAGAAATATACAAAGAAGGCAAAATAATTTTTAACTTACTTCTTCAATGCTTAGAGATTCTCGAATAAATACAGGTAAACCAAACTCCTTGGAAAAAATCAAGGAAGTCTGTAAGGCTGCACAAAGAACAAAAAAATGGTTAAGAAACTTCCTAGGAATCACCTTGTAAAGCATACACCTACTGTAAGAGGCAGAAGCATAGTAGCATTAAAGAAAGGCTAGAAAGGGCTAAAAAATAATCCTGGTCAAATTGCTTAACATTTTTGTGACCAGATTAGAGACGAATTTGTTTAGTTCTAAATGCAGGTGATTAATATAAAATCAGTGACAAATACCAGACAACAGGTATTATCATATAGTTGGTAGAGCTATGAAGTGATTCAGCCAATTTGGAAAGCAATTTGAACTCTGCCCAAAAAGCTATTAAACTGTGCTTACCCTCTGACCCAGAAGTACTGATAATAGGTCTACACCTCAAAGAGGAAAAGGACTTATGTGTAAAAAATATTTATAGCAACCCTTTTCATGGTACCAAAGAATTGGAAACCATGGGGTTTCACATCAATTATGGAATGTGAGACTTAAATGAACTGATACAAAGTGAAATGAGCAGAACCAGGAGAACAAATTATATAACAACAATAACATCCTAGAGACAAACGACTTTGAAAGACTTAGGAACTTTAATCAACATAATAATGCTCAACCACAATTCCAAAAGACTCATGATGAAACTTGGTACCCATTCTCCAGATACAGCACTGATGGACTTGAGATTTTTTTTTTTGGACATGGCTAATTTGGGAATTTGTTTTGCTTGACTATATACGCTTGCAATAGTTCTTGTTTTTATGGGAGATGTGGAAGGGCGGTGAGGAAAGAAGAAGGAAGAGAATTCAGAGCTGAAAACAAAATTGAATTAAAAAAAAACCAAAAAAGCCTAATATAAACTAAAACTGCAGCTATCCATTGGCAACAAATTGAAGGAATTAAACGTACTTTATTTGTTTATTCAATTTTAAAGACTTTTTTTTTACTTTCTTGATTTCTAAAGAATATGCAATAATTTCACTATAATTACTGGAGATACCTTGGGACAAGGGGAGGGGAAATGTCAAACAGAAACCAAAGTGAGTGCTCCAAGGAGACATGCAGCATCATGACACACAGGCTGTATATCACATAAAAATAAGACACAATCACAGGTTGTTCTTACTTCTGCCTAAAGAATGTAAAAAGGTTTACTAACTTCAGGTAAAACACAAATCAGGATGGAGACAGATAAAGGCTGGTTCAGGTACTTCATTAGTATAGAACTCCCAGGGAGAAAACTCCTTCTTCTAATGCAGGTCAGCACTTTTGTTACTTATAGTCTCTGAACTTCGCTGCACCTGGCAGTCTTAGAAAATTGCCTAGAACAAGAGGGTTAAGTGAGAGGCCCAGGGTCATACAGCTAGTATGTGACATAGGCAGTACCTGAACTCAGGTCTTCCTGGCATCAAAGCCAACTTACTAGTTCTCACACCACATTGCCTCTCAAGGCACAAATACATTTTTTAATATATGCATTCACCATTACTTTAGTTGTCTCTTAATTTAAATGTCAAAAATTTTATATTCATATACTCTTTCAATTAAAGTTTGAAAATTTTATTAAACATAAGAAACTATTTAAGGTGTGCTTCTTTAACAAACTGCAAAGGCAAAAAAAAAAATCATTCAAGGTAATAGTACTGACTGACAGGTGTCCTCACCATCAACTTTGAAGGCCAACTATGACATTGTTCATTATATATAGTGCTGAACTTATTAGGCAAATATTAAAGGACCACAGACTTCCAATGAAGGAAACCACTACCTCCAAAGGCAGCCCATTTTAAACAACTAAAATTGTCAGAAGAATTTCTTTACATCAAGCTATCTTTAAGTAACTTCCACCATTTGCTCCTTGTTCTTTCCTTGGGGTCTTTCAGCACTGTTTTACTCACTCTTTGGCCTTACCCCATTCTTCTTCACTTATCTGTGTGTACAACTTATCCAACCATACTTCCCCACCAAAGACAGTAAGCTCCCTGAGAGCAGGGGCTGTGTTTAATTTAGATCCCCAGTGACTAATAATACCTTGCCCACTTTATCTTAGTAAATATTCATCCAATTCAATTGACATTAGGAGAGAAAATATATACTAACCGCCGATGGTGCACACCAAGGGTGGGGAACCTTATGCCTTGAGGCCGCATGTGGAAGTTTGGATTCAAAGGGCCACACTTGAGGCTCTAGGGGTCACATGTGGCCTCAAGGACAAAGATTCCCCACCCATGCTCCACACTATAAACTTTATGTGTCAAATCATATTAACCAATCTTTCATAATCAATTTCCTTAAAATCGTAATGAAGCAGTAGCTTCAGTATGTAGGTAGAAGAAAATACTGAAAAATAAAACTGGACCTTAAGAGGGGGTTTATTTAGTACAGCCCCCTTCTTCCAACTAGAACCATGCCAAAATCAGGCTAAAATTCTCTGGAGAAAGAGATTCCACAACCTTGGAGTGCCCTGGTACTCTCCTCATTTTTAACAACCATAACTAGCAATTCCTCATAGCTAAACCAAATCCCTTCACCTATAAATAGGGTGAATAGTTGAGCAGAATCTCTTACAATATTCCTTTTCAAGCTTGAAGACAATCATTAAATTTCCCAGATTAAATCTCAATCTCAACAAAGTAACATTTTTGCATTAATCCAATTCTCTAGCCCTTTAGTTATGCTCAGGATTTCACTGATATACAACAATATACAAGCAAGACAGAAGAATGAAACTACTTTGCTAGCAAATATGCTCTATGAATATAAAAGAATGTGGGTATGTTTTTTTTGTTGTTTTTGAGACCTGAAGTTCATTTTTCCCACCTAACAGAGTACTCTTCTAAAGTCTAGGACTACATTGTTAATCAGGCATCTTAATGAAAACCACAGAACCTGTTTTAAAAGGGATCTTGATGGCAATCCAGTCAAACCTACAGCTGAAGAGAATTTTTCCTAACACCTGCCTGATAAGCAGTCATCCAGCCTTTTCTTGAAGACCTCAAGAGGCTTAATCTACTTTTAGATATTTCAATCAGTCATTTTGTCCCACAAGCCTAAATTAGCCTCTACAACTCTCACTCCCTTGTTTCTAGTTCTTTCTAGGGTCAAGCAGAATAATGAAGTCTAATCTCTCTTCAAAGTAACAGCAATTCAAACACTTGAAAACAACCATTCCTTCTCCAAGCTAAACATTCCAAGTTCCTTTACCCAGTCCTCATGCGGCATAAACTCAAGGCCCTTTACCATCCTAGTTAGCCTTCTCTGAACACTCTCCCAATTCATTAATGTCTTTCCTAAATGAGGCACCCAAAACATGGGAGTAGTACCTAGCCTCCAGACATGGTCTGACCTCCCTATTTGTGGATATTATGCTTCTCAATGCAGCAACCTAAGATCACATCAGCTTCAGTAAACTAAAACCTACAAATCTTTTTAAGACTAACGGCAGTCTAAGCACACTTCTCCGTGCCCCACCCCACCCCCCAAAATCAAGAAGCATTTAGCAGGCACAGTGCAAAGCTCTGGGCACACAGAGAAGGGCAAAAACAAACAAAAAAAAGCCAGGGTTCTCTACCTTCAAGATCACAGTCTAGTGGGGAAAACAACATACAAACCAACCACCACGTACAAATAAGATACATACAGGGTAAATCAGAGATAATCACAAGAAGGAAGACACCAGCATTAAGGGGGAACAGGAAAGGCTTCGTGCAGAAGGTAGGATTTTAGCTGGGACTTGAAGGAAGTCAGGGAAGCCTGGGGACAGAGGGAGAGAACTGGTGGCATTCGGGGATATCAGTGAAAATGACCAGGGCTGTAAGATGGAGTATCTTCTTTGAGGAATGAGGAGACCAGTGTCCTGGATTACACAGTATGTGGAGGGGAGTACGATATAAGAAAACTGGAAAGGTGGGAGACCAAGTTATGAGGGGTTTTAAAGCCAATAAGATTTTATATCAGATCCTGGAAGGAAAAAGGAGTCACTAGAATTGATTGTAAAAGGGTTATGAAATATGAATGTGTTTTTTAAAAAGATTATCTCTATTAAACTTTATCTTATTTAATTTTGCCCAATGTGCTAGCCTGTCAAGACCTTTTTGGATCTCACTTTTATCATTCAACATGTTAGGTGGTGGTCCATTTAGCTATGATGTGCAAATCTGATAAGCAAACCTTCTATACCTTTATCCAATTCAATGTTAAGAACACTTAATGGCACAAGACCAAGCACAGATTCCTTGGGACAGTCTTCCAGGTTCCAAATAAATTCTAAATAGTTCTAAATCCACATCCCAGTATTACTAATTCCTAGTCCACATTTCTTTAGTTTCTCCCTATGAACAGTTTGAAGGACTTTGCCATAACCCAGTGGACTATATTTCCCACATGTGACCCTTTTTTTGGACTAAATCTGTGTTTTCATGGGTGACTGTACGGAGCTTGCAATGAAGTTATTTTCTCTATAAATCCAGAGTAGCAACTACTTTGTAAGAGTGGTTAAGTGATTTGCCCAAATTCACAGTCACTATGTGTCATTAACAGACTTGAACCAAGCTGTTTTTAAATGGAAATGTTTAGTGACTTTAGTCCACTGATGGACCCAAATGTAAATGTTTTTAAATAAGCTAGTGAGGAAGTATTACAATGGCAAACCGACAAAGTTCTTATGCTAGTCTGGTCAACAAAAAAAACTGAAAAGCACAAAACCTTTTTTTCACCCCACAAACACTAAATTGTTTAGTAGGTTCATCAAAAAATAACTTTGGCAAAAGGTTCAAAGATAAAGATGATTGGGAGTTGGGGGGTGGGGAATAGAAAGAAAAATATTGCCTTCAACCTATCTCGATTTTACACCATTATCATTCTCCCTACTTCCCACCAGGGGGAAAAAAAAGAGCTGTCTGGCATATTTATTCAATTATAATGAATTAACATTAATTTTTAAAATCTTGTTTTCTGGAAAGTTGCATCATACCAAATGAGATCACTGGAGACAGTGACAAGTCAGAAAAACTTGAACTAGACAGCACTGTTCCATACACAGCCCTGTACAGTAAAGAGAACACTGGCTTTAGAATCATTAAACCTGTGTTCAAATCCCAATTCTGCTAGTTACTGCCTGTGTAAACTTGGGCAAGTTACTTAACACACCCCCCACCTTAGTTTAAGCTTTTGTAAAACGAGAATAATGTAGAGGGGGGATACTCAAATATGAAATAAACTCCAATTACCTCCAGGATCAAAGCCCTTCACCTGGACCAATCTTATTAAAATTTACTTTACTCCATGTACTCTACAACCCAGCCCCAAGGGACTGGCCTTCCTTACCTAGGCACATCATCTCCTGACTCCTAATTTCTGGCTCCCTCCCCATTACCACAATCAGGTTTCCATCAGGACCCAGCTCAAATCCCAACTTTCTACTACAGGTTCCCTGCTCTAGAGACCCAATGCCTTCCCTTCTGAGATTACCTTCCATCTACTCTGTATTGCTTTCTTGCTTGGACACAGGGGTTTGTATGTTGTCTCCCCCATTAGACTGTTAACTCTTTGATAAAAGGAACCCTACGTGTTTGGGCTTTTTTTTTGGCGGAGGCCTTTCTTTGGAACCGCAGAACTCAGTACCTGCCTGGCACAAAATGAAGCTTAATAAATACTTCACTCAAGTAAATAGCACATGCCCCATGTACAACCGGTATCAGACTGCTTGCCATCTTGGGGAAGGGGAAGAGAAGGGGAAAAAAATGTGGAACTTACACTCTTTCAGAAAATGAATGCTGAAAATTGTCTTTACGTGTAATTTGAAAAAAAAACATTACTTTTTTAAAAAAATAGTACACGCCCACATTCACTGGTAGCTGTTTCCCATACCAATGAAATCACGGGTCATGAAAAGGAAAAAAGGGGGGGGTGAGATAACCTTTCAGGTCCCTTTCACCTCTAAAACTATGGTCCTAAGAGTCTACCTTTTAGGAGCAATCCTCTTAGAACTGCTTCTTAGAAGCAACGACTCACTTTTGGGGAGCAATCAATCAACATTTCCCAATGTTGTGCCAAGCGCTTACGAATGTGCTCTGAGCACAAAGTTAAGTTTCTGAAGTTTGCCCCCAATAACAAAGAACAAATAGATGGTCAGTAAGTAACCCAAGGAGGGAAGTTAAAAATACCAAGATTTTTAAGAAACTGTCATGAGAGATGAATATGTTGCCCAAGCAACAGACGCTTGTGGGTTAAGCCCCAGTAAAAGATACACAGACACAGCCAGAAACGCATAAGGGAGCGGTTAAACTTGAGGTCCGGACGTAACACCCAGGCCCGGGGAGATGGGGGGGGCAGGTTCCCCACGTGCCGCCGGGGGATCCACACCCCGCGCACCCCCTTCTCCAGGGCCCGGCAGGACGGGCCCTTTCCTAAGATCGGCACCAGGAGAGGCCGGCAGGGACAGCGAGGGAGGGGAAGGAGAAGCTTCTCTCGCCGCCGGCCCGGGCAGCCCGATGGCCGGAAGCGGGCGCTTCGGGGACCCACCCAGGACGGTGGGGCTGGTGCAGAGCACGCCCTCCTGGCCCACGGCGCGGATGAGGTGGTAGGCGGCCAGCCCGGCGCTGCCCGGGTCCCCGCCAGACAGCAGCTCCTGCAACTGCAGCAGGGAGCCCTGCAGCCCCCCGCCGCCGGCGGAGCCAGACATGGCGCTGTCGCCGCCGCCACAGAGAAGAAACCGGGAGGGCCCAGCAACTGCACAACACAGCCACGGGTCGGCCCAGCCGCCGGGGACCAATCACGAAGCGGAAGAAGGGCACCGGCCGGCCAGGGGAGGGGAAGACCGGCAGAGACGCAGGACGAAACCTTTCTCTCGAGAGGGGGGAGGGAAGGGAATAAGGGCCAAAGTGGGAAGGGTAACAAGAACAAGACGATTAAAGATAATTTGAGTTACACTCTGAACTAAGATAGTGACTGCAGCGAGGTTAGAAAAGTGAAAGGAACATGTTTTGTTGAACAGGAATATATTAAGCAACACAATAGGCGATTACTCAGTGGTACGGTCCCGGGAAGGATGAAACTGAATCCAAAAGAGCAACGTCGGACTCAACTATTGGAATTTCAAAGGGGTACTTATGGAGGATTATGGATTTGGATCTGGATCTGTTCCTTTTCTTAGACATAAGTTAGAGACCAAAAATATTATTGCTAGAAATTTTTCCTCTGAAAAATCAGGTATTCAAGTAAACGGATTTGTATGTACACAAAATAAAAACTCAACCCCTCATAGGAGAATGGTTTGCTCTGAGCCGCTAGTATTCCCGCGAAACAGGGGTCAAATTGAGATGAAACCACATGCACATTATGGAGGGGGGAATTGGCTAATGCTTAGTTCCGATCCCCTACTGGTTGCATAAGGAGGTAAATTCATTTCCCTTATTCTTATACTCAGTGGTACCTCCCGCAGGGACCTTTTTTTTTTTTTTTTAAGAAGGGTGACTGCAAGGATTGGCGGGAACCCTTAGGGGCGGGTCCTAAGTTTCCCGCGAAGTATTGTCCGGGTGCGGCGGCTTCTCTTGGTCTTGGGGTCCTCACCAGTCAGGTAAGGCACCTTCGTGGGGAGGGGTAGCGGGCGGCGGGTTCTGATTTAAGTCCCGCAAAGCCAGGAAGGTGGAGGATGGAAACTAACTTGGAGCGAAAGGGAGCTAGAGGCGGAGACCGGGCGGCGAGGGCGGCTTCCCGCCTCGGAGCAGGGGCGGGTGGGCTCCTAGTCGGCCTCTGAGTCCTGACCTGTGGCCTCCTTCCCCGCGGCAGGTGAATCCGCCTCAGACCGCGGCCACTCTTCGTCATGTCCTCGTCTCCCGCCTCGACCCCAAGCCGCCGAAGCAGCCGGCGCGGCCGGGCCAGCAACCCTTCCACGCGTGAGTTTGGACCGGTGTCTCCCTTCCCCCACCGCCGGGTTCCGGCCTCTTGCGCCCACCCTCTTCCCTGCCGTGTAGAGTGGGGAAGAGCAGACTCCTGAGCCGCGGCCTGCGGTTTTGCTTTTTTTTTTTTTAATTTGCAAGTCCCAGACTTTCCTGACTCAATTAGTTTTGAATTCCGTTCATTTTTTAAAAATTATATGCCTGCTGTTGTGCCAGAGCACTGGGGTTAGGCTCCGGAGAGAAAAAAATGTGTGTTTATGCTAGTTGGAAGATAAGACTCAACATATTTCTTAGATTTGCTTTTTTTGCAGGAGCCTAGGTAGACTTAAAACTTTCCAGACTGACCTCTGGTCTTAGTTAAATGTAAGTTAACTTTTTTTTTGACATTTTGTTTTTGTTGAATTTTTTTTCTCCATTACATATAAACAAAAAAGATCTGCATGTGTTTTTCCAATCACATAAAAACAATTTTTAACACTGATTTTTTTTTTTAATTTTGAGTTCCAAATTCCCTCCCTCCCCTTCTGCTCCTTGACAAGGCAAGCAGTTTGATATAAATTATACACGTGCAGTCATGCAAAACGTATTATTAGCCACGTATATTAGCCACGTTGCAAAAGAAAATGCAGACCAAAGAAACCCATAAAAATAAAAGATATTTTAAAAAGTATGCTTTGCTCTACATTCAGATGCCATCAACTATTTCTCTGGAGGTAGATAGCATTTTTCACCTTAAGTCCTCTGGAATTGTCTTGGATCACTATTGCTAAGAGTAGTTAAGTCATTCAGAGTTGATCATCTTACAGTGTTGCTGTTACTGCATATATAGTTATCCTGGTTCTGCTCATTTCATTTTTCATCAGTTCATGTAAACTGTCATTTCTTATAGCACAGTGGTACTCCATCACAGAATTAGTTTCCTTAATGTAATGGTTATCACCTTCACCTAACACAGGAAAGGTCCCCTGTATGAAATGGGGCAGAAATACAGGTCTGTTCTTTTGGGCACCTAGGTGGCCAAGTGAATAGATTACCAGACCTGGAGTCAGGAAGACTCATCTTTCTGAGTTCATATCTGGCCTCAGATACTTCCTTGCTGTATGACACTGGGCAAGTCACCTTAACCCTGTTAGCCTCAGTTTCCTCATCCGAAAAATGAGCTGGAGAAGGAAATGGCAAACTATTCCAGTATCTTTGCCAAGAAAACCCCAAATGGGGTCATGAAGAGTTAAACATAACTAAAAATGACTGAACAACAAACATGACATCAGAATCATGGCACAATTTGTTCAGCCATTCCCCAGTTGATAGGCATCTCCTAAATTTCCAGTTCTAGAACTGCCAGTTTTAAGAAGAAATCAAAGCTATCCATCTGTAGTCATATGGAAAAATACTCTAAGTCACTATTATTAGAGAAATGCAAATTAAAACAACTCTGTGGTACCACCTCATACCTATCATCAGATCAGCTCATATGACAGAAAAGGGAAAAAGGAATGTTGGAGGGGATGTGGAAAAATTGGGACCACTAATGCATTTTTGGTCAAGTGTGAACTAATCCTACCACCTGCATTCTAGCAGGAAATATAACACATACCTAAAATGGTACATATGAGATAAACCAAGAGTAAATGGAGGAGAATCTTAGAATTCTTGCTTTCCTTTAAAACTTAGTTTAAGGGGCATTTCCTGCAGAAGACCCATCCTTGTGTCCTGCCTGCCCCTCCCCCACTGTTTCCCCTTGTTTTTAGTCTATCAGAGATTAGGGGGAGAACATCTTTGGCATGGGAAGCAGCCAAAGCAGAGAGACAGGAGACTGGTTGCTTTCTGTGGGGAACAGGGTTGTGATTTTCATTAATGAAGAGCTCCCTCAGTGATAAAAATCCTACAACCTTGACATAAACGTGCATTTTTTTTTTTTGCTTTTTTGGTGAAGCAGTCAGGGTTAAGTGACTTACCCAAGGTCACACAGCTAGTGTCAAGTGTCTGAGGCTGGATTTGAACTCAGGTCCTCCTGACTCCAATGCTGGAGCTCTATCCACTTTGCTACCTAGCTGCCCCATAAACATGCATTTTAAAAGCAGATCTTACCCAATTCTACACATCTTTTACATATACTTTGTCATCACTTGATAGTTGCCCCACTATCTGTTCCATGAGATAAGCAGATCCTATGAGAACAGAGATAAAAATGGAGTCATTTTACATTTCTATTTTTGTGTCAAAGCTCGAAGCGAGAATGCCAAGTCTTCTCCATCTCAGAGGCGCCGGCCAGAAGATTCCACATCCACAGGAGAGCTACAGCCGATGCCCACTTCACCTGGGGCTGATATGCAAAGCCCTGCTACCCAGGATGCCTTGTTTTCCAGCCCACCACCATTTCGTTCTTCAGGTAGGTTCCTCAAGGAATTGTATTTTAGCCTAGGCTGCAGGAGTGTCATTCTGGAAATGACTTAGCCATTAGTTACTAGTTTATCAATATTTGAAGTAGTTATGGTAATCAAAAACATTTAAGTATCTACTAGGTACTTGGTGGTATCACTTTTCTGACTTCATGTCTTTTCCACCAACAGTAGAGGAGCTTAATGCAGAAAATTGGACATATTAGCTCCTTCTGAGATGGTGGAAAAGAAAGCCATAGTTGAAAACGATGATCAATTGGAGGGGTGGCTAGATAGTTGGGCTTTCTTGTTGATGTGGTCTTTGGAACAAACAGATAATGGTTGATACTATAGCCACACTTACATGGTTGGGAGCTTTAGGGTTCTTTTATGCTACAGTATGGGTGGCAAAGTAAAGTCTGTATTTCTTTTCTGATAACCAGTATATGTATAAATTCCATTCCAAATGTCTAGTTTTTCTTCAAGTCAACTTTGTTTTTGACAGAACCTTGGCTCTTAACTTTTGCTTGATTCTATATTTATTGTCTCTCTTGACATTGCCTAATTTTACCTTTTAATTTCATTTTTTATTCTGAATTTTGAGAAGAATCTTTTAAATAAATTTTTATGTATTTTGTTTATTGATAAAGACAAAAGCTTAGGTGATAAATGACACCATTCTGTCTGACAAAGAATATTCTATCATGAAACTTTAGCCAAAGAAGACAGTGCCATTAGTATGTGTCTTAGATAAGAACATGATTTGATCTTATAGTAAAGAACTAGAGCTTCATTTTTAGTACTTTCTTCTTCAGTTTTGAGATCTATTTGCTTCTGAAATCTAAAATCTCTCATTAGGTGTGAATATACAGCTGAATTATGACAAATTAAGGATGTCTAGTTAAAAGATGATCAGTCATTTTATGGAAATATTTATTGCCTGCAATACCTGGACTGGCCTGAGTCAAAACAAATTCCTAATCTTCTCTATAAGGGCTTTTCACTGTCCAACAACATATGGTACTTTAATTTCTAGTTAGATGTGCTGCCATCTATAGGTCTCATTGTAAAACTTGTTTTGATTTCTGTAGCTATTCCTATTGAATTTGATCTCAGTTCACCTTTGACATATGGTACTCCCAGTTCACGAGTAGAGGGAACTCCAAGGAGCGGTGTTCGGGGAACACCAGTGAGGCAGAGACCTGATCTTGGATCTGCTCGTAAGGGTCGTCAAGTAGATCTGCACTCTGATGGGGTAGGTGTATAAATCCTATTTTGCTCATTGGTTAATTTAGAGAAGATGCCACATATGCAGTAACAGCAATATTGTAACAACAAACTTTGAAAGAGTTCACTACTCTGATCAAGACAATTCCAAAGGACACATGATGAAAAATTGTCTCCACCTCCAAAGAGAGATCTGATGAACTCTCAATGCAGATTGAAGTGTTATTTTTTTCACTTTCTTTACTGTTCTTGGGTTTGTGTGTGTGTTTC